CGAAAATAACATTGATTACAACCGTACACGCGCGCAACGCATTTCTCACTATATTTGGTTTTAATTGTGATTTGTCTCGATTTCAATTTCAAGTTAATAAATTAGAGCAATCGTTTTTATGTCCTTGGTAAACACTAGGGTACCTCCTGCCTAATTTTACATAATATGATCGTTTTAATATTCATCAAGCATGTATATATCGTTCAACTTACATTTACAAATTAAATTGTACATATATATATATATATATATTAAATAGACCATGTAGGTATACCTTTAAATTCCTCCAAACGTTCCTTTTAGTTTTAGTACAATGTCCATTGTTCAATGTGTATTACGTTTGGGTACGCACCACCTTGTTTGATAAACAATAATACATTTAAATATTCACAAATATGGCGTATATTACTTTAGACTATGTTGCGTTTTGTGTACCTACCTAATTGTTTTATGTAATTTAAATACAATTAATCAAATTTCAAATTGTTTTTGTAATAAACAGTAAAACTGATTTAATCAAACTTAAGGTGTAATTTGACCAATTTGTGTGTGGCCCAATGGTATGGCGGGCAAAGAATTCGAGGGGATGGCGTTAAATACACATATTCGTTGTTGTAACTGATACATATTATATATGTAATTATTGGTAGTATCAGTTATAAACAATTACAAATATCTTGAAACGTAATATTTAAATAATTTTAAATCACACAGCTAATTATAAACAAAACACAAATCGTTTTCCGCATACCATAAGAATAAAATACTTTATTAAGATTAAGCAAAATTGTTACCTATAGCGTAAAGTTAATCACACAACCGCAGTACGCCTTACGGTACATCAAATATAACATAATAATAAAGACTAGCTATACCTATTCTGTATACGCCATACCGCATACGGTATGAACTTGTAATAATTAAGTGTAATCAAAGCAAATATTCAATGAGTAAAATAATTTCTATAGTTTAATTGAATACGAGTACGTTATTTACTTGATAACAGAACAAATTGACATATTATATTGTATATAATGTAACATAAATATTAGACACTTACCTTGTCAGTAATTGTTTTATGATCCTTAAATGCTTGATTGCATAAAGAATTAATACATTTAATGGTTCATCAAATTTAATTGCCCAATAACTGGCCACTAAATTATGTTTAAGGAACCACTAAACATTTATTGGTTCATTAAACGTTTATGCAATCCGGCATAAGTGTTATTATTTATCATTATTTTATTATTACTGTTAGGTTAGGCCATTCGAACAAAGATGTATGTTATTATTTTAAACCCATATTTAATTAAATAATCATTCGGCTTTATTGTGGAGTTAATAAAATATTATTGTATGTTTGCATGCATTCTTAAGATGACTTTTTTTACAACTTAATAGTATTTTCAGTGGGGTTAAAAGTTGAATGCGATAGGTATTTTTATATTTGGCAAGTTAATAGTTGAGCACGTCGACCTCTAATCCTTCTTTTCTTAATAGATTTTTGTTTTTTAACGTATTTAATAAAGTAATGTGTTGAGTTAAAGATGAACTAAGTAGTATTTTAAACTAAATATGGAAATGTTACGATATAATGTATCTGCTTAGCTTTTACAATATCTTAATTAGTTTTAAAAACCTATTTATATTTTGGCATAACTCCCCTTCATAGCTCAAAGGCTATTGACAAATTCAACATATTTTCTTACAATATTACTTGAAACAATAATTCTGTATAATCAGCAACTGCGATATAACAGGTCATGGTCATGTTCGTTTATTTTAGACTTTACCTATTTGAAAAAGCTATAAAATCAGAAGTATTAGTAAAACTGCTGTAAAAGTTTTAATTCGAAGTATGATTCCAGTGAAGAACATTTGAAACTTCTTAAGAGTAGGTATTTTTGGGCAACCGTAATTTTCTATTGTGTATAAAATTCTCCATGTAGCTTTTTCCATACTATTGTCTATAATAGCGTATGTTGTGACGGTCGTTTTCTGTGATAAGTGTCGCATTCACAACTATATGTTTTGCTATATTCGTTCAACAATGTTAAACGATTTTCTAAATTTTCATGATTGTGCATTAAAAGAGAGTTCTCAATGAAGTAATAACAATAAATACTGGAAATAAATTTGCTGAAAAAGATCGAAAGATCTAATTTTGGCAAACTAATATTACAGTGTTACACTATTAGTGTCTTGCATTAAGAGATTTAAAAATTAAATATTTATACCGCAATAGAATAATGTTTATACATTGCTCTGATAAATGGCTGTAGCGCTAAACCGGTAATTTTTCGAGTCGCCAAAACAAAATTGTATTGTATTGTATACAACAAGTTTTATAATACAAATGTTTTTTTAATTTTACACATCTAATACCATTGAGTATACAATATATACTCAGTGCTAATTGCTAATACTAACCTTTTTACTTTTATAAATATTTTAAACAAAGATAATGTAATTTTTCACTTGATAATACATGATAATACATGGTACATTTAAAATTTGCACAATTTAAGCAGTAGTAACCATTACTTACACTAACTAAAATCCCATACCTTGCCACTGGGCGCAATACGAATAAGGATAAATATATAAGTCTTTATAAATCGTTAGTAAAATGCTGAAAGTCAAATTTATCGATTACCAAGTACTAACATTCTCGAATAGTTATTTTTTACTAAGTCTACCATTGTTACGGTACTCTGCCCTTTGAGGGTCTATTTATAAGATGAACCTGTGGTTATTTCTGAACTTAGTCCAGCAGATTCATAATTCATTGAGTGTGCCAAATCGTTTCACTTATACAATGTAATCAGAAGACTCAATGTAGCTACAATTTGTATGGTACATTAAAAAATATTACATCTATGTTGAAAACGGAAATAAAAAAAAACGAGCATAGTAGGAATGAAGCATATTGGAAACGGGGAGTCGGAGGTCTTTAGCAATAATTGTTATAACTAAACGTGATAAAATAACTATCAAATAAACGCTTCTATTCGAATCTGTAAATGTTAGAAATATTAAATATCGATAAAGCATTTTAAAGGTAAAAATATGCTTAACCCTTCACTGCATGAATTTTTTTTTTTAACCATATGCTAAAATGTACTTAATACTATTTAAAAGAATTAAAAATAAATTTTTTTTTAGTTTTGGTTTCATGGAAAACGCTAATTAAAGAATTGTACCAAATATGGAACATTGTGCATCAAAGATGTATAGCATGAGCAGATATAAACAATAAATACAATTGTTCCATATATGGAACATTGTGCAGTGAAGGGTTAACATTTATATTTTAGTATTAGCGTGGATACGTTTAGGGTTAATTGTCTCTCTATAATAATTTGTTGCCTTTCTTAAACATACATCATTATCAAAAATATAAAGAGACCTTTATTTTTCTACAACCTGGAAATTCAATACAGCACGGGTGTCATCCCCCCCCTCCACACCTTTTTTATTTTTCCATAAAAAACAAAAAGTTTGAGATTCTATAGAGATTTTCAAGAAAATTGTAAATGTTATAGCCTCTTCTATAAATATCTACCTTCAGTCTAATTTTCAGGCTTTAAGTCATAAAACTAAGCTCAAAAAAGTGAAATTAAAAAAAAGTTTTCATTTGTTTTAGGGGAAAGGATTTAAGGTATTTTTTTTTGTTAATCTACATAAAGCGATAGTAGTTATTACTATATTTAGAGAATATTCCATACAAATTAAGAATAATAAGACTATTTTACAGTAATTATTACTGTATGGAAAATAATACAATTGCAGTATTCGTATAATTATGTCGAAGTCTATAAATATTCATAAACTATAAATTGTCATTAATTAGAAGACATTATTTAACTATTTAACTGTCCTATTTCATTTTTAGTTGGTGTAGGTCTAGATATTTATAATATAATTTTTTGTAATTAATATAATTTATATATAGTCGGTTTTTGTTTATATATCCAATAAATTGATTTTTATTATTTGTTCAAACTACAAGTCTAACTACAAGTGACATAAATTACGGTAATAATTAGTATTGATGTATTAGGTAATTTGTTGGATCGCATACTTAAAGATAACACAAATATCTAATTGCTCACTTCACACTTATCGTTATTTAAATTGTACATTATATTATATAATAGTGATTATAAAGCTACTAGTTAGGGGTTAGACCCGTCTTTTTCTTCAACATGATTTTCTTATAGCCGTTCTTGCCAGTTAAGTTTAACACAACTAAATATAATAGGCTAAATTATACAAACTAAATGAAGCTAAACAGGTGAGAGCAGTCATTAGTATTATTTTAAAATTCATATATTTCCATACTCTTTACTCATAGAGACTAATTAGTGGGACTTGCATTAAATCTGAATTTACAAAATAAACTTTAGATAGTATTAGATATTTTTAAGTTTTCAAAAACGTCCAAGTAGAAAAATGATAAATTCATGAAAAAACGGCTTTTTAAAATTACCGGACCACACGGCATAGTAAAGGAGATTAAAATTAAAACATAATTATAAGATATCGTTGGCATACAAGTGAAATACATTAAGTCACCATTTTAATAAAAAATTGTAATTATTTTAGTTTTTTTAATTTATTTTCAATGTAAAATAAAAACCAAAATCAAAACAATTAAACTCCAAAGAATTAATTAATAACGTAAATAATCTGTTTAAAAAAAAAAAATGTTATCTTCAAAATGTCTCAAAACTTGGATTATCGACTTAATGTAATTCATTTGTATCACTTGTAAGCCAACGATATTATCTATGTATCAGTATATTAAACGTTCGTGTTTTATTAATTCAGTCCCCGCCGCTTTCGGGTAGACCGCCCAAGTGCATTACAGTAAGATATTGTAGAAAGAGAAAAACATAAAAAAAAATAACAGACAGGCGTCTTTCGTAGAGGCGCTAACTGCAATCTCGAACAATTAAAATTATCAACGCTGATATTGACATGGACATAATAATATACTAAGCAGTGTCGTTAGTGTTATTATGGCAACCAGTTAGCCCGGCCGCGAATGCGAAGGATCATGTGCATCATAAAACACTAAACCAGTACGACTTGGGCAACGCAAGATAAATGAATTGTCGTTAAAAACCGTCGTATTCGTTGATTTTTTATTTTTCCGTTATTTATGTACGCGCCTAAAATCAGCAGCATTGCCGTTGTGTATTATTTCCAGACCGCTTTGAACTATTTTATTAAAAAAACGACGACGATAATATAGTATGTACAAAACGGTTTTTGTCGAGTACAAGCATCGAGCATTTTTCAATAGATTTCAATAAATTTTCTCCGTCGTTTCGCGGTTATCACACGAGGATAAGCGTAAGACGTGATCAACAGCGCGGGAAAACCACCGAAGGAAGCTCTCAGTATTTTTTTCGAAAGGAAAATTTAAGGTAAACCTAACTTTTATTATCATTATTATTACAGTGTTACGTTATATAATAGAACGGAGTTTAATTAGGCAGCGGGGTAAATAACAGAAATGCAGGCAAGTCGGCTGCGTTGGAGCCCTAATGTCTAGAGAGTCTTTCAAATTTGATCTGTTTTATATTATAATATGGTATTATTTTAGATGCATATTATATAATATCATAATATTCCATGTGTTATATGTTATAATTTGATATAATAAAACACCCATTAAAAATTCACCGACAAAAAGCATGTACCTAATTTTATTGGTCTACATATTTTAAACTGAATAGGAAAACGGCCCTTTTGGTTTTTCTGTGGCGAATTTTTATACTTACGCCGATGTCAGTAGGTAGGTATGTCTAAAAATTCTTAAAACGTATCAGTAAGTTTGCTTAGGGTATTAGTAGAATTTTAAATTTTAAATCGATTTCAAATTTCGACATTTTTTGAAACTTGTTGTTGGTTTAGTATCACGGCTTCGGTTGGACACATCGGATTGCCTGACTGTCTTGTTTTAACACATACACGCGCTTCGTGTTAACTTGTTGTTCGAATAATATATTATATTGTTGAAGCGGTTTCGTAATTATTATTTTTATATTTCACAGTAGCACAAAATAAATACACGCAGTCACATAATTGGCAAATCAAAGAAAAAATTATGCGTGTGGACGCCTACTTTTATATTTATTACGATTGTTGTTATAATTATAACTATATTCAAATGAACAGGATAAAAGTATTATTTTATACATATAATATTATGAACTAAACACGGTGTGATCAATAGTAACCATGATAAAAAAAAATAAAAAAGCGTTTGAAAATATAATATACACGTATATTTTATCTTCTTGACAAATTACACATTACTATTTTGTTCCGAATAAAAAATCCATCGACTATAATATATTTTAGTCGTCGTATAATTATTGTAAGTTGGATTATTCGAATAATATTGTTAAATTAATACAAATTATTAGTATTATTCTCTGATAGTATTTCAATAGCATTCGAATTGGTATTCGAATCATAAATATAATATGTGGGTAATGTGATTACTGATATATTACAAATAACAATCTCAAACTAGCAGTTATCGATTTCTATCGTTTTATCCAAAATTTTCGTTATCGGTATTATATAATTAATGTGGACAACGAAACGCCTGCTACTTAAGCTGTTGTTGGAGAGTGTGCAGTTGCGTATGGCTAATAAATTTAAATGTCTGTCATGTACACGATAATATAGATAAACTCGATTATTGATAAAATGCACCGAACATCAACATATAATGTATATTCAGTAGGTATATGAATTATTAAAATAACATTCTGCACACGACTGTATCTATATCGACTGGAAATTGCAAAATGCAATGGCATTTTGTAATCTTTTTTAATCGCGCACTATGCAGGTTAATTTTTCGATACGGCAAATACAAAAGACAAATATATTACCTATACATTTTTATTGGCGTTCAAACTATCAAAGGTTAACAGAATCAAGTTCAACGGCATCGATTTGGCATATAATCTTATCATCTTAATATGTTGTTTACGAAAATGACATCAATGTAGTTTCTGACAAAATGCCATGCGCGCAAGAGATTTTTAGATAATTTGTTTTTGTTGCAGTCGTGCTCAACGCTCTTATAATAATATCAATTAGTTTCAGTTCAAAGAATATTAGTAGGTAGGTTAGGTAAATTCATTGAATTTCACCATATCGCGACGCATAGTAGGGACCTATATTGGTAATAACCAGTTATCACACAACATTGGGAAAGCATAGTAATATTATATTAAAATTGTAATTATTATTATCAATATAAATGACAAAAAAATGATGAAGTATTTTCCGTATTTTTAAGATAATAAATAATATTTAGGTGGTAGGACCAATGACACGTATAAATATCATATACATGGTGATCCATTTAAACTAGACTCTCGTATCTCTTAAATTAATTGCAATTTGTTAGCTCTTCTATTTAAAAATAAAGGTTTATGAATGTTATTTCACAATATAGAATTATCGAATATTTATCAGTTTTAGTATTTTCCAGAGCGCTATTATCTTTTAAAACTTAAATGGGAAGCGAGAGCGTATACTACTATACTTGATAAACTTTTTTAAAATAAATAAACCAGTCAATTAAAATAGATTTAAATAAGGTTTAACGTTTTAAACGGAAGTTGTGCGTTTGAGTATTGGCCGCAGGTAAAAATAATATTACACTCCACCTTTTCTACAGTCCTAAATTTAACATTTATATAATTAAAAAAATAATCATTGAAGGCTGTAAATCGATTTGTCAACATTAAAAAAATATAAAAGTTAAATTATTTTGAGAGAAAAAGAGTGCCTAAATACTTACTTTAGAGTGTCTAAATACTTTAAATCGGTCAGTCTATAATGTACATAGTTGCTTTACGATGTATAGTCACAAAATTCCACTAATTAACTCATACAAAGATTCAGATAACATTAAAAAAAAAAATCATGTTAATAATACAAACTTACAAGTTATACAAATGTTTAACAATATCTATAAATAATATATAGTTGTATTAGGAGGTTGGTAAAAATATAATAGATTTAACTTTTGTCCAGCTTTTTACCATCTTAATAATATGTATATAGTTGTAACCATTCAAAGTGCACTAAATAATTATTAGCTTCGATGCGTAGCTAAGAAGGTATTGTTTTTACAATGTGAATTTTTTTTTTTTGTGTGTACCCTCAAGATATGTTCTATAACGCTGAAACGATTTCTTCGTGTAGCTATTCTAGGGGTCAGAAATCGTACCTGAAAGATACACTATTGGGCCAAAAATTTAAATATTTCACCGCTTCCTCTTCAAAATTAAGAAAAACACTTAATGGAAACTTTTTCTTTATTTTGAATTTCTGGATGAAGTTTTAGGGTTTAAGGTCAGAAAATTAGATCTAGAATGGGGCTATAACACCTGTAGTCAAACATTTTTTATTTATTTAAAAAAACCGCGAAAAAATGGGAAAATTACACTTTAACCGTTGCCAATTTTTAGGTGTCTATGTGTGAGTGAATCAAACATAATTATATTTAAAAACATTATCATTATGTTGTAAATTACAAATATGGATAATTATGGCAATAAATTAATAAAGCGTTACAATCAACTCTAATCGTATCCACCATCATACTAAACATACATTTTTAAGCAACATTATTGTAATTAGGTACAATGGTTTTATTGGTATTTGCATTTCTACTATTACAGATTCGCATTGAAGCGTTTATTTGAACCTATTCGAAAATGTTTATTATTCACTTCAAGTGTATACTTTATAGCTTATACCGTATAATAGTTTAATAGAATACAATTTTGCTAAGGAGAATATTCAAGGTTTGCGAAAAGTAGTTCATTGAATACTCATCGATTTGAACTATGGTATAAAATAATATTATAGGATTTATTATATGTAGTTCTTGATGTCAATTTGCTCAAGCAAAATGAGGAAACTTCATTTATCTTACAATATGCACAAAGCATACATTTTTAGATTGCATGGCAATTTTTTTTTCTATAATGTAGGTAGACGAAAACGTGTATTATAATTATAAATTAATAAGAATACTTAAAGTAATAAAATAAGCATTTTAACTAATTTATTAAATTTGTTGGTAAATTACTCAAACATTTGAATGTAATTGAAATTATAATGAAATTAAAAGATAAATTAAAATTAGATGTTTTAATTAGATGTAGTTATTATATTTCTTCAATGGCTCAGACAAACGAGTTACATATAATAAAATTCATTTTTTTCTTGTATTATAGTAATTATATTAATACACCTTGACTACGCATACTTATTTTTGTGCTCCTTTGAAGGCTAAATACTTTTCAACTATTTTGTCGTTATAAATAAAGTAAACTAAAAAAAGAAAAAGAGAAATAATATTAAATATTAGTTATAGATAAGTACCACAGTAATTTACTTCTTGTAATAGGGTTGGGAGTTTTTATAGAATATAATTATTTGTAGTAATATATGCAACCAAGCAAGTGTTAAATTACTAATTTACCGAATTAAGCTTTCAATAATTAACCTATGCAGGTACTATGAATCATCTGTCATTTGCATGCTTGTGGCCGGGTTAATATTGATTTCACTAGTAGACGTTAGACAGTGTAGTGGATTTTAGGGTCAACCAAGACGAAAGTGAATTTTTTAAAAATCATAATTTATAATAATTATACATATATGCTTTTATATAACTAAAAACCTTACCAACATTTGTTACTGTAAGTATCTCTTTTGGACTCCTACTGTCCTACTCAAAAACAGAAATAAATAATTCTATTCAATGTTAAATTATACTTGGACTTTAGTTCCACCACGTAAGCTTCAATAGGCTTTATTATTTTTGTATTCTTCATGAAATATGCAACATATTAACTGTCGAGATACAATAACAATAACATTATAAATATTATTATTATTGTTGTTATAATAGTTACAACAATAATATTATGATGAAATATAAACTATGCAATATTATATGTGTATTTTGGTTTGAGTTAACAAGTGGATATGTAGGTGCTGAAGTGTAAGACAAATAAATTAAAGTCTTGTGATGAAAATACTAATTATGTGGTGCTCGGGTAAAAGGTCTTAGGTTCAAATTACTAATTAATAGGCATACAACTTATTTCATATCCCCTCTCTTCAATAAAAAAAGTATTGTATTCAATTTATGCAGTTTTTAGGCTTATACCTTTTGCCCGAACACCGGGCATAATGTATATAACTATAATGTAGATATATACTTTATACTTATCCGTTATAATTTATGTTTTATTGTCTATATCGCTATATTCTTGTTTTTAATAACATAGTTTTATAAATATGTTACTGGAAAATTATGCAGTAAATGATTAATTTGGATATAGCTTAAATTGAAAATTATTTTCTGAATATTGGTACGACATTGGGTGTTCTGTTCACTCATTCAAATTTATATGAACGAAAAAAAACGTTAATAATACTCAAGAGGGTATTTATATTTTAAAGAGTCTTAATCTGTAGACATAATTCTTAGATACTCAGCTATTCTAATAATTCACTTTAAATTTGATGATTTAAATTCGTCTCGCGTTTGTAATAGTCGCAGGCTAAAATGTATAATGACGTTGTAAGTTGTAACGACGTGATTAGGCAAGTCACAATAAAGTATTCTATGCTAGTACTGCTATCAGTGTCGGTGGACAATATATTATATATAGGCATATGCATGTTCATACTTCATAGTCATTTCAATTATAACATGTCATTAAACAATTTTTAAACGAAGGTATGCTATTTTACCACATCAGCTAAAACACATTTGATTAATAATTCGATTTTTTTAGAAATACTATTTAATTGTACAAAAATACAATTAGTTTTTCATAATAATAAGCACAAGTATTAATGGTTATTTTTTGAGAATTTATTTACTTTCCCTCTGTAGTAATGTTTAATAAAAATAACGATTTTGTCTTACAATTAGTCAACTAGAGTTTTATACCTGTAAAAAAAAGTGAAACAAGGTATATTATTGACTGTGGTTGTACAAAAAAAAAAATAATTGCAGGTAAATCAATTATAATTCCACGCAACTTTAGTGTACAAATTATGTCATAATATACATAAATATGTTGTTGGTGTTATATATAAATATATATTTGTATAATTAATACGCCCTAAATGATATGCAATTTTCTACACTTATAAGCCCTTATGAAATAAACGCAATTATAGTGAAACGTACTACACAATAATTTAGAGCTAAACAAATTTCGAATTTATAGGTACTATCGATGGTTGAATATGGATTGGCCAGTGGCTACAACATAATCGGTCTTAAAACTGTTTAAACGTTGTATTTTTTGTTTTATAATGTGAAGACACTCATAAATTAAAAAATATATAATATATTTACATACAGACTGCAGACAGTACTATTATGTTAATGCAGTATCGTACTCAAAAAACAATTATTAATTAATGACCACAAAGATGTTGTATTAAAATATAGGAATTATCGATATTCTTCTTATTATTATTATTATTACGGAAATGACAGTATCATTTGTCTTGTGTGTGTTGCCGTCTCGTGTGTCTTTGTCATTAATACATGGTTGATTATTTTGCTATTAATAATTGTTAATTGACATCTGTGCATGATCGCGAGGTTTTCTATAGCAATATAGAAGAGCCGGTAATTTATTAAGAAGAACTTTTCTAGGATGTACTGGCTATTATAAAGTGTCGATTCGCCCTTGGAAGAATCGACACTTGTCTCATATTCGTTTATTATTAATTGGCGATTTCACTTTTGTTGTCTTATGAATGCGCCCCGAGTTCTAATTACTTATTAACTCGATCTTGCGTGATGGCTAAATGAAAATATGCGGGCTTGGGTTATGTTAAATTAAATAATACTCATAGCTTCAGTATTCAAATTATGCCAGCGTCGTAAACTGAAACGATTAAAAAGTCATCATGTCGTGGGACATTTTGCGCAAGTAAAAAAATGTTTAATATATGTCCATAATTTATAATGTATCCGTCCGTACTTACCTTGACAAAAAAAACCTGTCGATAACTGATGCAATCAAATTTGGTACAATTTTTACTTTACGGCCTTGGCCGGTACATGATAACCGTTCCCAACAATGGTAATTCTATGGCTGTATAGTATCATGTTTATAAACTAATGATTGTTTTGCTACTGTACATAAAATATACTATAGTTAGTACTTGGATTTAAATATGACCGTTTTGATATTAGGTAAATGTGCTATGCGTTTTTAAACGGAGTACCTACGTTCAATATTATTATAAGTAAGTGGTAAGTACCTTCCAAGTACATCTATGTAAGGTCACGAGTGTTTTTTTTTAATCTTTGTAAACCGTACAAAATGTTTTTCTAAACAAACAATACACTTGAACTGTTGGCGTTAAAGTAAAATTGAATTTCCCTAAATACATACTTTAAGTATGTAAACTTTTGTTTGTAAATAATAATTCGTTTTCGTGCTCATATCTATCTTATACTGCAATATATCTTAGACTTATACAATAGCTACGTACTAGACTCCGATCATGTAAGAATGTTTAAATAAACGTACCAAGGATTTTAAGAAATCCTTAAAATTTGAGTACGAGTATCTGTGTTAATATTAAATATATATATATATATATATATATATATGTCTAGTGTAGTATACATTGTAATATGTTGATAAACGCCAAGTACTGAATAGTCAATTCATATAATAAAAAATGAAAACTTATTATTATTGACGTCACATTCCAATAGTATTTATTTGTATTGCGTTTCTTAAGTTATAACTTATGTTCCAGCTTAAATAATCAGTAACAAATATTAAATAAAAATGATGATTACATTTTAAAATGTATATATTTATATTTCATTACTCTTCATTCTTAGAAAAAGATGATTTGCAGTGTGCTGAGGTTCGGTTTTGCGAAAATTTAATAGAATACATATTTATGCAAAAACAATGGTATTGTCGCAAGTATTTTTAGCATTGATAATGAATAATAATTATCTTCAAGAATTTATAATCAACGGTTATGGTTATTAAGGTCATCAATTGTACTACTAACATAATATATAACAGTATTAGGTACATATTACAATTATAACATATTCTACAATATACATTTTGAACAATTTGTTTGAGACCTAGGCCCTAGGTGTATATCTTGACCGAGTTTCAATTTTGTGACTTTGGAGTTAGCCGACAAGAGATCTTTTTTACCGAGATAAATTTATACTAATTTAGGCTATTATTAGATTCGATTCAATGTTTTGACCTATATCCTAAGACCGAATCCTGCAGAGACCAAGGTACAATTATTGATACATTCGAGATCAATTTAAAGTTCTAGGTTAAACCTATATTTTGTACAAAAAATTAACCATTAGTATTTAGTCCACTGGAGATATTGAGGCCTGAGGAGAGGTTGTTTTGGAAAGTGTACATTTTGAATGCTCGTAAAAACTAGAAAAATGGAATTTTAATTTTGCAACTTGTTCAAAATCGAATATATAACATAATGTACAGAACCAAATGTGATATGATTAAGCACTTACTCGATGAAAAGGCTATTTTTAGCTGTAAACCAACAGGTTTAATAGTAGGTAAGTTCGACGTCCTAAAAAATAAAACATTTAGAATTGATGAAATTATAGTTCATATCATATTATTATACTATCGGCTAATATACCGGAAGTTAACAATTTAAATTCAACGTTATATTAATAGATTTAGAATTTACCATTCGTCATTAGTATTTTAAATGTAATGGTTATTGTTACTAACTGCTCAACTAATTCCAATATTATTCATTACAGACAACAAGTTATCTAATTAATCCAATAATTGGTTATTATGTCGTATATAAACGTACACTATATTGTGTAACTAATATTATCCACTGACACTGGAGTTTTTGATTTCTATTTATATGTAACTTGTATGAATGTATTTAAACTGACGCTTTACCATTTCCTAATAACAAAATAATCTAAACACACATTGCTCATAATTAGTAATATTTATAAATTGTTTGCTATCTGCGTTCTATAATTACCATTAGTGTATATGTTTGGTTGTTGTGAAAACTATCTGTTTATTGTTGTACAACCATTTTACATTTAAAAGCAGCATCAGCTATTATTTGCAAGTTTTATACCAATATACTCTTTATTGTGCTCCATCTACCAAGGCTCTATGTTAGTGTTTAAACGGGAAATGTGCATACAATTTATCTGTTGTTTGTTGCAATATTAATAGCATTGCACTGACAAGTTATTAGTTTATTCGTATCCCATAAAAAGTAGCTAATTAGTGTTATTTCATCAGGGAAAAGTTATACCATTTGAATGAATAATGTAATACTGAAATAAAGGAAAAAACTGCAGTGATCTATACACACAAGGAAATGTGGGATATGTACTGCGCGAATGTCAAACGATTAATATGGAAGTATAGCGTGGGATCCGCGTGGGAGTAATCATAATTGCCAATGATAATTATTAACAATCGTGACATTTTACTGTACCTACATGATGCAATATATAATATAGTAGAATCGTGTAAACCATTTGTTTATTTGAATGAATATAAATGTTTTAGTTGAACAGTACTAATTAAGTTTTTTTTTTAAATAAATGACGGATAAAGTATTTGAAAAACTATTTATAAAAATTGTTTTTTTTAAATACCTATTAAACGGGTCAACGACTTGATTAAATATATTTTAATAAGCACAATGGTGTATGTATAATACTTATCAAATAGTAATTATACACATTAAATGGTAATCATTTAATGTTAAACATAAGACCAACAATTAAAGTTAAAAACTACTACGGTCCTAGGTAGAACATTTATCGGCTATTAGCTCGTGTGTTGAGAATGATTATTAAATTTAAGAAATCATAATTTCAGATGACAAAAGGAGCTGGAGGTTCTTTGGCGATAGTAGTCGCTCCCGATGGCGGCTGGGGTTGGGTTGTCGTTTTTGCAGCTTTTTACTGCAACATGATAGTGGACGGAATCGTTTACACTTTCGGATTGATCATGAAAGATATAGCCACAGATTTAAATGAAACAGAAGCTATGGCTACAATTGTCGGATCACTGCTAACCGGATTCTATCTCATCGCAGGTAAACTGTTATTTTAATTTGCTGGTCATGTTTTAATGATGTATTTTTACTTTACTTACAGGACCATTTGTGAGCGCACTCGTGAATAGTTTTGGATTCAGAACAGTTACCGTCCTGGGAAGTCTAATTTCGTTTGGTTCATTTGTGTTGGGGGCTTATGCAACAACTGTTTATCAACTTATGTTTTTCTACGGTTTCGTTGGAGGTAAGTAATGATTTAATTTTAACTTTTTAGTCGTTATTAAATTACTTCAAATAGAACGAACAGATTGTCTTGTTGATATTTACATCTCTGTTCTAATTCACATGCTAAAATTTTAGCTTAAACGCTAAATAATTAGGTAGTTTTGGTGATTAAACTTGACACTATCACTATAACCACACTACACAGCACACATGGGGTAAGGTCTAAAATTCTACTCTTAAACATTCCTCTACCCCAACAGAGGCACCGCCAGAGTATTTGACGCTCTTATATTATTTGATAGTAAATTGTTTTAGTAATGCATGCATTCATTTTGTCTGTTAACAATTATTACGGTCACGTGTATAGATACCACTTGACACTAAACCAACATACAGTGTTGTTATTATCTAATTGGACAATTTTTTTTTTATTTACAAATTATTAGACGATACCAGTATATATAATTATGTATTTATTAAAAATAAAACGATCATTGCACGGTTGAATTCCGACGTAAATTAATTCTGGTTTGAGTAAAATAATAAAATCGACGAATGTTGTATATTACATAACAATAATGGAGTTAATAAACTTAGATGTTTATCGTGCTTGAAGTGTAGTGCTAACAATAATTATTATTAAAAAACGCGTTTTTCAGGTATCGGATTTAGTATGGTTTATGTGTGCGCAGTATTAATACCAGGATTTTATTTCGATAAATGGCGGGCTCTTGCTACCGGTATAGCGGTGTGCGGTTCTGGAATTGGAACTTTTGCTCTTGCCCCTTTAACGGCGTTTATAGTCAGGCACTACGGATGGAGATCTACTATATTGGTTCAAGCAGGTAAATCGAATCAAATACATAATATCCACCATATTTTGTAGCGATTTTCAGTAATGTCTACTTGTGTTTAGGGATGGCGTTGAGCTGTGCCGTTTTCGGAATACTGTTCCGGCCTCTCGAGCCCACCATAGTCGAGGTGCCTTCGAACAATCCCATTGTGATAGAACCCGAACGACCGGAAAACGAACCGTTGCTCGTGGCAGTTAACCATAATAACGAGAGGAAATTGTCAGTAGACACTAGGTTGAGTACCCTGAGAAATGGAGCGCCCACGGCCGAGGCGGTATTCCACCATCTGTCAGGACGGTTGACGCCGGATCATCCGAACATAAGTTTGTCGTGTTATTCGCTGAACACGACCACAGCGGTAAAAGACAGGTTGACGCTGGAGACGAAAGAAAAGAAATTGTCTGTGACGAGTAACAGAAGAAACACCATCACCCCGTCGTTATCGTCTCAGCCGATGGACAGGGACGACAGATTCTTCGGAGGAAGCCTCTCGAGACTACCGCAGTACTCCTCGCAGGTGTGGTTATAAGTGTCATATTTTCAGGGTAGTCTTAGGCTATGTAGCATCCCTTGGGCACGCTGAATATGGAGGCCCCGGGCTCGTGCTTTTGTCGGTGTAGATTTCTTAAATTTGCTTGTTCCGAAACTTAATATATAAGCTACACCGCCGGTCCAGTGTGTATAGGTTAACTTATTTATTTCGTGTAGGTGTTGTTTTAGGTTAGTTCGTTGAACTATACCATGTCCGTTACGAGAATACCCGCGTGGAACGAGGTTGACAACGAAGAGGCGGTGGAATCTGTGAAAAAAAAATGTCAATCCAGCGTTCAGAAATACTACAGGTCGACGATGCACACGCTTAAGACCATGTTGGATTTCTCGATTTTGTTATCCCCGTCCTTTTTGGTGCTGACCGCCAGTGGCTTTTTAACGCTAATGGGCTACTATGTGCCGTTCATGTTTATAAGCGGTAACAATAACAGATTATACATATCATTTATCAGTGTGAAATACCTACATTAATGTTGGCATTTTTTAAGCGGCGATTTTTTCAAATATATATTTTCAGAAATGGCAACCGATCTGGGAATGGATAAAGACAACGCTGTGTATATAGTTTCAATCATCGGAATAACTAATACGGTAGGCAGAGTACTGTGCGGTTGGATATCCAGCTTCGATTCGATAGATCCGATATTTCTAAACAATGTATCCCTAACACTCGGCGGGATCTACACATTCATTTTACCTTTTTTTCCGTATTCCATGTTCTCTTATTACCTGTACGCTAGCCTTTTTGGAATCTTAATGGGTAATAACTGATTTCAATATAGACGTATGTAATCCCATACTGATACTTACATATTTTTATGATCATTCCATTTAGCCTGTTTTGCATCGTTACGGTCGACCATGGTCGTGGAATTGACCGGGCTCGAATTGTTGACAAACGCTTTTGGCGTTCTTTTGATGTTCCAAGGGTTAGCAGCAGCTGTTGGATCTCCCATCTTAGGTAAACGATATTATAAATACGTTAAAAACAAATAGCCTAGATAAATACATTTTGTCGTTTAAGATGCAACACCTCATATTTTATTTTTTGGCCAAATCAAGTTGATCACACCGTTTTATTATAATTTGAGCGGGGAATTTAATGGCGGGCACAGATTTATGATAAAAATCAATAGATTACGCTACAATCGAATAATTCATAACATGGTTTATAATGTTATTGAATAGTAATTAAAATTGATATTTTCCTCTCCCGTAAAGTTGAGAAAAACAAGATAAATGGTGTTGCAACTTAAAATACCAACCGAAAACTAAAGTCATAATTTATCAAATGTTAGCTGTGATTTGTACTTATATATTTAACTTTTTCCTTTAATTTTTAGAAAAAAATAATTAGGTAATAATGAATAATTGTAATTATAAACTATTAAGTCATATTGTGTATAGTTACTAATGACTTATTAGTTTATCTACAAATTAACTACTTAATTAATATTTCATAATAATAGCTAATAATTATAGTTCACAAAATGCATTTTGTATAACATAATTATAATTTTATTACGATTTATTGAAGTACGAAGTGGTTAACGGATTTTTAAATACATGCTTAAAAATAATAAAGTACCTAACTATTTATTGAATGTTAATTACTAAATAACCGAATGATATTAAAATAGACTGATATCTACTTTCGATTACTAAATATTATTTCATTAATCGTTTATTTAACAACGATAAACAAATTATTTAAAAACAATTAATCGAATGTATAATCGCTCATCTCTAGCCGATAGTCAATAATTTTTGATGAAATCGGCATTGTTAAAAGTCCATTGAATTATAGTTAGGACATAAATCGAATAATACACGGAATAGCCCTTAACAAAGCCTATTCTCTTGAAATATTAATTATCTTCAAGTTATCCAAGTATCCTACCCGATGAATTTATTTATTTAAATATTTTTTTTCAGGAATATTTAAAGAATGGTCCGGCAATTATGACATGTCTTTTTACTTGGCCGGTATATTATTGATACTGTCGGGTGTAATTTGCTATCCCATGAGAAGAGTCAAGAATTGGGAAGACAATCGAAAAAAGAAAACCAATAACGTTTGACTGTTGTCGCTCTAAGCGGTTAACCCTTCAATGCTTTCCATTGTTTTTTTATTCGTTAACTATGATTGCGATACATTTATGTCGTTTTAGCGGATAAAAATGTGTAATTCGCGTCCACGTAGATACCACAATATAAAATATATGTATGTATGTTGTCGTGATGGCGTTTTTGTTATTGTTAAATAATTTGTATTACTCTAACAAATTTTAGAAATTATTATTATTACGATTTGATGTATGTGAATATGATATTATTTTCATTTTATAAATGACTCGGAACTGCGTTTATACATATTATATATATATATTTAAATAATCTGATCGTTTTATTAAATTCTCGTCTATTGACATTTGCCCCTGCACGATCTCTCGTTCACGGCGAGGCTTAATATATTATCTTTATACATATACCTATATAAAACTTATAAACGACTAAATCATAATCCTCTATGAACAAACCTATGGTGTAGGTATAGGAAACGTTATACTTTTTTTTTTCTACGACGTTTATCCATGACGGAAAAAACACTATATGTGCTTATACCTATATATAGGCATACATATAAAATATAGTTCACAAACGCCGCTGGCTAAGTTATTGATTTAACGCGTTGGACACGCAGGTTTATGAATATAAAATGTACTTATATGTATATATTGCGCTTCAGGGCGTTCTTGGCAGTAGTAGGTATACCAATTACTTTATGTGGAAAGCCAAGTTTCATTTGTAACAATGGATAGGTTAGAAAAGTACTCGGCGTGCGAAGCAAAAACGTTGCGACACATTTATGAAGTATGTACAATATGCTAGTAATATTATCACAGTAACAAATAACGTTGTTTAATAATTTGTTTTTTGAAAAATCACATCCTATATTTTTAAGTTGCACGCGCGTTTTCGGTGCTATGTCAAAACATGTATGTAGGATTTTTCTAAAAATTAGGTAACCCAACTCATATTTATCCATATTTTAAAAACCCAATGGCCAATCCACGATATTTTTTTATCCTTACACGAACACTACGTTTCCATGTTTGTAAGTCTACTGTTTTTTTCCTAAGCCGGACAGATAAAGTGTAACATTAAAATCTTATACAATAAAAATCGAAAAGACTAAAGAGTCAAGTCGTTTAGTAGCTAAAAATAATAAAACCGCTTCAAATATTGGATTTTTAAACACTACAGCTATAAAAACAATAAATTAACTTTTCAAAAAAATGGATTTATCAACATTTTGATAAGCGTTCCTGAAAAATGTATGTTTTACACGACTAAGCACCGACTATTAGATACATTCATGTCTTAGTTTTTACAATCCAACAACATGGCGAAGACGTGCGCTTGTTTCCTCGACGAATGCCATAAGTTTAACAAGCCAATACCGTCAAAAATGCCCGATTCGAACGTTCCTGTCCACATATCGAAAGACCGAGCAGCGTCCATTATAAAAGCGTTCAAAACGACCTCGGGACCGGAGTTTCTGAAGGTGCGAAACACCCTGTATATTTGCCCTCGCGAGCATACTTAGGCAAAAAAATATCGTTTTACAGATTTGGGACGAATTGCCGGCCAAAGTAAAACAGCTGGACGAGTACAGGAAGCTCACGTTCTACCTGCACGTTTACTACACCATTTTAGAATGTAAAGCTGAAAAATGCAGCTCAAAGGACGATGAAAAGCAAGACAGTTCCATGGACGCTTTCCGTTTGTTTTTGGTTCGGAGGGGAGCAGAATTTAGCACAGAAACAGAATTTTTACCTTATTTCGCTTTGCCTTACGTCTGCGATCCCACGCAACATTCTTCGTTTAAAAATCTGTTCAGGGTAATCATATTATCTATTTAGAGTGCATTAAGTAAGATCACTTGAGCGATTGTATATTTTGTATTCTCTAAAGGAAAACCAATGGTGCGATTCGCTAAACACCAGATTGGAGGATTTTATTCTTGACATTGCGATTAGCACGTCCATTCTGTTGGTGCCCAGTAAAGAAGCGAAAAAAAGAAAATTTGAAAAGAAAAACCTTAAGTCATTATACCAGGACTATAAGCCGCTTAACAGTTAGTATACAATTCGATTGCTTGAATATTTTAATTTTATTTTGCACTGCAACCCCCTACAAGGTACCTAATTAATGAACAAAAATCTTTATATAATATATTTTTTTAATAATGGATTGAAGTAACTCACAAAAAGTATACCTAAATGAGTAATTATAAAAACTCGCAACTCCATTATGCAATTTATACATAAGTATAATAAATCGTATATACGTTTATCAATGACTCGAAAATTCTGATTTTAGTTTTGGCCGGTGAGTTAATAAATGCTTTAGAAAATTCAATTCGAGGACAAACGATTAATTTGGAGATGATATTAAAAAACTGTAACGCAGTGATCGAATGCAATGAAGAATATCAAGTTCGATATTTTAGAATATTATATTATTTTTTTTATTCGAAAATAATACAATGTTTTTTTTTAACCTTTTAAGAGCACAGCAATTGATGATGAATGCAATTTAGGCGTTTTTAAAATCAAACTCGAACTAAGGGATGGGAATAGCACAAAGAACAAACTGCTAATATTGCAAGCTTTACGATGGGTAAGCTTAAATAAAAAAAACCGAGAACTTTCAAAATATTACAAGAATCTTGTAGTTTTATAAAAAGTTTTAATTTCATAAAATTACAAATTGCGTGTCGTTTTCAGAGACTTACTAGATCAGACAATCGACCACAAACGGTGGCTATGATAAAGAAACACGACATGTTAGATTTATGCAAGCCTAAGGCCGAACAAGGTCTAATGAAATGGTTAATGATGACGAACGGACCACACCCATTGCAACAAATGATAGCCAGATTACTCAATGCTTTGGCATCGTTCAGCAAAGGTCGCAAGTACTTGGCAAGTTCTCCGTTTTTGATAAAGCTCATTATCTCGCAGCTCATATCGTCTCAACACTTTTGGGACACCATCACGTGTAACATGCTCTTGGGAACAATACAAAAGCTGAGCACGTGGTTGGTTATATGCAATATTATATTATATTATAATAATAAAGCGCAGTTTCATCAATATTTTCGTTAACACCAAAAATGTATACACTAAAAAATCCGATGGATCAATACGTGTTAGTGATTACTGATTAGTGACATGTATCCAGAAGGATATATTGTGATATATTAAGGTCTGAATTTCGAAAAAGGTTTAAGGGCTCAAAATTACATAGTCATGTTGCCCCCACGACCAATAACCAGCTCGCCCATGGCAGTAATAGCTTTCCTTTACCCATGGACATGTGTACACACAGGCATGCTATAGCAATAGCTTTCTGTTTTTTTTATTTGTTTGTTTACAATGCCCATTACCCCAGGGACATACTTGGAGATTACTTAGGAAATTATCATTACCGGAAATCTATATGCAGCAACGTTTTTGCAACAATAACCGAAATACCATTTTAATAAAAAACATAAAGTAATTTATAATTCTCAACGAAACGCACTGAAGTACTGGTTATGTTCTATTTTTATTTTTACATTAACAGTAAAATGACGACCGAAAGCGTATTACTTACTGATGGGTTAATTAAACGAGAAAATTAGGCAGTTTAGGTAAGGGTTAACAGTTAAAGTTAACATTTTGAGAGTACTTTTTATTTATTTGTATTTTGTCAAAATTCTTTGTATTCTTTGTAGGTCTAATATTCCATCTTAATTAAAGTCATTCATTAACGAAAAGTTCCTTTTTTTAATGTATTGATTGTTAATATATTAATTTAAAGAATGAAATCAATACTTTGCTATTTTCAGATTTTATAATGTCCCCTATGGTACTAGCAATTTTTTTGGAAAACATTTACACTTAGCCTCCCCTAACCTCTAATAAAACTGTGGACTCGCCTATACTCATGCCTCGTACCATTATAAGTTAAAAAAAAACAATAGCAATATACAAATAAACGTTAGATGTATTATTGAGTCGGATATTTATAACTGATTATTTTTTTTAGTGAAATTAGAATTATACCCAAATACAATATAAATTCTATTCACAAAGACTAGATTTCAAATGATCAAAATTATAATGTATATATGATATATTTGCCTATAATGATTATTTCTAGATTTATTAGCATATTTGTAAGTATAATTAATAAAAAATGTTTCATTTTATTATTATCTTTAATCGCATCTACGAGTATAAGCTAAAGAAAATTCTACAAAATATGAGAAAAGTATAGATAAAATTATGTTACATAAAATATTGTCAACAATTTCTAAAATAATAAACATAAGCAAAATAATTGTAATTTAATGTTTTCCTGGTACGTGTAACACATTTTTATTGACCTTTGTAAAATGTTATTTTTTATTATGTCAAGTCGGCTATTTGAAAACTCGACTAAAATATTTTATGCGATTTCAATAAGGCATATAATTGCATTTTTTGAAATGCATTTTTCAATACATTTATTATGGATATAAACATTCAAGCTCTGAGAATGATAAATACAGTGTTTTGGATATTGTTGCAGTGCCCGTCAACGGAAACAAATGATCGAAAACGGTTTGGCAACTTGGTTGGCCGATCAGTTGGTGAGAAAAAGCGAATTCACAGGCGACAGGAACAAATACGAAATGTACGATTTGGAATACAGCTTAGGGCTTTTCATGAATCTCTGCAAAAGTCAATTGGCCGTCTACGCGTGTATTTCTCGGGCTCGAAATCTACTTCAAAGCATTGGCGTTTTTCTTACATCTCTCGACGTCGATGTTAGTAAAATTGTTACAAGTTAAAAAAATAATAAAACACTTTATTAGGCGCAATCGGAAGGACTTTCCCACCTCCCTTCACGCCATGTTTAGCCTAACTGTCTACTTACTACTCGTCCATTTGGAAAAAATCAAAATTGTAGTTACTCACAGTAAAAATAGTGTATGGTTTAAGATGGCCATGAATGGATTCAAATATCGTCGCTTAAGATGCAACATCTCATTTCTTATTTTTTTGCCAAATCAAGTTGGCCACACTGTTTAATTTAAAATTGTAGCGAGGAATCGACTGTCGGGCACAGATTATAATAAAGTATTAAATAACGATATGATCGAATAATGGTTACATGGTTTATAATGTTATTGAATGGTAATTGACATTTGACACTGATTTTTGCTCTCCTGTAAAGTTGAAAAAATGAGATATTATATGAGGTGTTGCATCTTAAGCGACGATATAGTATAAGAGTTTGTTTGCTTGTAAGAGTTCGCCAAACATATCAAACTCGAGTGTTAAAACCACTCTCAGAGGTTGGAAAAATTAAAAACATTAATAATGTAACATAATCATTGTATTTAAAAGCGAAATAAACGAAAGAAGATATCAAAACACTCTGACTATAAAATCGAATTAATCATAGTGTTATTTATTTTTAATTTTAACATTATTGATTAGCTACATTATATAAAAACGATAGTAACCTATTCAATGAAATTATTTATTCTTTAAGTTATTGTTTTTTTAGAAGAACTTTTCAAATGTTTAAATAATAAGCACAGGCCAAAATTGTAGGTGTAAATTAATTTTCTATGATAAAATATTGCCTATACGAAACCCCTTAAAGTATAATTTTGTGTGGCGTTCTCGTTTGTGTAAATCCAAAAATAATCACTGTTTTTTATTTAAATTATATTATATTAATATTAATTCCGTTTTACTTACGGCTGTTTTTGGTTATTTTAAGATCTTGCCGTGTGTGTCGAGGATTTTTTACAGACTTTTAAAACAACAGGAAATGATAAGCGTGGCCGTCGAATGCGGTTTAATTGCTATCGTCGAACAGACCATAGAAAAAAATAAAAACGTTTACCCGTTGGCCGTTGACCATTTGTTGGGCGTAAGAGACGTTCTGCAGCATAGTAAGCACCCGGGCTTGGATCAATCGTCAGACGACGATGAAAACAATAATTCTGATGATGTAAAACCACCTTGGGTTATTATAACTGGCCAATGTGTTTGTCTAATTAACAAAAAATTGCTTTGTTCGTTTATAGGAAGATTACGAATATCTTGAAGTAGAACTGGACGAAGACGACCCGCTAAAAATTCAGCCGAACGGCGAGGAATTCTTAGCTAGCTACAAAACCGCAGACAGTTTGGCCGCATTGACCATTGACTAACATATTAGCAGATTACAATAACAGTTAATTGTTATTTCTATAGTTGAATTTATAAAAATTTTCTATTACAATACAGTTAAAAATAATTTTAAGAATCGTTGATTACCATATATTTTTACAAAATTATATACTTACCAAATATCATGTATTTTTTCATCACGCTTAGAAAAAGAGATCAAATACAAAACTTGTGTAATCTTAAATAATAAAATTATCGAAAACAATTTACTGATTAATATTGAATTTAAAAGTAGCTGTAGTTCCTTTAGCAGCAGGCAAAATATTAACTTAAGACCTGATAGTTATTATACCTCGTATTAGTATGCTGTGTAGGCCAAATAACATACACCAATAGTTTTTCATATTTGGGACATTCCATGCCAAGTAGCTGCCACCTAAAATGTTTAATATTCCTAAGCATTTGTTCCATACTTTACGATAAACATAATATTAGCAATTATAGCAAACCGAATTTTATATTTTTGAAAAGTGGATAGTGCTCGACTTTTTTACTATAAAATATGTCATTTTTAGATAAGGGGTATACTTAGCCGAGCCGTATTCAATTTTACCTCGCTTTGTCATTTATTCGAGCAATGTCGGATTGACGTTTGGATTTTTGTTAAGACAGACAACTTTAAACAATCACAGAAAACAAATATTCCATAAACCAAAAAATTGAATCGCCCAAGCACAGATAATAATATTGTCTTCTATTTCTCTAAGATTGGTGATTCTAGTATTTTAGTCTATTTTACAATACTAATTACGAATGGGTAGCGTCCCTTAACTGTTTTAGGTTTACAAAAAAAATGTAAAAAAAACGTTATTGTGAAAAATTGCCTTCGCCAAACCTATTAATAGTCAATTGGCTGTCTTGACTGTGACAGTTAATGCTAAAACTAGCAGTAACTTAATTTCGAAATATTTTTCAAAAAATATTATCTCTTTAAATAGATGTTGTCGATTTTTTAATGAAAATACTTTTGGCCTTTGAATGTGATTTCCTTAAGTCGCTGAATTCGTTATTTCCTTTGCCCCTAAAGCATAAAGCAATTATTTCCATTTGGATTTTTAGCTAAAAAATTATAATTTAGAAAGTAATAACATTGCAAAATACTTTCAAACCGGACACATTTTTGACAACGATCGTTGTCGGCCGATTTTTTTCTTCGTCTGAACTATTCAGAATTACGACGCCACGTCTTAAATCGATTCAAATCATATTATACGTATATAATATGGATGTATAAATAATATGTATTCATAAATTCGCATTCTGTCTATAAAAAAAACGTGTACCTATTTATTTATACGTACATAATGCACCTCTACGCGGGTTTAACGTGCAGTCTTTCTTTCTAATCGACAAATAAACTTTCTACCGAAAAGAAAAACATAATAAAAAATTCACTGGCGCGTACATACATATAGTAACGATAATAATAGAAACCCACTGTGAACACTGTCCGGGTGTTTAACGTCGCCGCCGTATGAATGCATAATGAAGATCAACCGGTTTTTTGTTTTAATAAGAAAAGAATCGTTGATCTTGGCCGTGCGATCATAAACGCCAACTACTCACACGGCATTTAGTGTGATACAGCGTTAAGAAATACACCTATACCGACACCGTATTATAATAATATTTAATTTAAAACGTTAACGCAATGTTCTTTCGAATACCGTTAGCGGGCCTTTGTCTGGTCGCCATCGTCTCAACGCTAGACGTCAACGGTGAGCAGATTTCAAAAACTACACAGTTCTTGGCAAACGCTGCACTTCAGGTAATAAACAAAACCCATACTAAATTACACTAAACACGTATCAAATAGCTGGTGTTGATTTTTATGTTGAAAACAGTTTTTTTTTTAATAATAATAATAATAATTAAGCAACATATTTCTCAATCCCTCGACCCACTTCACGCGGTCTGTGAATAACAATAACTGCAATATGACTAATAGGTACGTCCGATGTCTTAGCAGGGGCGAATTTAACAATGAAAGGAAGGAGGGGGATGGAAAAAAATGTACTTTAAATACATATGAGCAATATAGTCGTAGAGTAAAGTTAAGTTTATATAGTAAAAAACAAATACATGTTCTATTCTATTATATTGTTAAAGAAATACACTTTTAATACTTAAAATTCAAGTACACAAGGGAGGCCCATAATCCTCCATGTATATGTCCCTGAGCCTGAGGAAATTAACTCATGGCAAACTCGTACACTCATCTGCAGGCGACCATCGAAGACCGGTACAACTACGTGTCGTCCCCTTTGGCCGCCTCGATTATCCTGGGATTGGTGACAGAAGGAGCAGAGGGTGATACTAAGAGTGAACTGCTGGCAGCCTCGGGATCCAACGAATTGTTGGACAAGGAGGCGTACAAGAAGGTGCTCACTTCGATCAAGGTTAGTCGAACACGTCTTAGACTGTTCACAGTAATTACTGTGTCTTCTTCTTCTTGGTTGTGCAGGGGTTGTCATCCGACGGAACGTTACAGAACAAGGTGGTGCTCAAAAATTTCGTGTATGTCTACAAAAACTACAGCGTCCACGAGTCGTTCGCCGAGTTAGCTAAGGAGTATTACTTGGCAGATGTCAAGAGCGTGGCAAGACCAGACTTGGAGGTCCGCATTCTCCAGACTCGGGAAGACGTCACAAACACCGGTATACGCATTGTTTTCTACTCTATTTTCACGTTGCAACCTTTAATTGTAAAAGTATATACCTGTAATACGCTATAAAAGTTAAAAATAACAAAATAAATATACCTACTCTGTACTCGTGTCGAAAAGGCCATTGACCTTGTTCGCTCTGGCGCATATTATAATAACACCAAGCGACGCCAGAAGCTATTTGAATATTTACAGTAATAAGTTCAATAAGGACAAGTTAAACAGCAAAAAAAAAACACTACAAAACCGCATCACCTAACAGAAATCGAATCGCGCAATAATATGCTAATACTAAAAAAAAACTGCACTATTCGATATTATCTTTTCTAGATAATATTCCTTTGATGAATTATCTTTTATACACAAACATGAGCACTAATTTTTCTACATGGGACAGGGAGATAATTAAAACTCGGCAAAACGATTGGTTTTCTTTATGATGTGTAGCCCTCGTCTTGTAATTATTTTCTATAAGCGTTATTTTTTTTGGAAAGCTCAAGTTTATTTTTTTGTAATGGCAAAAGGCATTTAAAAGAAGACATAGCGATTTATTAAAAACATGTCTATATCGTTTTTTAGCGTTTAACGAACACGCCATGCTGATGTTCAACGGGTTCTCTTTGGAAATGAGTTGGCCGACGAGCACTTGGCACAGGACTTCAGTGTCTTGGGACGGTAATGTGATTAGAGCATTTGGAGCGGCCGGCAACTTTGCTCTGGGCTACGTACCGTCAGTAGATTGTACAGCTTTCAAGTTACCATACAAGGTATATCCATGTACTCTTATCGTTAACTTTGGCCTTTTGCACTGTTCAACCAAAATTATTCATTACTGTATTAATAAGTATACACAATAGTTAAAAGCTCTAAATTAAGGTTTTTTTAAAAAAAAATAATTACCTATACTTTACTCCTTAATAAATGTGTGGATGTATAGCTTTCTCTTAATAAAATAAGTATGATATTTTAAGAAAGTCTACTGAAATACGTTTGGTTTTTTTTGTACTCTAGAACACGGATTACAGTCTGCTAGTGCTTGTACCAAAAACCAAAAGTACATTGGACGACACGCTTAAAAGCCTGCCCGAAAACAGCATCGATGAAATCACAAAGACGTTGACTATGAAACCGGCTTTCGTCACGATGCCATGTTTTGAAAGTAGCAACATCACTTCCTTTAAATCTGTTTTAAAAGAGGTAAAATATAATAATATTATGATCCACCCTACCGGCTTGATCTAACACGGATCTATTGTTTAAATGTTGTGACAGAAAACAAAGGTAAACAGAGTTTTCACCGAAACAGCCGACTTGTCAAACATATCGTCTGACAAACTGTACTTAGACGACATGGTTCAACAGGCAGGTATTGAAGTATGCATCGATGGAACATCAGCTTTTTCATTATCTAGTAAGGAATTATAAATGACATTAAAACAATTAACCAAAATTCGATAAGAAAAAAAAATAAACCAATTTTCTGCTATTTATTTCAGGTTCAGCGTTTGCGCCTCAAAGAGTCATCAAAGAGTATATAGTTGTTGACAAACCATTTGTGTACATCTTATACAATGAGAGTAACAACGTAATACTCGTCGCTGGTAAAGTAGAACAACCCAACTGGCAAGAAACAGAGAACAATTCAAACACTGATATTGAAACTATCAAAATGTAGGAGAACGATATCTACTAGCGCCTCATGGCCGAAATTAATTATTAAGTTTTAAAATTAGCAAGTCATAATTATTTTTAGAACATGTATTTATTAAATTATTATTATACTATACATTATATAATAAAAATATAGTTACACTATTTACACAACACATGGAAATATGATATAGAATTTTTTACACAGTCACTAGTAATAGGGTTGAAATTAATACTATGAGAAAAATACGTCATTTGATTTCGTTTTGAATTTGTTGCCATTTTTGCACCAGTGATGAAACATGCTTGTGTTTTAGTCCAAGACCTACATCTAATTTTCCGACCTGCAAGAAAGAAAAAGAAGTAATAATAAGCATAAAATTATAATTATGTTTTACATAGGATTTTCACAATTTAAACTTGAAGAAAATACTGCATAGTAAAGTTTTAAGTTTGTAGGAATTATATTTACTTTTTTCTTTTTTTTTGGTTTGATCACTTCTTTGTCTTCTTCTACACTTACAACTGGATTAGAAGTTATTTTCGCACGAGGAACTATTTCTACATCAGGTGTTTGAACTATTGTTTCTGGTTGACTGGGTGGTTTTGATTCAAACTGAGCAATATCGGCATAAAATGAATTTAATTCATAAGATAACTCATCACCAGGAACCGGCGGCTAGAATCAAAAGCCAATTATAAATAGATTTAGTCATGCTATGATGATAAAAAAAAAAATTAATGAGTTTAATGGATCAATAACAGGCTACCAAATTATACACATTAAGGTACCACAGAATGCTTAGTGATCCATTAATGAATGTTCTTGCGACCCCCAACACTGAACTAGAAATTGTAAAAAATTTTATATATTAAACAGAGCCTCGTCCCCACTATCAAGCCAAACCCTAAATGCAACACAAACATGTTACAGCTGAAATACAATGTTAGCTAAATTTTGCATACACATCAAAGGTTTGTCGAAATGCCGACATTACAGGAGCCAAGGAAACATTTCGTTGTGACGTGGTTCGGTGTGCAGCTCGAGCTTCAGCTCGCTAGTGTGGACGGGGTTCAAGATTTTTACTTACAACTATTATTTCTGTTCCTTCTTTATGGCTATCATCTTCGATATCCATATCTTCGGGTTCAGGGTGGCTAGTATCCGGTTCGGAACAATTGGTTGGAGGAGGTGTACAATCTTTAGCCGCCCCAGTTGATGACTGAGTAATCTCAGTTTCCTCAACTGGATAATGCCATTGTGTATGGCCATCAGCAATGTTTTGATAATAATACCTCGTGTTAGTTCTAAAATAATATCCACAAATTAATGTAAAAGTAAAAATAAATAATTTTTGTTTTTTTTTAAAGACACATTTAAAGCCAAAAAAATATATAATTAACATACTTGTAATTATAAATAAATATAAGTTGTACTATATGAAAGTGAAATAAATACATTTAATAATACTTATGTTTGACTCAAATAACCATATAAAATATGAAAAAATGTTGTTGTATTGTGCCTGTTGGAGACAAACCTGTTGTGTAGACATTATTTCCGCCATATTATTCCACCTGCGTTTAACACATCTCAAATGCAAACCACACAATTGAATACTATTAAATATAAAGTAGTAAAGATAAAGTATTATTACAATGGTAAATAATTATTTTGAGCACATTTCAAGCCATTTGAACTTCAATGTTGATTGGTTATGGAGTCCATAAAACTTTTCTGTTTTTTTTTGGTACATACCTACTTGGTGTTCAAACTGCCTTAGTCATAACTCATATGCTATTTACATATTATTTTGAAAATATTTTTAAAATGTAATTTCCCCTCTCTCATATTTAATTATCGACATAAAAAAATTAATACAATAATAGTAACTGCTAATTTGTATATTAAACAATTTGTTAGTCAATAATCTCAATAAATCAAAATATAGCACATACTTGTCCCACTGACACGACCAACCATCGGGCACAACAGATTTTTCTAAAGTTCTCAATTCAATTGCCATTTCATCGAGCCATTTTGAAAAATAATCATCATTTAATGCATTTTCTTTCCAAGCTTCCATTAATGTCTGTAAAAAAAAAAAGTACAATATTATAATGTTAATTTTTTACAATAAGTAGTACAGAGTGATCAATTCAACCTTAGATAACCCAGTATCTCTTAAGATAATTATTAGGTAATATACTGATTTTTTTATTAATTTAGGTAATTTTACTGATTTTATGATATGATTAGTGCCTATCAGCAATAAATGGACACTAATTTTATTTTTATTTGTTAATGTAATGAAAAAATAATAAGAATATGCAGCTTATTCACTATATCTAAAATGTCTATGTCTGTTGTGAGCACTGATGATGGTAGCATTGTTATAGGAAATACTCGTGTACTCTAAGTGTATTATTTATAGTAGTTAAGAGAACCTTCTAGTTATTAAGGGGTATTGGCAATTTTTTGAAAAAATGTTAATTTAAAAGTTAAATTGTGATGTGTTGATTGTGATGATTATTAGTTCAGTAATTAGGACTATAAATTATCTTTTTTATTATGAGTGTTTAATCTTTAAAATCACAGTATTTTATCTATTTAATGTAAACATGTTTTTATCATTGAAAATCATCAATGAGACATTTAAAAATATTTTATTATTTTTTTTCATACTTTATGTTACTTTACAATATTACAAAATTGCTAAATATACGCCTGTTTTTATGTCATTTTCAGAGTTCTATTCACTTATGCAACTTTAACAGTAATGTATATATTTAATACATTTTTTTAATTTAGAATAATTTTTTGAAAATTTTGACTGGATGATAACCAATTTTTAATAATTACTTTTAATGTTATTATAGTTTATATTTTGGGCAAGAGATGAGGTTCGGTTGAGTAAACCACGCATAGTAGGGTTATACTAAGTATAAAAATAATCCACCCTTCCTCCAGTCCTAAATTTTAAACTCATAATTTTTAAAATACATTTTTTAATCAGATTAATGATAAGTCAAAATATTTAGTTAATTATTCATTTAAAAAGTTAATTAAATATGTATGTTACCGTTTAAGTATTAAAGTGGATAGAGCTCTAAAAAGGTAACACATTTAGTAATTTTATAATGTAATAAAATAACAAAATATCTAAAAAACCCTTAACCATATAAAATAATACACTTTAGTGTACACAAGTATTTCTGTAGCAATGCTATAAGAAAATACTAAAACTTTTGTAAAATAAATATTTATTTATTTAAAACCAGGCTTCTTAAGTATAGTTTAGTAGCTTCTCTATATTAGGATGCTAACCTTGTTTAAAAAATGTACTTATTTATCAAGTATTTAATTTCAATGTATTTATTAATTAGTAACTTACATCAATTTTAACAGTCATGATTTGAACAGTGGATAATTTTGTATTGTTTTCACAGTCTGATAAAAAATGTAATTTGGATGAGATTAATAAAGATAATTCTTGAATGTGGTTTTTATCTAAAAATTGGAATTAGAAATAATTGTCAACATAAAATTGATATATGTACAAAAATAAAGGTTATTTATCAAATTACCTATATTTAAATCACATAATATAGTTGATTGTTTTGCCAAAGAATTCGTTTTGACAAATTTTGGACTACTTGGCAAATTTATTGTTTCACCTTTAACAAAACTGATTGAACCTCCGTTATTAGGCTTAGTTGGAGCTGAATAACCAAATCCCGTTTTGATATTGGCACAAGGGTCATGACTGTACAACAACTTTTTTTCATTTAAACTATTTGTTCCATCATCTAAAAATTAAGATACGATTTTGTTAAAAACATTTTTTTTTTTTTAGAAATATATACATCTATTAGGGTGATTGTTAATTTTTACTTTGTATCGGAGCCCTTCGATTCGGTTCCAAGAGAGTAAAGTTTTGAGTTTTTTTTTTTTTAATTAGGAATGATTTCTTGTGATTTGAGTGGAAAGTTTTCCTCGATATATTAATTAAAGAATCCCAGAATATTATAATTATTATGATTCATTTTTGAATAAAAATATTATTAAAAGGAAATTACCTCAAATACCTTAATACATTTCCATAACAAGAAACTGTTTTGGCTACAAATATTGTTACAGGAAAATATATATTCGAAATTAAAATAAAAAATATTGTTTTCAAATAAATAAAACATCTCACTACAACACCAGATTGTCCAGGATTAACAGGTTATGTCTTGTATTTTCTTCTAATTTGGATGGTTGATAAGGGAATTAAAACAGTGGAGAAATCTAAAATTAACAAAAATGCACCAAATAATACTAAAAATTTCAAATTTCTCCATTATTTCGGGCCCTCTATCGATCTCTAAATATTAAGATAATAGGAGCATGACCTGTTGATTGTAGCTAAGCTGGTCTCACTTGTATATATAATAATTTTTTAAAAAAATGTAATTAATTTATAACAGATTAACAGAAATTCAGAATAAAATTTTTCCAAAACCTATAAATATAATAAAGACGATTCTAATATGTATATATATATATATATATCTATTAATAATGTACTATATTATTACTATTTATATGTATTTATTCGTACCTTGTTCATTATCTTCACCATAATTTGCAATCAAACTGAATGGTTTAATCGTATTTTCTTTAGCCTCTAACTTGGGTTCATTATTTAGATTGGTTAATGAACTTATATTACTCTCGAGAAGCTTAATTGATTGTTTATTAGTCGTTTTCAAATCTGGTGATGTACTTTTAGGACTTGTACTTATTTGATCTACGTAATCTGGAGGAACTTCACTATTTAAAATGTCAAAAATATCACCAGATGATTTATTTTCTAAAGATTTTTTTGTTTCAGATTCATTTATTATATTATCAGGAGGTATCTCTGTTCCAATAATATCAATTATATCGGTTGGACTTTTTGATTCAATTACGTTTTCTGTTATTTTTATACAACTAATTTCCTTTTCTTTTTGTTTAAACATCTCAGCTTTTTGCTGTAATCTCTTTAATATTGTAGATTTTTGCACCAGTTCATCCTCTTTTTCATCATCACTGGAATCACTACCGTAATCAACTAGTGCACTTAGTTTTTTAGATTCTTGTTTAGGTTTCTTAGCACTTTTACATGAAGTAGGGTCTAGTACAGGTAATGCTTCACTTGATAATCTTTTTCTAGAATTGGTGGTTCCATTCAAGTTATCTAAAACATGTTATGACGGTTGTGAAAATAAATAATAGTTAATCATATATTATATTAAATTTTTATGAAATTTAAAGTATTTCATTTAATTTACCTTCGTTGTTAACGGTATGGGCAGCATAATACTCAGGTTTCTCCCATGTCACTTTATTAGTTTGTGTATTCCAGTAATATATAAATCCAGATACATCATCGTAACATTCTTGCCAAACTGTAAATATAATTACAATTGTGTAAAACACTTTGTACTCGAGTTGAAAAATGATAGTTTGTTATTTATTTAAAAATGTTTACTAACTATGGTCAGAATCATTATCCTGAAAAGTATTCATTAATCCATTTTCATTGATACTAGTATTATGAATTTGAACTCCGTTTGGTTCTAAAGAAAAATAATATATTAAGTAAGCAAGGAATCAAATAAATTATAGATATTTAATATGGGGCTTACGCCCCTAATAAGTAATTGAGTTGGCATAAGTATGTACAAAAAATATTTAGTTATAAGTAAAATTTGATGGGTTTTTACTAATATCATAATGTTAACTTAAAAGGTATCAAATTCTAATATCCAAGTACTCAAAAATACTACCAAATAATATCTTTTATAATAATAATAATAAAAATAATTTATGTTCACTGTTCATTGTATTCTAAAATCGTTACAGTGAAAACATGTTTCCTTAGTTACATTAAAAGGATTGAATACCGATTATTCTCGTCTATGTCCATTAAATACTTTTTTAAATATAGTTTTCCTACTACGAATAAGAAACGTTTAAACACTTTAAAAAGTACTCTGTTGGATCTCTAGTAAACTTCATGACAAATTTAAGTCCGTTTTCAAATTCCTTATCGCATCACTAAGTAAATCGGTACAATGTACAAAATATACATCTAAATTCCTTTGTTGTACATGAGATAGACGAGACGGGACTAATTGCTATCCAATCCCATTAAAATAAAACAACATTGATATTTAATACATATAAACAATAAAGTAACTTATTTATTTGACTATTTATCATGTTTTAGTAAGTTTACCGTTTTCAATGGACTGTGTCATATCTAATATGATTTTTCTTCTATCCATGCCAATAATAATGTTCAAACCGATCTAATGATTGTTTTTTTTATATAATAAATATTCTGGAACAGCTCAGATACTAATACATTATCCACGATTATTGCACTATTTACCTCCTATACACAATTTTAAGTCTGAACTATCAAAAGTGACAAGTTACAACTTACTATCCAGATAAAAAAAAAAATATAAATTGTATTTTTATCAATAATAGCATGATAAAACAAATTGAAAATAAAAATTATGTCACAAAAGCTTAGAGTAGTAATATGAAGAGGTGAACTCCGTGTACTCACGTCCCACTGAAAGCATTCTGGTCAAAAGTTCCTAAATGATAACAAAGTATCAAGTTACCACTATGGTTATGACGGCCTTGCAGCTGACGTCCCGAATTACCCCGCCCTTCGTGGTCCTCCTTTTTTCTTTTGCAAGGTTATAACCAAGTTATACCATTTGAAGAAATAGTAATCTCAGCTTTAATATTATTTTTCTAACTACAGTGCTACCAATCATAAGTACTACAATGAGCAAGGTGGATCCTTTTTGACAATGAGTTATCGTTATTAAATATTGACCAATCAACGTCTGTCGATCACCTTGATAATCGTGATTTTATTGTTTTATATATTAATTTTGAAAGTAAAACGGCCAGTCAAAAATGTATTGGTATGTATTTATCGAAACGTTTGCTTTCCCTATATTACGTATTTTATTTTTAGCTTACTATCATTAATATTTCACATTTATCTTATCAGTATTAAACCTGATATTATCATTCTTCTGAACAATTTTATCATGATTAAAGATAGCAAGATAATTTTTTATGATTTATTTACATCAACTCCTAGTACTTATACTACATGTAGTCTGTAGAACATGTTCTTTTTTTATTTTAAACTTGCACTCCAAGGAAAACCAGTAGTTGTACTGATTTGAAATTTTAATTTACTGAGTGACGCAGTCGAAATTTTATGTTAATATCATTAACCTATTAGTTTTTCGGGAACAGTTAAAAAGTAATACAAATTAATTATGCATGCTATACTACAATAGGATAATAATTATTCATATAATTTGCTTGTATGCATAATATTTTTTCATTTGTACCCAGTCTTAAAATTGTTTTTCCATTTCACTTAATTATAATATAAACGAAATTTATATCTTGTGTATGTTTTATTTAATTAATGTATCGTAAGTATTATAAAACCTTCTATTAATGCTTTTGTAAAATTGTATTTATATAGTTATCAATATAAATTTAAAAGTATGTACTTCGTAAATTTATTTTATTTATAAATTATTTCCATCACTTTATTTAATGAGAATTTCCAAAAATCAAGAGATTCTTTAATTTTTAAGTTTTTTAACTTAATTAAATTATTAAAAATGTAAAAAACTATTTCTAGAAATACTGAGCAAAAGTAATTAGTTTAAAAAAATTGTTAAATTTAAAAAATTTATAATATTATTTAATTTTTTTTTCTACTTTTATCAAGTAATTTAATTTACATTATTTTTCAGTTTTTTTTTTTTTTTAATATTTCAAACCAAAACTTTTAACTTGGATACATATTTTCAATTGCTATTCATATTGTGTAACTAATTATTGTTAAGACACGACTAATGGATTGTAAAAATTGTTTTTATAAATCTAGATTTGGGTGTCTAATGCTTAATGGGTACTATGATTTCCTTAACCGTGGATATTATAGCAGTGTGAATGCAAACGTTGGATTACCTACTGGTGGTATTTTCCTCTAAGCAAACACCTGGTATCACGCTAGAAAAAGAGACTACCATCCTTATTATTACTAAAAACAATTATGCCTAATAGACGACCAATATGATCTAACTTACTCCTAATCAACAGTGCCATAATATAATAGTAATGTCCCTTATGCTATTATTTTAGTATATTTCTCATTTTTCAATAATATTTTAATGTACAAACTTAAGCTTTATTTTTTATATTTTATAGTAAAACGATAACATTTTATCTGACCTACATAATTTGTATGTATGCTTATAAAACAGTAAGAACATTAAAATATTATACAAATGTTTATATTCTTGCTTCCTGAGTTTCCTAACTAAATAGCTAAATATCACACTTCTGTTTTCATTACTGTGGTTTTTTAACCACAGTTATTTTATTCTAATATATAGTAACAACTATTATATAACTAATTGTAAACTATATTATTTTATCTATTATTTATTAATTAAAAAAGTATAATTTAGGAAAAACCGATAGTAAAATATATATTTATTCAATTTTAATTGTTAACAGATTTTTTTAGTATGTTTTAAGCTCTAATTAATCTTATAGTAGCTATATACTATTAAACATTTTTACTATAAAAAAAACTGATAAGAAAACTTTTTTGTCTTGTGAAATATTTTAAAGATATCATAAACATTGTGTTTCAGAGTTCCTGATTATGTGACGACCTAAGACCTTGTAACAATGTTCCTGATATCCGACTATCAGTTTGAAATAACTAGCACTCTCATAATCATGTTTATTATAATCATGTACACTTCTAGTCATGCTTTCCGTTATTACACTAAATATGCCATATTTACAGTATTGTCATATATTTCTGCCACCGTATTCATACCTCTCATGCTATGGAGACCTAAGGACTACCGAAATGGATTGTAAGAAAATTATGTGTATGTGCAAATAATTATGTTATTGGTTTTCTTTTTAAATAATTTTTTAGGTTACCAGCTTGGGGAGGACGTCAAATTTCAAAAATTTTAGGTCTCACGTGGGAATTTAGGGGAAAAGAAAATATCGTCAACGATTCTGGTTGTGTGGTTTTGATTAATCACCAAAGCTGTTTGGATTTATTGGGTAAAGTGATTTTTTATTGTGAATATTTATTTTTGATAATAATTTTATTGACAACTAGTTAATTTGCTCATAATAGTTATTTATTATTTATAATAATTAACTTATTATATGTTTTAGTATTATCAGAAATATGGCCGGTTATGGACCGGTGTACAGTAATTTCTAAAAAAGAAATTTTTTATTTTTGGCCATTTGGGTTAGCGTCATGGTTATGGGGTACAATATTCATTGATCGACTGAATGTTGAAAGTGCACAGAATACAATTAACAAAACTGGAGAAACTATTCGCCAAAGAAAGGTAATTCTAACTAAATTACAATGTTAAAAACTCATTATTAAAACATATTAATTAAAAAAAAAAATGATATTAACATGTTATAATGTTAAATGTATGAAATTAAAATTATATTACATTTCTTTCAATATAATCGCTTTTGGTATGTTCTCTTATTAATGGTTCTTGAAATATTTTAATATATCAATAACATATACTTTTTCAAATAGGTGAAAAGAATATTTCTACGAAGTTTTTTTTTTTATAGGCAAAACTTTGCATGTTTCCTGAAGGTACAAGACATGGTGGTGATGAACTTTTACCATTTAAAAAAGGAGCATTCCACGTGGCTATTTCATGCCAATGTCCAATACAACCGATGGTTGTATCACAATATACATTTTTAGACCACAAAAATCGTACATTCGATTCAGGTAATAATATTAGCCTTACTAATAAATTGTATTTCCTAAAAATAAACAAACAATTTACTGATCTTAATTTATATTTACTTGATTACCAATTTAATAAGGCCAGTACAGTGGAGTCTAGGCATAGTGAGAATGAAACATTTAGGGTTGGTTGATGTCACAGGTCTACGGGAATAACTAAAGGTGAATTTATCACTTTCAAAAAAATGCTTAGATGCGAATCAGTAGATGGTAGAAATACAATAATAGACTTTATCTAAAATATATTCCATACAAATTTGGAACTAATTAAACTACTTAAAAAAAGTTATTGCGTGCCATATTTTAAAGTTAAAAAATAAGTAAATTTATTGGGTGTTTCTCTCAATTTTGAAGAGGAAGGGGGTTAAACTTCTTAAATTTTTTACCTGATAAAATACCTTCCAGGTTAGATTTCTGATCAATAGACTTGCCACTTGAAGAAATCAGTTCAGCAGGTTAGAAGATATCGTGTGATCAGACACAATTACCCAAAAAATAATAATAAAAACTATCTTTTCAGCTACGCATCAAGTTAGTAATTGAATTAAATAACATTAAAACAAAGTAATTAGGAGATTTTTAGTATTATAATAACTATTTATAAAAACTGTTTACCACTTATAATAAAACAGTATCTGGCATCTGCATATTATAATAAAATTACCATTGAATAGATAAATAAAAATGTTAAGAAAATTATTAACTTACAACAATAGTTATAAATTATTAAGTTTGGATACTGTTATTTTGAAAATGACCTAAAAAAGTGGTTGAACAATTTAAAAAAGATCATAAACCAAAAATAAAATATAATAATAATAATAATAATATTCTATATTACGGAATCAACTCCATTTACAAAAATAGTATAATATATATATAATAATAACAGGTAGTATAATATAATAAATAATGAATAACATATGCTACAATAGTTTAAAAATAATTTTATAAGTCTTAGTTAATTATCTTTTTGACTTTAAATATGACTTGAGTGTATCAGTATTGACAAAATTAAAAAAATCAATATCGGCTGTATTACCTGCTGCCATTAATATGTTTATTGGAGAGGTTTCTAGAATTTTTTTTTAAAATTTATTTAAGTAAACCAAATCGTTGTACCATCAATTAAGTAAAAAGATATTTAAGTTATAAAAATTGATAGCTAATGTAATTCGAATTTGTATTAAAATGATAAAATTTAGAATAAATCGTTAATTTTATTAAAATTTGTATATGTAGGTAATATATTGATGCCTTTATGAGAATATTAAGTTGGAATTTTTTTTTCAGGTCATAATATAATTACAATATTGCCTCCTATATCCACAGAAGGAATGACCAAAGAAAATTTGACCGAGTTAATAGAAAAAGCTAGGTCTGCAATGACTGATGTTTATAAAAAAACTTCAGAAGAACTAAAAACAAAATATTATAATGTTAGCTAAAACCATAAATATGCCTTTTGAGAGTGTTGACTTAATAGTTATGTAGCATATAAGTATGGTAATTTAACTAAAGTAACTATCAGCATTAGCTTATAGTTATCACTTATCTGGTACAAATGTGCTTACAGTATTTTTGACAGAATATGTTTTGTTCCATTTTATAATTTATAATGATTGTAGATGATAGATTTAAAATACGAATCTTTAAAAAAACTAAAGTAGATTAAGTTAATATTACTGTTCTGATAATTTCAAATAAAAAAAATTATGTTTTTTAATGGTTTTTGTTGGTTTAAAAATTCAAAACATCTACACAGTTGTTTAATTCAAATTACGTACTCAATTCTTAATATTTATGGGTATACAAAAACTGAAAGTCAAACGTTGCACAACACTTCATTGGTTTCATAACCATATATTTGGATTAATCAAAGTGTTCTAATAAAGGATTGTAGAACCATTAAAGTTTTATGCAATCTATCAAATTTGAGTTAAATATTTACTATTTATTTTTAATTTTAAGTTGTATAGCTGTATTTGAACTCTAAATATAAAATATTGGCTGCTATCTAATATGATAGTTACAAGCACCCATATCTTTGTTTGTATATTAGCGCTTTAAAATAAATAGTAACATTTATTATAGACATAGTCGTTACCATAAAAATATTTGATTCTTTTATTTACTAGTCTCATATGTTATGTTGTAAACTACTTTTAACAAGGCCTCTTGTACATCATAACTTTGATGAAATTAACTATAACAATTTATATTTTTTAATACCTACTTTCTTGTGTTAAGAAAGTTATGAAAAAATTAATTAGTACTATTATTATTTCTGATTTTATTTAATTATATTTTTACTTAAATAAATGTATGCAGTATAATATTAACTGAGTATTTATCAGAAATAAATTTAATAAACCAAGTGTTGGAAGTCAGATTGGAGTGCTCTTGGTTTATAATTGGGGCCGCTATGGTATTGTACGGGTATTAAATGAGTTAACTTGAAAAAAAACATTTTTTTTTTTTTTTTTGTGGCCATATAAACCATATTAAATATAATAATATTAGGTATAAAAAAAATATATATTTACTTTTTTAGTTTTAGTATAACTAAAACTAACATACGTATGGCCGGTGGGGCTCCGAAGTTTTTACGATTGTGACCTCAGGTGATGGTCCGCACAAATCAAACCAATAATATAGACTTTATTTTTTCTGTGTGGTAGGTTATACAGTTAAGCGTGAAACATGTTTTTTTTTCATCAAAAATAATTTAATACAACAATTGTAATAGTTTCTTCAAGTTGTTTGCCTTAGATCTAAGGTTTTTAATATAAATAAATCCAGTCACGTTACCTTTCCTCTCCGTCCTGAATCATGTCCTGTTGTAATACTCAACAATACAGTTATCACTACTCAAAATGAGACAAAATATCTTGGTTTAATACTAGACAAACGTCTAACTTGGGGACCTCACCTCGAAGAAAAAAAACATTTTTCAGCCGAGTCTGGAACCACGAAAGAGCATTTTCATTTCTCGTTGAAGTACCGAATAAATTTAGAGTTGTGGTGGAATTATAGATAATAAAATAGTATATTAATAAGCTAGTATCTAAGGTGGCTAGTAACATACCAAGTTTCTGGCTAATATTTTAGTTTTAAATATCTGACTTAAAATAGTTCATAAAAATATGGCCTCTTAAATTATTGAACTCATTTTGGTTCAGTTCTAGTTTGTACGTTGTGAATACAACAAATATCTCCGTGTCCATAACACTTTTGTCGGTTACGTGTGAGAGCTAAGACATGAAAATGTCAAAAGAAAAATATCAATTATTTAATTGCATCTTTTCCGCCCGATGCTTATATCCAACCTGCCTCTCGAGATTAAATTACTTATATATAAGTTAATAATACGACAAATATGGGTAATATAATTTAGAAAAAAAACTTATTATGCATATTTTAGATTTATTATAGATGTTTTTTGTAAAATAAAAAAATAAAAATAGTTATAATAATTAATTTATAAAATAAGTTCTTCAAATAAATGTACAGCTATAAATCGACTATTTTTCAAAAATATCTGTGTAATTATCATATTTTATAGTTGAAAAATAAGTTAATTTTTGTTGGGTGTTTTTCTCGGTTTTAAAGGAGAAGGGGAGAATTGTTTCAACTATTGTCCTTATAATACTGCTGTGGTGTATTCCTTGATGTGGCCCAAGCTTTTGACAAAGTTTGGCACAAAGGTATATTACTAAAATTGCAAGAGCAGCTCCTACATACGTGGTGTGCACTTCTCAAATCATATCTGACTGAAAGACAGTTTCGTGTTAGATACGAAGAAGCGACCACTAACTGGAAGAGTATATTAGCTGGAGTACCTCAAGGTAGTGTTCTCGGACCTATTGTGTACCTACTCTATACAGCTAATATTCCAACTAATGACGACACAATGATAGCTATGTTTGCCGATGACACGACAATACTATCAACCAATAAGGAACAAGCTGCGACTGAGATATTCTACAAGTGACAATCAACAACGTTTACGACTGGACAAAGCGTTGGAAAATAAAAATCAATAGTGACAAGTAAAACCGCATATATCCCAGTCACGCTAAATCAACATAGTCCCACAAAATGATTCAGCAAAATATCTGGGAATGCACCTTGACTCGCGACTTAACTGGAAACATGTACGCCAGAAAAAGTTGCAAATCAAAGAAAAAATGTGCAAATTGTGTTGGCTAGTTGAGCGACATTATACTTTCCACTCAAGTAGGGGGGCTAGTGTTGGACATGTTGAAGTTAAGTCTATGGCTGTAAAACGGCTGTTAATATTTATTCTTGTTGAGTCTCCGTTGTTGATAACAATTACATTTTCTTTGTCTACAGTTTTTTCCAAAATTTTCCCTCTTGTTTCGGTAGTAGTGTCGATCCTCATATATGGTTATATGGATGTATGACTTCGGTTATTAAAATCTCCTAGTAATATAAAGGGTTAAGCAATTTTTTGTAGAAGCTATTAATGTTCCATTGAATTATTGAGGTCATTAATATTGAGTTGAAGGGGAGGTGAGTTTTTTATACAACTTGGTGAGCCTATATTTACAACTTCTGTCGGTTATAAATGTATGAATCACTTGGATAACTGTCGCCAATGTATCTATGTCGTTAGTATATTTTTTTGCTATGCTTTGCATTTCTTCAAAAATGTTAGCGTTTATTACGTTATCGATAAAACTCATTGTTTGAACATAGTCTAATGGTAGTTGAGGGTTTTCTTTAAAATACGTTTTGGTCGGTTCCATGTTGAAGGACAGGTTATCAATTAAGTTTTCGACAAAAGAAGTTTTTTTTAATTATTTTTTTTTCAGTGTTTTTAACAGTTGCGTTTATAATTTGCATATTAGACGATTGAGAAAGGGGTGAAGAGGGTACTGGGCGTTTGTTCATAGTTTGTGAGTGAAGGATTTTGTCTTCGATTGTATTCAGGGTTTTATATGTATTATCAGATACCATAGGAGTAACTTTAGATGTATTGACAGATTTTATTAAGGGTTCGTTAAATTCATGTGTAATATTATTTTGTAATTGATTGTTTGATTCATCTAACTCGGTTATATGTGGTGTATTTAGCTTGCTAGGGCATGAGGTTGATGTATGGCGGGTGGATGTGCATAAGTAGCAAGTTATTGTGTCATCCGTAACAAAAATTCTAAATTGTATTTCCTCGTTATTAATAATTAATGAACCAGGTAGTTTGTGTACATCTTTATGTTTTAAACCATTCCCATTTTAATTCTAGCTTTACAACTCATCCAAATATTTTTATGTTTATAGAGAAGTTAAAAGAAATTCAAATAGAAATATATATTAAATTAAAAAGTATAAATGAACCTTTTAAAAATCAAAGTTCTAAAACAAAACAAAAATGTGAAAAATTACAAAGTTTAATTAAGAAATATATTAGCGGTGAAACACCAATTGATCAATATGTTATTATTTGTCCTAATTTTAACGATCGAAGTATTATTAACATGAGATATTTTGTAGTTTTGTTTATTTTATGTACATATCGACACCACGGTAGAACAATGACACAAATGCAAAATTTGGTAAAATGAACTAAATGCTTCAATGTGTTTAGATATAGCGAGGTAGACAAACGACGTAACTGTAGTTGTAATAATTTATTGTGCATTCATAAATTATTAACATTTTAGTGAAAAATAATTTGGTTTTTTGGTTCTCCTGTAAAATTTCAATTATTGCAGTTGTGTCATTGTTCTACCGGGGCGGCGATATTATATGGCTGTAACGAACTAAGTTATTTTTATTGCAGTTTACATGTCAGCTTTTTCCACATGATAAGAACTCGGGCGCAGTTTACATGTTTACACATCCGGTATTCAGTACAATTGTAGGTTTGATGCCATTGTAACGACTGCAAATTGCACAACCGCGATTTTAATCGTGGTCATGCGAATTTAATTGGTATCTAATCGTTTTGACGCCAAGTTTTTATGTTTAACGTATGATTCACATTCATGTAAGAAGTACTCGTGGTGTTTATGTTGTTACCTTACATCCAACTCCACCCATCATGACGAAAGTAAAAATGATTTATCAACGTTATTAAAATATAGCAACTGCCGTGACTCATCATTTTCGTAAATAATTCTATTCACTGTATACTAGGCTACTCGTATATAAGAACTGTTCGAGAATTATTTGTACATGAGTCATGCCTTAGACACGTGGTTATTGTAATTTTTTCAATTAGTATGCAGATGTATAAGTTATAACGTATGCGCTAATCATAAATCTAGAATCAGGATAAAACTACAAGGTACTTTAAACAGTGTTGATAATTACTAAAAAACGGTTGTCGAATTTATTATTATCTTGCTATAAAACATTTGAAAATGTTTCTAAAATTTATTGTATTTGTGTAGTTCTCAGTAAAGACATATAAGACATTTACGATTTACCTATCATCAACGATATCATTTTTACTTTCTATACTACAGTTTTAAATAGTTCTTTACATAGTTATAAATAATTAAAAACTGCTATTCCATCACTTTTTCAAATAAGTATATTGAAATCGCAGCGGGGAATTAAAAAAAACAGTTATCGGCATTGTGGCAGAGGCGGGTTTAAAGGTTCTAGGCAAACAGCACATTTTGCCGTCACATCTCAATACTCTACATTCATATTTATTCAATCAGTTTCTTAAATAAGTGCATAACAATATTTGAAAAATGTGTCGTCCTATTAATATATTGCTATTTTAAACAATTGCATGTTGCCTTCCCATTTCTATTACTGAGTGGTGAACAAAAAGATTGCATGACTAAGTTAATACATTTTAAAGATACTGTCATTGTTCGACCCAATCAAAAATTGATTTAAATTTCTAATGAAAATGTCTACAATTTCTTATAAATATAGTGCAGTTTAATAGCTACAAATAATTAACTAAAATAGAGATGTCATGGAACCTAACCAAACTTAGAAACATTTTTCTTTTAACTTACCTTAAATATTACATGTATAATATTGTGTGGGTTATATGTCAATAATTTCATTATACAAAAATTATTGCTTTGTTAAAACTGCACTAAAGTAGAATGAAAAGTTATTGCTAAAACAATAAACTTATTTTATATTATTAAAATATATAAAGTACCATGAGAGAATTATATTTACAAAAATAAAATAGTTTTTATACTTTACATTAAACCAAGAATATTTTTATAGCTTGTTTCTGATTTGGTGTTAAAATGTTTTAAAAGTTTGGTTCAAAGTAAAAAATCAGAATTTGTCAAATCACTAATTAAAACTATATTCAAACTAGTTCAATTGAATATGCACTTTTAGACAATAAATTGCTATTTAGAAAAAAAAACCTTTAATTTCAAAAATAAAATGTATATTATTAAAACATGTTAACAAGAAAAGAAAATTTTATGACAGTAAATTTTATTGACAATTACCTAATATAAAATAATAGTAGGTATTTTACTATAACAAATTATTTTAATGAAAAGAGAGGTGACAAATTAACTAAATTAAAACTAACACCATGTTTTCTTTAAGATAATAATATACATTTATAATTAATACATATTCTTAAAATTTACTTGCCTTATTAAAAATATAAAGTTTCTTATCAGTTATTACAGTGCATTATAACTGGCATAAAACAGCCATATCATTGATAATAAAAATAATAAATATATCACATATTTACTGATATTGGTACGTATAATGAAATGCTGCATTGGTTATGCAATTTAACAAATAAAAAAATAAATTAATAAAAATAATAATATAAACTTTTTCTCAACAAGTTTCAATAATATTTACGATTCATTCGGAAATAAAATTTACACATAAGCGATAGTTCTGTTAAAGAAAAATTGTGCGGGTTCAATATGGAATATTTATTTGCTTGATATATTAATTAACTAAAAATAATAGGGCCCAATAAGTAATCATTTGAATCTAAGTATACTGAGTACAAAGTCCACAATAAGGTATTCCAATAAATTAAAAATTTATATTCAAATATCTCTTTTCGAGGGAGGAACTAAATGTTCGGGTAATTCCATTGGCAATTCATGTCCTTCCAGTTTCACCTGTATTAAATGTAAAGCCAAAGCAAATTCATCTGCGTCTAAGAAACCATCATGGTCGATATCAGATAATTTCCAAATTTTTCCCAATACAGAGTTAGGTAGTTTTGATTTCACCATCTCAGCTTTGGCAACTGCAATATTATATTTTATTAGGAATTACATTTATGTTGGTATTTTTAGTATTTAAAAGTTAAAACTTATGACATACTAGCTCCTGATAGTTTGCCATCAGATTTTTCCAGGCTAGTAAATATAGCATCGTATTTTTGCCGATCTTTATTGACTATCCACCCTGTTTCTCCTTTTCCAGCATCGATTCCCTCACCACGTTTATAGCCAAATGGACTAGCAGTATCTTGAACGCTAATGAATGCACCACCTACAGATATAAATTAAAAATCAATGTATCTCAACTTTCTTCCATTGTGAAGTAAGAATGAATATTCAATAACCTTTAACAACTGCAGATTGTTGTGGAGGAGCATCTCCATTATTAACTTGTCGATTGTCAACATCTTGCAGTGGTATCATGGCCATTAGTTTGGCAATATCATTAGCTAGCATTTTATCAACTTCTTCTAATAAATGGGGTTTAAGACTTTGAAACTTACTAAAATCTTGGTTAATTAAAATATCCTAAAATAGTATTTGTTCGTTATTAGAATATATGAAGTATAGAAAGGATTCTATTTTATACTTCTGGAAATAAGAAACAATAAATACCTGCATTTTTTTAATTTCAGGAAAATCTCCAGGTGAAATTTGGTGTTCACGCTGTATAGTTTGGTATATAGTACCAAGATTTTTTATTAAATCTTTTTTCTTACCATCTTTTCTAAAAATAGCTGGCATTTCTTTATGGAGGGCGCTAATGATATAGGCATGAACCTGTCAAAAGAGTTTTCATTATTAACTTGAACATTTTAAAAACACTATGCACCCTCACTTTGGCTAATCTTGCTCTTTTTATTAAGTCGTTCAACTTTCTTAATGCAGCATTTCCTGGCAAGGATTGCAAATCCTTGAATAAATCCTGCTCTTCGTCTTCAAATAATCTATTAATAATTCATATTCATTAAATATTAATCATTGTTTTTTTAAGGTGAAATACATTGAACATATTAACATATAAGGGAATAACATTTTCTAGTCAATTATAATTTTTTTTTTAACAAGTATACATTTTAAAACCTATTTTTTCAAAATATGAATTACCTACTAACTACTAGTAAGCCAACATAATTTATGAGGTATAAGTAATTGATTTTTAAATGCTAATAATAGTTTTTAAAACAGAATAGAATTTGTGTTGTTAAAATAAGCGCCATACTTAAACTATTATTAAATAATTGTTTTTTTTTTTAAATAATGGAAGTATTTATAATGCTACAACAACTAGCTGTTATTTTTTTAACTACTCATTAATTATCTTATTCATCATGATGTAGGCCATAAATGCCCAAAGCTACTATCATGAGATGGTTTCTTGACAAATTTGCTATCCGGGACAGATCGTCAGTTTGTCGCCGGATGGTGGCTCCTTTTCACCGGACGATTGCTCGCCCAGCAAACAGAGCACCCGTAACTGAGTTTTGAACCAACGACAGTGAGTGCTATCACACTGCCGCCTTACCCACTCGGCCACTCCTTCTCCTCTTAATTATCTCATAAAAAATATAAAATAAACTTGAATTGATTAGTCAATACTAAATGAGTGTGTATTTATGTTCATCAAAGAATGATTAACGAATATATTTTTAAAACTGTTTTAACAGTGTATAATGAATACCCACTACATCTCTATAGTCTATTCCAAAAAAGAACAAACCTACAAGATCTACAGTAACAGACTGACGACCAGTCCCACTTATTTGTCAAAAAACCATCTCATGATGGCCTTTAAGGCATGTTAGGTTACAAGTTGAAGGTTATATAAAGATTATGATTTATGAGTAAATGAGATAATATTATTATAACTTTATACTGTACTAATTATATTAACTTTTTTAGTTGTTTGTCTAATAATAATAGTAAAAAAAAAACTAATTGTCTTTGTAAGATAAAAATATGATAAACACAATTAAAATAACAGTCTTACACAGTGATAGTTAACTACTTTTACTAAAATAAAGTGATTAAAATATTTAAAACATTCAGATATAACTTTGAAATTACTTTTTTATAAATGATTTAAATAAAGTATAGAATTTAACAATAATAACTTTACATAACCATGTAAAATCACAGTTATAAAAGTAACTATTGGATCATATTTTATAATGTCTAGAATCAATTTTTTTTTTAATAATTCCATACTCTATTTTATAAGAACCATCAAATAAATTCATAGGAGCTTCTATTGAATATTAATTTATTGTTAAATGAATTCTAGTTATTTAAATGAATATTAACAAAATATTTGTACTAATAAGTTACCTACATATTATATTATAAAATAAATAGTATGTGGTTTAATCTAAAAAAAATAAATACCAATGCATTTTATAGAAACAGGGTATAATAATGAAAGTATTGACCTACTAGCCCCCTTTATCTTCTTAAGGAAAAAGAAAAATGACAACAGATTTCCAATCATTAGAAACTAGAGCATGCCATAAAAAAAAAAACAATTGACACTTAACACTATAAAGACAGTATATTTATTTAATGTTTGATCTAGTTTGATTGGTTCAATTATTGTCACGGTCTAGTTAATTTATTTAGTAATTGATTTTAACATAAAAATATAACTAGATAGGTATAAAATATATAAATTATTTTTAGTATTTTGGGGGGAAGCATATTTTTTTATTAAATGATTCAATTAAACACTTAAACACGAGTAAGACACCTTTCATAACATCAAATAGCATAATAATTATTGTAAAATGATTTTTGTTTCTAATAACACCTGCCAAGTAATCATATCAATAAGTAAATAACATTAAGATGACCGTAAAAAACTCATTAATGATGGGTAAAATAAAGTCAATATTTAAAGATCGATAGATTTAACGGTCATTTTAAATATGCAAACTTTTTTAACAGTTAAATTGGTATTAAGCTTTTTTTGGTTACAAAAGTTGTATAATATTTTTTCTGCGTGTTAAGGTAAAAGTTTGATCAAGTATGACTGTTGTAGAACTTCTAATATGACCTATTTATTCAATGGATTTCAAAATGTCTTCTTTAAAAGAAGGCTTATGACTTTTTCGGTGGGGCTAAAGGCTTACTTTTGAAATTAGTTTTTGTAATCACTTTAAAAAAAGATTTATTTAAAGTAATAAAATTTTTTTTAAACATTTTTAGTTCATCGAGTTTATATTTTTATACATTTTAATTTGATTAAATAATATATTACCTTCTATTGACATCATATCTTAATGGCTTGTCCCAAAATGATCCAATATATACTCTAGCTACTTCTGGAGTTTGTAATACTTTTCCTAATGACCACATCAATGCTCCATACACACGCATTAATTGTTGATGATCAATCATATCTGCTTTGTTTAATATAATTCTAATTTTGTCATCATGACCTCGTAGTGCTTCAATAGATCGACGAAACTCATCAGAAATGTCTAATTTATGAGCATCAAATAGCAAAATAATTCTATCTACATGCTCAGCAAACCATTCAAGTACGCCGGTAAAGTCATAACCTCTATCAACCCTTTGTTTTTCACCTGATAAAATACCAGGTGTGTCAACTATTGAAATTCCTTTGAGTACAGGTGAATTAACCATAGAACATTGAAAGCGGTTAAGGAACGCATTACCGAATTTCGATAATGGTCTAAATTGTTTTTTAGGATCTACAACTAATGCATTTCCTGGAATTATGCCTTCTTTGTCATCATACATGACAGCAATGAATCGGTCAGTTGTTGGCTCTGGTCCGATCCGTATGCCAGGGAATTCTGACTCCAGCAGATGCTTGATAAAAGTAGTTTTGCCTGTTGAATATTGACCAACAAGCAAGATCATTGGTTTTGCATCAAAATCAGGATCATCCAGCTGAGGTGAATGGAAATCATGGAATTGATAAGCTTGTTCAAGAGGCAAAAGTTTAGTCTTATACTTTTCCCGCAATCCATCCAACACGGATTCGTACGTTTCAATTTTTTTGCTATCATCTTTTCTTAGCCAACCCAACATGATTGTACGATTGAAAATTTCATACACAAAAATATATTTATATAATAATAAAACACAATCACACGCTAGCACTCGAAAGGTTTTCACCGGAACGTCATTATAATAGTTGACATTTAGTACATTATACTTCAGTAATACAGATTTTACTCAGTTTGCCAGATAACTAAACAAAAAAGAAATCGCGTAACGATAAACGAGTGCAAGTTGGATATTTCCTTATCATTGATAGATCGTGACGTTGTTATCTATCAGAAATGCCAACTCACTAGCAACAACCATAAAATGTTTGTAACATATTTTATTATAATTTATTATTGTACAAATTGAAAACTGAATAACAATCAACGAACACGCATGACCGTATTCAGCAGGGGGGAGGTGGGAGGGCTTATCCTTCTATGAAAAATGTTAAATGCATAGATATATATAATAAACTATAGATTGCTAACTGTACATGCCACCAATAGAGAAGATTGAAGCAGCCACTTTCCACCATTTCGGTGGGAATTAGAACCTTATCACGCGAGAATAATATATGTTTATAACAATTACATATATATATATAATATTGATATATCTATATATAGGTATATATTATATGCATTGATAACACACATAAATCCCACCAGAATGGCGGACCGTCGGCTTCAATTCTTATTGCTAGTTAGCAATCTAGTTTATTATATATATCTGTGGTTAAATGAATCATTCACTAATCACTATTCAGTGTCATTATTTAGATTTTGAATTTCGGTCATATTTCATGAAAAATCTTAAATTTAACCTATCATCCTCCTCATTCCTCGAAAAATTATGCTGAATGTGACCACTGACCATCGACTCAACCATTTAATTTAATTTAAAAAATGAATTATTTACAAACTTTTCGTTAGATCCTTTTACGAATATCAGCTCGCGGTTTTGTATAACGAATAACATAATACAAGTATTTAATAATTTTAGTTCTATATTGTTAAAACTTAGTGGCTAAGGCTTAACCTTGATTTTGTCAGTATTATATTATATTCATATAATATTTTTGAATATTTTATGCAACTTGTTGAGTTTATCCAGCTAACAGCTGACAAGTGGCAACCACTTACCAGAATTTGTAAGTAGTTGAATTGTTATTGGTTGATGATTGGACCACTGCTGCAGCCTGTGGTCTGTGGATAATATCTGAAAACTGATAGCTAACTGTTAAGTGTTAACCAGTACATTTGAATTTTGAATATTATTTGTCTTCAAACCATTTTCAAACTTCAATGCTCGAGCGTTTTTCTCAATTTGAAATTAAGTATTAATATAAACGAATTCGATAAAAGAGATATAACAGGATACAGAGGAAACAACTAAACTTCTCGGATATAGAATTGAACGTAATAGTATTATATTCAAAGGTTTGAAAAATGTCTTCAAAAAAAAAAACTAAAACTCGTTTAAAACCAAATCCAATGTTTGAAAAATGGATTTCCGAATGGATGGCTGAAGCAACAGAGAAAAATTTAGAAGTCCGTCATGGTTATCGTAGAGTGAGTAGAAATAGGTTAAAAAATAAATTTGGATGTCTAAATATGACAACACTTCTTGAAAACCTGCCTATTTTTAATTTTTAACTTAAATATTTGTTTTATAATATATAGGTAGCTTAATTCTATATTTATAGTATTATCTACATAAATAATTAATTTTTCAAATATTATTAGGCATTACAAGCATTGCAAAAATATCCTTTGCCTTTACAAAGTGGTAAAGAATGTTTGATTTTAAAATTTTTTGGGAAAAAATTATGTGATAAAATTGATAAAAGGCTTGAACAATATAAAAATTCTTTAAACATTGGTAAGATACAAAAATTAAATTTCTTATTGTCTTAATGTATTTTTAATTGTACCAATCTTTCAATCAATTATTGCAGAAAGAGAAGTTGAAGATAATATGCTTCAACAACTGGCAATCCAAAATGTTCCATCAAAATCAACAACAGTGATTCCAATTGACATACCTAACCCAATAAATTCTACAGGCTCTAATAAGGTGTTATCAAACGCTTTCTTATTATTGTATATTAAAAGCTTATATTATTTGAAATATTTAATGGCTCCTTAAATAAATTCACGCAACGCATAGATTGAATACCTTTACTCTAAACACACTTTAACTAATTTATAGCTTATGGCTAATTATAAAATTCTGTTTAGCTTAATGAATTAAATCCAGTAGTAGCAGATAAAATAGTCATTTGGCCAAATGAATTTTCTGTCATACTTCTCATTGATACAGGAGAAACATCAAGTTTAAGGTATTTATTAATACACTAGTTTAATCTGCATTTATAAGCAATGTATATTTTTTCGTCAACTTATAGAAATTATGCGCTATACAATTTTAAAGGTTTTATTATAATATAGTGTTTTTGTGTTTAGATATTCAGTCTTTATACTCAAGTTTTTACATCAATAATTGTTTACTTACGGTATATTAAAATACTATAAGTTTACCATTTTCGTATCTTAAAAACATATTTAATTTTCAACTTTAAAATACCTACCTTCAACCCACTAATCTACCAAGAACTAAGAACATGTCAATAACACTTTTTTTAAGATGAATTAAAACAATATTTTATTTGATTTGGTTCTTGAAACTTATATTAGAATAGTACTAGAATCTAAAAATAAATCTAGTGCTTACCTAGGTGTATAAAATTGTTTTAAAATCCTTTGTCTAACTTTTTTTATTAAAAAAAAAATAAAAACGAACAAAATATTACCTTTTGTGGGATTTCTACTGATATTTAATATTTTTTTCCATCTAAAACTCCACATAAAATAATTCTCTGATGTAATTACTTAAATTTTAGTGATAATAATCCAAACAGACCTGTGATTGCATAGTCCCTTGAGCAAGTTATTATTTATATTTGTTTTGAATTTACAGACCAAAAAAACAAGTGCTTGTACATTTTGTTACAGAAAAACTGATATGAGCAAAGTTACAGCTCAACTTTTATCTTTAAATATAACTTTTGAAATGAGACGATTAAGTATTGGAGATTTCGCTTGGGTATGTCGTGACTGTCACAATAATGAACTAATGTTACCATATATAATTGAACGTAAGCGACTTGATGACTTATCAAGTAGTATTCAAGATGGGCGTTTCCACGAGCAAAAAGTAGACTGTTTTAAATCAGATTTATTTAAAATAAACCTTATGTTAATTCAATTATCCATGTAGTTTAGATTAAAACAATGTGGTATCAAAAATAAAATATATTTACTAGAAATGGGCAAAAAATATCATGGTTTGCCCTTGGCAAATTTATTACAAGGAATAGCAAATACAGAGGTCGTAGATGAGTTTACGATAATCAAAACTGAAAATCATTTGGAATCTATTAGTTACATAGCGAGTTTAACTAGTTTATTGACTGATATGTATTCAGTAATATTATTTTGTTTGGTTATAGTTAAATTGTATTGTTTAGACAGTATACAGTATTTAAAATGTTTACAGAACAAATTGTTAACTACCTGTATGGATGATCATCCCGATTCTGGTTATGGAAGTACAGCAGACGCTGTGACACTCATATCATTTAAAACATTCAATAAATGTTCATCAAAAAGTAAGGTAATTATCGTAGTATACATTTTAAACATATAGAAGTTAATATATCTATTAAAATTGAACAAAATAGAAAATGATTTTAAATTGTTTAAAAGTGTTCTATTTTTACCAGGCGATTCTTTTAACGTCCTACACCAGTTTTCAACTAAAATTATTGGAATTTGTAGTTTTTCTTTTTCAAAAAGAAAAACTACAAAATTGCAATTATTTTAAGAGTAAACTAGTGAGGGATTTAAAAATATCGAAGAAGTGTTAAATTAATCTATTTTTGAAATTGCCTACAGAATATGACTGTACGGGATATGTTCATTCGGCATTTATTACAAATACGAGGATTATCTGTGAAAAAGGCTTTTGCAATCGTTGAGCACTACCCGACTCCTATTTCACTCATAAGAGCTTTTAGAAGTTCCCGTAACCCACTTTTGCTAGCTAATATTACATATGGTGTACCGAGCAAAATGGTTGGTCAAATTATTAGCAAGACTTTATTTCAATTATATTCGAATGATGGTAATATTCTAATGTGACGACTTGTTGTTTATTACTCAAATTTGTAAAGTTTATTATTATTATATTGTATCATTCTATCATTCATTATTATTTTTGTAAAATAAAAATGTTTTTTTTTAAAAATATTTTATTGTAATTAGTGTCTTATTTTCTGAGTTCCGTTGACGACATTTAGTGATGTTTTTAAAAATGTATTTTCCCGTTCCTCTCTCTCTTTTTCGTACATAATATAATATTAAGTGTGTGATATGGAATGCCGCCAAACTGTGTGAAATATCTTCCCACACCGAACTAATGTTTCTATTTTTACACCGTCCAGTTGACTACAGCCAGTCAGTCTGTTTTCTTTGGTTTTTAACAAAATTGTATTCCAGTTATGAAATAAACACTATTATTGTGTTGTATACCATACAACTATCGCGTTAATATTGTCGCCAACGACGGTCGTCTTAAATTAGTTTTAAGTCGATTAATAAATAAATGTCCGGTAATCCTCCACAAAGGACTACGTTTCGACCACCGTGGGTTAAAGATGTCAAAGATGCAGCTACGGGTCAGGCTCCGGCTAACCCTGTACCGTGGAGAAACCGAGATAAGATGACCACAAATGTAACTAACCAACCAAATGCGGTAAGTGATTAATTGCGAACCTCGTTATAAAATATGAAATATAATGCTAAATGTGGATTTTTTTTGGCGCAAATCAGATTGACGAAATGAAACATTTCAAGTTGCGAAAAGTCACACCGAACGATGGAAAAAAAGTCACAGAAATCAAAATTGTGCCAAGAGTGAGATTTATCGTTATACAAATATATATAATTATATATATCACAAAAAGTGGCCTAACACGTTTTCCCTCGTCATTTCCTAGTTTATTATTAAAATACATATAACTAAACGATATGAAAATCTGAAATTAGCGATGGGATATTCATTTCATCTCTTCCCGTGTCGTATGTAATATATCGAAGAAAAAGTAACTGAATTCTTAAGTTAATTTTCATTCTGTAACAAGAAATCGATGATTGTTTTTGCGTAAAGTAAGTTTTTTTTTTTGTAATCGTTAGTTGCAAAAATTCAACGTCGGTTTAATTTGTATACGATTTCATTTCGAGCAAAACGGTTAAAAAAAGACAATCAGATTAATTATAGCGTTAGAAGATAGATAAATGATCGTTAACCCTGAGCTGAACACTAGCATCTGACCTACATAATATTATTATAGTTTGGATCTATTCGCAAATGACGAGTGTGTGTAACATCATTATAATGTTGGGTCATGTTCAGTTTGATTTGTCGGTCGGCAAAAGGATGTGTTTTTACAATCGGATTCAAACTCTGTAATATCAGGTTAACAAATTATTGAGTAGGTATTATGTTAAGTTTTACCATAAAAAGTACAAATTGGGTGTTTGTATAATCAAATTATTACTAACAACGTTTGGTCAATAGTTTTTCTGTGCTATCTTGTCAAGGATTGTAAAAAAAATTATTTTTCTACGTTAAATTGTGTAATTGTACGTATTGTGTGTTTTGAAAATGTCATGCTCGACGCAGTGACAAAATAGCTGTATTTAATAAATATTTTTTGAGACGAGTCGGTAATTCGCGATAATAATATTATTTATCTCGTGTAACGTAATACGCCTGAAGAGTAATACGTATCGGCGAATAAGACTATTTTTGTAAATATGTAACGAGTATCGACTACGGACTAACGTCAAACGGGTGTGTGTAATTTTGTTAATTTTTACGTTTAGATTGAATCTCAAGGTCCGTTACAAGTTAAGAAGTCCGTGCCAGTAGCAGAGACACCGGCAAAACCAACGATGACATCAAAAGCACCACCACCCACTTCCAATGTACCGCGACCACCTCCAGCCGCACCTCCTATACCACCCCCGCCGCCATGTGCTCCAGCTGGACCACCGCCGCCTCCACCAATGGCAAGCATGAATGGACCACTTATCGGTAAGACTTATAGGTATATAATGTTTTATGTTGGTATTACACGGTAGGTACTATGTATACCTACATTGCATATATACATAGGTAGTAGGTAGGTAACCAGGGTAGAGAATGTATAGATAAATTTAACTAGGTACGTCATATACATAGATATAGTCTATGAGGTATCTAAAGGTTATCTATTGACTATTAGATAAAAAATATTATATTATTATCTAAATAAATAAGTTTTAAATAAATTTGATTGGGTTCAAAATGTGAATATCAATAATAAATATTATTTACATGTTTATATTCAAAATATAATAATAATTACTACTAATCATTGAAAACAATTATAAGATAGTATAAATATGTAAAATAGCTTATATTTTTTAACAATACTACTTTTTCATAGCTTTGTTATTATTATAAGTTTTAAAGTTATAAAGTTAAAGAAAAAAGTCTACTTGGTATTTTAATATTTTTATATAAGATCTTTTTCTTAGAACATTTAGCTACGGTTCAGGGCTGAGAAGGTATTGTTTTTTAATTTGTTTTTGTGACTGGGTCAAAAATTCAAAATTTCACCTCTTCCCCCTTCAAATTGAGAAAAAACACTCAACAAATGTATATACTATTACTTACGTACATATATTACACTTAATTTTTCGGCGCTTTATAACTTTTTGTTAAAAAATAATCAAATTAGACTGATGGTAGTTCCAGAGTGAGGCTATAACATATCTACATAATTTTTTCGAAACTTAATTTATTAAGGAAAAACTATCAAACTTTAACCGTAGTAAATTTCTAGTTTGCTAAGTATGAGGGCAACAGTCAACATGTATCTGAAAACAATTTTTTTTGTTGATTACAATATATGAGTAATAACAGCAAAAAATTACTGTAGATAGACAATCAACTCTAATCGTATCCACCCTAATACTAATTCAGAAAACCTATGACCTCCCTGATCCCAATAGACTTCGTCCCCACTCCACTGTTCTGTTTTTTTTTATAAAATCAATTTTATACATTTCTATTATAAATAAAGTAAAAATTATTGTATCACTTTCAGTTAAAATAATGGTTTCTGTGAACCTGTAACCCCCTCCGTGCCCCTGATATGCTCCGACCCCAAGCCTGTACTAGCTTTTTATTTATGAACCATCAACGTCTCTAGCGCCTGTATAAAACTTTTGTGATTTCTTTTACATAAAACAATTTTTCGTTTCCTTAACACAAAACTGTGGGTAACATAATCATTTTTACCTAGGATCTACAGTAATTTTATTTGTATGTACTTACGTAGGCAGAGGCTTAAGTTTTAAATTTAAGGAAATATCGAAGTACTTAAAAAGTGTGCAATAAAAGTATAATGGTCTGTATAACATTGTCTGTATGTAAAGAATTTTCACAAAGTAATATTGACTTTAACAAAAATATTGTACTTCTTAGAATAACAGATTTTAAAAATCGGATCCGTGATCAATTTTTTTTCGCTATGCACTCAAAAGTTGTATTTTTTTTTTGTCAAACATATTATATCTATTGCCACATTATAACTATAATATTATTTGTATACGAGAATCGCATATTATTTATCATTTTACATTCAATTTGTACCTAAAAGAGAAATACAATTATTTTTTTCAAATTTCTCTAATAAAATGTGATTTATTAAAACGTTAATAGAGACCACAAAATAACTGTTTGTTAATAATTGAGTTCAATGACTTTCTAATGATTTGACATTTGGGAAAACATTGAAACTTTTTTTAGTTATCAAACTTATTTCATTACAAGAAGCTATATTTATAACTCAAAATAATATTACAAGTTCCCGGACTCTGCGGTAATTAGGTATTTATAAAAATCGAATTTAACTATATAAAAACTATATTATGCAACCGTTAAGAATGAAGAATTATAATCACACATCTTTAAAAATACAACAAAGATATTCTTGCTGTTATTTTCGTATTATAATTGTTTGGAAAGGAAGCGTTAATTCTTTTCAGCTGGGTTCTTCTCTTTGTACATATTCATATGACAACTATAAATCAATAATGGAAAATATTCCGAATTCGTTGATTTACATCCAAGATTGTGAAATGTCAGTTAGTTCTACAGAGCAACGTAATGCCGATAACTATTTAATCCCAATGATTACCTATGTGTCAATGTAACACAAATATAGTGTTGGAAATGTTCCAATCGAAAAGTTTAATTAGATTCGTTAGTAAGTCCGATGAATGAGTCGTTACTTTTATGCCATTTTCGTATGTATAAATACATAAAGCGTACCTGTGCTGTTGTTGTCTTTTTGTTAATGAAGTGTTCGTTTTAATTACTAGTAAAAAAGCCACCGACTCCGGATAAAATGAAGAAGATAGAATCTCTTCGCAGCCGACCGAGAAGACGACCGGATTGGTCGGATATGATGAAAGAAGTGGAAAGTGGCAGGAAACTAAAACATGTCGAGTGCAATGACCGCAGTGCTCCGATTTTACCTAGTGACAAATCTAAAGATAAGGTAATTTCATTAAAATACCATATGATGTCATATGAGTGTGTATTGATGAAATACACTCAATTGTTGTTCATTCCAAAAAAAAAAAAATAATTACTTATTTTCAGTTTATGTACGAATCTGAAACGAAAGCCGAATCTACAGACCACCATCAACTTTTGAAAGACATTCAGGGTGGTGTTAAACTGCGAAAAGTTGCAACAAATGATAGAAGCAAGCCAAATATTGAAGGTATGCTTTACCTTGGTCAATTTTTTTTAGTTCCAGATATAACGTTGATGGACATAATATTTAGTTGGTCCCTCGGCCAATAGGTGATACGACAATTTGAGTAATTTAGTTTTGTTTTTTTTTTTAATTTTTATACCCAGTGAACATTCTCAGTAAAATCTCATACTAAATTTTAATCAGCGTTGAATCCTGAATTTGTTGATCACGCGAGTTTGACCTTTTTTAAAATAGTTTTATTAATTCGACGACTTAATATTTTAGGACTTAGAAAATTTAGAAGACAAGCGACTATCGAGGAAAAAATTCAAAAGTCGGTGTCGATGGCGGACGTTGTAGCTGCTGCTGCAGAACCTGATGAACTTGACGATATCGACAAAGTACGCGAATTATAGAATAAAGTCATTATTATTATATTATTTAATTGTAGTAAATGCTATCGATCGTTTTCTATAATAATACTTTCTACAGGTTAGAGACGATCTACAGTCGGCCAAACAAATGCTTGCGTTGGAATTGCGCAGTAAAGAAGCGCTAGAACGGGAAAACAAAAGACTTTTAGCCAGAGTATCGAATCTACAAGAAGAACTTCAAGACAAAGACAAAGACAAATCGAATGGCCACGAGCCCTCGAGGTCTGAAAAAGACCAGCAGGTACGATTGTTTATTGATTTCATAATTGCGTTTGACAAAAAAACGTCCTTTTTAATGCTATTCGACAATTTTTTTTTAGCTAATGAACAAGTTGAAAGAAGAAGCGGCAGAGGCCGACCGTATCGTCAAAGACATGGAACAAAAGTATCACGTGACCGCCGAAGAGTTGGATAGCACCCGCAGAAAACTGGAAAGCGCATGGTTGAGAAACCAACAGTTGGAATTGGAATTGAAAGCGGCTCTGTCGGGCCGCGTGACGTCTCAACAAACGGTACCCCGTCAGATGTCTATGAAAAGACTGTCCGTGGCGCCGTCTGTTGATCATTTGTCCGAAGAGGACGAGGACGAGGACGACGACGACGACGATAGTTCAGAAGACGGTTCGAGCGACGGGTCCCAAGAAATGGACGACGCCAGAAGGACGGCCAGGGAACTGAAGCTGTTGGAGGTCAAAGTGAAATCGCTTAGCGACAAACAAACTTCGGCGCTCAAAGAACGCAAAATGCTCAAACAGGAATTGGCCAAGAGACAGCGGGAGCTCAAAGCCGAAAAGAAAAAGTACAAGGTGTTGCAAAAGGAAGTCGACAAGATGGCGAAATTGATGAGAGAAACCGGCGAAGAGGACGAGGACGAGGATGAAGAAGCCGAAGAACAGGAGGAAGAAGAATCAGAGGAGGTAATGGAAGGATTATTCTCTTTAACTTTTTACAATTTTTTTCTTCTTCATTTAACGAATTATTTTTTTAACTATCTTTTCAATCCCGCCATTTTTTATATTCGTTTTCTACGGTTTGTACCCTTAATAACAAAATCTCAATCAGTTTCAGCGAAACAAGTTCTATAAAATCGTTATTATGAGATAGTAATTTTTATTTATGATATTTTTTCTGTTGTTAATGTACGGTAATCGTTTACAGGAGACCGAAACCGAAAGCGAGGAGAGTGACGATGAACCCAAAAGCGAAGGAGAAGCTCCAGCCACGGCCACGGCTGATGAGAAAAAAGATAACTTAAACCGCAGATCGAAGTACTACGAAGGAAGGTTGACTTCGTTGAAAAAAGGCAATTATTTGCTGAAGGCTAATGTTGAACGGCTCCAGGACGACGTCAACAAACAAAAAGAAATGTCTTTAGTTTTACAAGAAGATTTGAATTCAGTATTGGCTGAACTGGGATGACCGCAAGCAAATACGTTCACATACTTCGCCCTTTTTTTTTTGTTTTTATACGAATTTGTTAAACGGGAAAGTGATACGCGTTAATATTAATAATTATATTTGTTATAATAATATGATAAATAAATGTTATTTATTGTTTTAACTACAACCGATCGAGTTTTCCATTGGTGACTATTGGCTTTATATTTACCTAACAATTGATACGTTACAAATATATGCCGAAATTAATTCGCGTTACCATAATTTGATAATTTGTTTTTAACATTACCTTAGACATATTATACGTGACGGATGTATCGTAAAACATGTTCGCGTTATGAAATAGTAACCTAATCTAATAATATTGCTACAAATTCGAAATAAATAAATATTTCTTATGTTATGCTTGAAATTTATTTAGTTTTAACTTGTAATTATGTTAAAAGATATATAACTCGACAAAACAAATAATTGATTGAATAAAATCAATGATATGATTGAAAGTGTTGACTGTCAAGAAAGCATGTTGTGTATGTTTACTGAAAATCTTTTGAATTTGATAGGGTTGTGATAGTAGGACATAATATAAAGTAGAGCAGTGGAAGCTGAAAGCTCTAAGTGTACCAAGAAAAACATTTTCTAGGGAGAGCAAAGAAATGTTAAATTAATTATCTTGGTGACTTATCCAAGCTGGACTAGTTAATACTATGATACTTAACGATGAGATGTATTATACAAATGAAAACTAAATAAAGAGTAAATTAAAAAAAAAACTATTTAAGACATTGTAGTGTAGTTTTTCTTTATAACATATTTTATGCTACGTACAGCTGTGGGGAAAACGATACCTAGTATTGTCAATATTTCATTAGTCAATTGCAATTCAAAGATTTAAAACTATTTACTTGGTTTTTACTTTGATTTTTTTATAATAATACATTCTCTGTCAGACACATTATATACATATAATTAGTATATCATATTTATTACTATTAAGGATTATTAATTATTGTAGTAGATTTGTTTTATCAGTACTTATATTAGAGTGATTGCACATAGGACATAGCGTTGTCTAGCTTTTTTACAATGTTACAAATAGGTTTTTCATTTGGTCAATTCTCATTTACCCCGTTTACTCGTTTGTTATGTTTACGACCTACTTATATTCTCAAGCCATTTATCTCTAACGCCGTTCGGTGTCTGAACTTTCATCTACGAATAGTACATAATATAATCAGTTAACAGCAAAACTTTGTTCGTAATCGGCGGCTGTACTTATACGGTTTTAACGCCTACGAACGAGTTTGCGAGCTTTTCGCGTCTTAGCCGTGCACCAAGGAGTCAACAGTAAGAAGTCAAGTGCGCGTATAACGCCTCCACCGCACCGCCGCCCCATAGCGCGCGCACACACATACACCATACCCGGCGTCATGGAGAGTCGAGGGACACGACGCTGTGGCTTGTTTTTATTGCTGGGAGCACTTGACAAACCACTTTCCCACAGTGTAAACAACGTTGTATGCTTGTGTGTGTGTGTACGCAGCACTACATTCTACAACAGCGGCCTCCGAAAACAATATACCAATATACCAACCAACACCGTGATGCAGGGTGCCGCAAATGCTGCGGGACGGTGCGGCGCGCCAGAGAGGAGTCGGTTCTTTCTGTCCCGGGGGAGACGGCGTTCCTGAGCAGCGCCAGATGCCGCGGCCGTATATAACGTTATATATATGCAATAACAGCTACCGATAAATGTATAGATCTGTCCCGTGCACACACCATGTCGCGGGACCCGAAAAGTTAACGCCGCAATACTTTAATAATGATACGATTTCGTATGTTACAGCGTGTATGAACCGTGAGAAGATGAGCAGACCGCGGTCGCGTGCATACAATGACTCGCGCGTCCCGCCAATCTGAGTCGTTCGGAAAAAAAAAAGTGTAAACGACACCGCGGAGATTTGGTACCGTCACTTTTAATATAGTGTAAAAAACGCATTATAATATTTTTAATAGAAATCACCGTGTGACCCGGCAGTTTATTTTTTTCCATGTACGCTATTATATAATACATTTGTTTTTTATCCAGGAGACCGTGCGTATGCCGCACGCAAAAGCTTTACGCGGAACGTTACCTGCGAGGGCGTGTAATAACGTTTGTCGCACTTGTTTGCCCCTTCCACGTCGCGACGCCTTAAGCGAATTTTCCCGCTTAAAGTTTTTAATTAATGTTTGCCGGGACACCGCGCCGCCGTTGCTGTATACACTTTTAAACGTCAGATATGCTCGCATATCGTGTAATTTATGGACGTTGGAGATTGAACAGAATCATCCGCCGCCCGGTCGTTTATAACACGACAAAACAACACCAAAATGAATTTGCCGCCATAGCCGCCTCCTCCTTCTCCTCGGTCCTCCTACTCTGCTTGGCGCTTCCAACTCAGTGTTCTCTACACCCTCTTCCCGCGCTCGCCGGTAGAAGAAGGTCCGTGTTGCTCTTACCGAAACAAAGATAAACCTATCCCCGTGTTTACGTAAGTAATTATTATCAAAAACGTCTAAGACGACGGAGGCGAGAAGTTTTGCTTTCTTAGCGCGCGAGAGGCGTGTTTAATTTGTCTTACACGTATACATACGCAATACAAATTATTGTACTACACAAACTTCTAACTCTTGGGTACACATGTACATAATATTTATATTTATTATATGCGTTTGTAATATTACTCGACAAGCCGTTGTCATAATATCGGCGGCACCGTCGGCGCGTACTTAGCACACACATAAAATGTGTGAATATTTCTCAAAGAATAGATAAAACTATTTCTTTTTGTTTTTACATCCAACGAATGGAGTTGTTTTAGTCGGTTAACAACAATGCTGCTAAGTCCTCTGACACAATTCAGAAATGACGTTGATAATTACTCTAAGAGCTTGCTCATAATTCATATACCTATATAGTTCCAGTTTAGAGTAGTAGCGCAATTAGGACGGGACGAATAACATGATCAACAACCTAGGCGGCAAAAGATTAAAAGCGAAATTCCATAGAAGCAGTGACTTGTTTGATTAACAAAAACACCGTAGACATCCCCTTAAAATACGCCACATAAGATTGAAAAGCCCTCAATTGTCGAAAAATCTCTTAAAGATATCAGGTTTTTTTTTAAGTTTCAACCCGAATTCTCCATTATACTTGGAGAAAACTAATTTCAACTTCTCTAGCGATATTATTTAAATAAAATCACGTTTCTATCAACTGAAAACGATAAAATAGCCAATATTTGGTTCTTTATTTCTAGCCGTTTTAAGGTCTAGAAATCGGCCTATAACACAAGTTGATGTTAAACGCCTTAAGGTGACCTAAACCAGTAAAATATAAACAATTTATACAATTTAAGTGATGATTGTGTTTATGAGGTGCAAACTCGAAGAGGGGTGGGGGATACGATTATTTTACCCCGAAGAACGATGAATACATCTAAATGCACCACTGTCGTTGATTTAAATCCGTGTTAAATGGTGCGTTTGACCTTTGTTTTGCACCGCACGCTTTTCCATTAATTCACCAACGCCAGAGTCCGCTGCGGTTGCTGTTAATTAAACTCCATTACTTTGTAGTCGGGAAGAATAAAGTCACTCTACAACAATTTACTCGGTTGTGGATTATAGTTTCTGCGAATGCTTAATTACCCGATATTGTATTAGTAAATAACAATGTATCTTATGTAAGTTTTGTATTGTAAATAAACTGTAGCAGTATTGATGTGCGCCGGCTATTGAAACATAGTATAATAATATCAATTACCATAAAAGGGTCCCCTGCATTGTGGTGTGCCGTACATTGATGGATAAACGAAAAAGCGTTATTATTATTATTGTTGTCGCGCTAAAAGACGTGACAGATGTGGCGGTCTCGGACTGAACGCTACCACCACCTCCATTTCCACTATGTACCAACTATATAATATTTGTATAGTAGCCTGCCAGAGGCACTTTTGTCGATAATAAATTCACCAGAATGCCTGCTTTTCTTTCATTGGTCATCCTATCGGGAAAGCCTGCGATATATGTTCAATTGGCGTGTAGTTAAATGGCTATGTACATATACTTTTGTACATAGGCGCAATTAAAAAAAAAAAAAACTGAGGTGAGCTGAGCTCTGAATTTTCCAGGCAAGTTTTATGTTGTAAAACAATTAAATATTTAACACTTTAGTTTATTAACATTTTAATTTTATAATAAAAAAGAATACAAATTAATACAATATTACATTTTACAGGTATTTTACGCAAGAGTTATTATACGCCTATCTTGTTTTGCAAATATGTCTACAACTTTGTTTATGTTAATTAAAATTTTCGTATATTTTTCTATACATATATAATATTGACAAATCTATAAGTCTATCCTGCCCCATTGAAACCCTAAGCCAAGTCTTTATTTATTTTAAAGCAGAAAACGAACGTTCACAAGACGGGAAGATTGTCGAGAGCCACATGAAATTGATAAATACTATTATCAATTCTGCAAAACCTTTTTTTTTTTTTTTTTATACTAAACAATTATATAAACAGAGGTTTTAGTACATAAACATTGGGGGTGCATATAACCCAAAGCCCCTCCTCCCCCTACTCAATTGCGGCTATGCAGTTTTGTAATATCATATATTGTCGATATATGATCAACGAAAAAAAGGGCCCAGAGTGATTTGAAAATATTTGGCTTTATCAAAACGAAAAATAAATCTGCTATAATAGAAATAGGCTGGTATCATAGGTATATATGTATATGTTAGTCGTAGTACAGCGCAGTCATGTCACGTCCTACCTTAAATCATTATACATGTGTATACGGTAATACACTCAAGTTTGTAAATCGTATGCAGAGATAATTTCATATCGCAGTAAACAGTCAATTCAAGCTCGAACCATTTCCAAAATACTTGTATTTCGCTAAAAGATTTAAATACAATCTGCTTTTATGTTTGTACTATCTTGTTGGTCACTTTTACCAGTACAAACGTTCTCGTCCATCATTACAATGATTTTAACTTTTTAATTTCATTATCATCTATAGCTTACTAGCCTTAAAAGGCCCGACGAATGGGATCACTTACACAGCTACTTTTTAATTTTATTACAAGGCAATAAAATGACTGTATGTATAATAACGATTGGCTCTGTTAAATAAAAATCAACTCATAATTTTGATTATATTTAAATTTTTAACGCTCTATTTCTTTTAAGTTTCAATTAAGCATAATGCAAATGTTGTTATGAGGGCAGCTATGCGTCTGTTTCTTAGCCGTTGAGGTTCAAATAGGGTAGTTTTTTTGGATAAAGCTCGACATCTCATCTACTAATAAAATAAAACATAACAGTCAAATCAAATATCTCCTCCTTCAAATAAATTTTGGTTTAGGTCCATTTAAGTATAATACCATCTACAATTACACCCCTCATAAAATATGTATGTGCGCCACCGACAGTTTATAGACACCTTAAACATTTCGGTATCATATTAGTTATTCAAATTGTAGAAACTCATCTGACAAAAATGTTCCACTGACACTAGGAGTTGGGATTTAAATTTTTATCATCACACCAATTTTTAACTCTTCGCAAATAATGAATAGTTATTTTTAAACATATTTTTTTTAATAACTAAGTGTATTGTATACACTACCAAAAACGATTGCGATCAATTCTATTTTTGGCTAAATAAAAGTAAAAAAATGTAATTTAAAAACGCTAATAAATTGTTCATGTTGGTCCATGTTGGCGATTGTGGAATAAAGCAAAATCAGTAGTGAATTATTTATTTTTAATTATATTGTATTCGTATTACGTCCATGCTGCATATTTTAACAATGACACCAGATGTAATATAGTTAACAAAGATCATTACATATCATCATACTATCATACATACACGTATACATCATTATACATAGAACAAAGAAATTATTAAAATATTAAATTTTTTAATAGTAATCGTTATTTAGATAGCTTAATTAATTATAAAATAGATCATTTGACCACGATGAAATACAATTTTAATTCAGTACAACTAATAATAATAATAACAATTAAAATAATTATTTTTAACAGTGTTTTTCATATTTTTGTAAAAGCATTGCTGATAGCCTATGCCCTAGATGATGGGACTTATGATTGATATTCGCCACAATGTAGTAATATATATAGGTAAATGTGCCTAATATATTAGACATTTAAGTCGAGATTTGGATCTTTTTAATTTTATTTAAGCGACGTTTGGTTGTGGTTGTGTGGACACGCAAAACAATAGAAAATCAATTCACGTAGTGAATGTCGCGTCGGTATTGCGACCAGGCGATCACGGTCCACCTGCCTGGCCCGGGCCGTACGCATAATCTCTTGGGCATCCCTAGGGCGTATGCCGTCGTACAGACGGCCGCAATTCAGCTAGCACTATTGTTGTTGCAGTAATGTTTCCCGTGCAGGCCTCGCGGGCGACGGATTTTTATTGCCACTTCCCAATGACACCAGTAATTGGCGCCCACCGGCCGCCGCGGCCCACAGCACGGGCGACTACGGGCACAAACAGTCCGCGACGGCGACGGACCTCCCGACCGGACGGCCGCGCCGCGCCTCGCCGCAGCGGTAGCCACGCGCACCGCCGCCCAGCGTGTTCACCGGCCATCAATCACTATACGGTATATAGTGATCCGCACGTGCGCCAAGACTCCAGCGCACGTGCCGCAGCCACCAAGCACACATGGTACTCAATAAAACACGCCGCACAATCCCGGTATATAATCATTGCAAATGGCCTGTGTAATCATCGAGTTTGTTATTTTTCCGATCAACACAAAGATTGATCATAAGCGAGTTGCTCAAGTGCGTTAATGCTTTGACAAAAAATAACAATACCATATTAATTTATTAAAAAAAAAAAAAAATGGATCATGTACTGAAACTGTCGTGATTCTTTTAAACAACAATTGAACTGATACATTTTTACAAAATCTTTTTAAAAATGTTACAAATTTTTCATTTGTATTAACAGCATTTTTTTTTTCATTTATCACCGATGCGTTAAACAGTGGATTCTTGTAATATCGAATTTCTAGTATAAACAGAAAAAGTTGGTTTTTATTAAGTGAAAAAGCCAGTATGGTAAGGCTGGTTTTTTTTAAATTATTGTTTTCCAAATATTTTATTAATGGTTAAGTGTTTAAATTGAAGTGACCGAAAAGGGAATCGGTTGCTATCAGTTTTGTCTGAAAAGGATCAATTCTTTATATTGACATTAGACCAGAATTCGACTTACAAAGAAATCTACGGTATAGCATATATTTCTATTTATATTATCAGAAAATAATTTAAACATTATATATTTATAACATTGGGGGAACAATAATTAGAAGTGTCTTCCAAATTAATTCTTTTTATTTGCAAGTAGTTACAATTCTACAATGTTTGTCTTCTAGGAAGCAGATTTATGTTATCACAACCTACCCCAATTATCTTGGGGTTTGATAGAACGTTTAAAATGTTACCATAAAATGACCAAACCTATTTAATCTTCATTGTGTTTACTTTAGAAAATATGAGAAATGGCTAAGGGGGAATATTTTATTATTTTTAATCTGAAAGAAAAGATATAGAAGCAAAAAAAACGAGGGATTGAAGGGTAAAAGTCAATGGTTACCAGTAATAATATGACTATTTGATTTTCACAAGTAATTGAATATTTTCAATAACAAGCTCTGATAATTTTAATTTATATTTATCCCAGAAATTGACAGTTAATAACAGGGGAAATGTGAATACTTATTCTTAACACATATACATTTTAACAACAAATTTCCGGATGGATTTATGCTCAAACACATTCTGAAGTGATAATATAATTTATGGATAATATAACTTAAAATCAGTTTAACATTGTTTACGCTATTTAATATAACCACTCATAATTAAATGCAACTGAAAGAATAAATTACTGTGCTTATTCTTTAAGATCAACCACGATTATCATTATTATTATTTGTATTAATTTATTATACATATTTTTTCTACTGCTGTGTTAGTACTTTTTTTCATTGCTTTATTATTTTATACTTTGTTTTACATAAATATAATTTTATAAAACTATTCTTGTCGATAATTCGAAACACGTTAAACTCTATAACGTGGTGTGAATATTTATAATTTTATATTACTTTATAATCGTATTATGTTGCGCGGTCCGTGCACACATAAAACTTCTGGTAAAGTAATTCGATTTGCCTTCACTAAAGTAATCGTCCAATGCAATTACTTCCCCTTTTAGTTTCCGCATATTAATATGATCTAATTGAATAATGATACTCATATTATTATATGTTATATATTAAGTATGAGGGCATACCAATATTCATTCATATCCTCGGTTCTCACCGCCTGCGTCATGAATTCTTTATCAGTACCATACACAAACAATTGCTTAAGTACAGCCATTGGTTAGCCGATTTCACCAAAGACTTTGGAAACTTGTTTCGTCTTGAAATTAATTATTGTTTCCCATCGATGTTTTTAAGTGCACTTACTTATTTTCCAACAGTTACATGTGCCGTTTAGCATGTATACTTAAACTTTGAACTCGTGACCTTGATTACAGAATAGGTACATAAATAATGAATTATAGTACTAAACAGCGACAAAGACTTACTTTTTGTTTAGAAAAAACAACGCTTATAACTCTGTAAGATTATAGACTTTTTTACTCGAAGACCGTGTTGGATATAATGGTTCAGGTTGGATAATTTAATTATAATTAATATTATGATAATTATTATTATTATGCATGTTATGCGAATGGTTTGCCATCATTTGGAATCGTGACGGTAAAATAGAATTAAAAAATCGCGAGACTTATTGCATATAAACATCATAGGTGTAAGCGCGTCCCGGCGTGACGGCGGGGTGGGGTTAAGGGATGTTTTTTTCGAGGACGGAAGGCGGTGGCCGGCGGGGGTTGAGCGCGCGCGCCTAGGCCAATGGTAAGGGGTCGGCCGCGCGAGGGTGTCGGTTGTACGCTCCGCCTTCGCCGCCGGGTAGTGCTGTTGGCCCTCGGAGGCAGGGATGGTTCGCACTTTTCTACACAACGGGCAGTTATTGAATTACGCAGGGCCATCATTTGATTTGGAACCGACGACACCGTCGTATATAGCGCGTAAGCTATAATCATAATCATCCTCCTGTCCGTCGTTATGTAACTTAAGTATTTTCTTTTCCTCTCACTTTCTCTCCTCCTTTTTTATTTTTTTATCATTTGATTCTTATTTTTCCGTTGAAGTGTCTCCAGAATATCGTGGAATTAACATATCTAATACGTTATTATAGATCCCACGTCGAAGACACCACAACCGAACCGACGGGTCCACGGCGTAGTCAAGGTAATTAATTTCCGACCATAATTCAATATTGGCCTGTGATCCGATTACGCATCTTCCTCTTTCTCTTCCGACATCGTTCGGCCATCGTCGGTTATCCCGTTATTAGGCCAATTAGCTTAAAACGTTTGTTTTATCGTTACGACGTAAAGGATCACCTAATCGGGAATATATAATCACAATCATACGCTGAATCCTCCAACAGCAATAATTTAGCACATGCTTGTGCGTGTGTATGTGTTAGTATCGCGTGGAAAACGCGACAACAAGAGCGACACGAACAAGAACAGTCCAAGTAAATGAGATAATCGCAAATCCGCAGATGGACTACTCGTACTTGAACCAGGCCAACTTCGACGGGCTGACCGGCAGCTCGGTGGCCGGCAACATGGATCACGGGGCCATGGGTTACGGCGATCTGTCCGCGTGCGGACAGATGACGCATGCCGCGTACCGGTTCGGACCTACCGCTGCCGCTGCGTCCATGGCGGCCCGGTCGTACAACACGGCCATGGGCCATCATCTGTCGGCCGCAGCCGCTGCGGTAGCTGGCAACGGTCATCACAATGCCGTGACGTCTTCAGCTAGGGCCGCGGCTGCCCATCATGCAGCTCATCACCAAGATCATTCCGGCAGACCGACCATGTTCTCGACGGCTATGAACTTGCCAGGTAAAGTAATTTTCATTTAATAATATTACCGACACGTATCGCTTTACTTTAGAAACATTAAACCATTCTGTACTACTCTTTGTATATTTTTAAAAAAAAACTAATATTTACAATCCATACATTGATACACATATCTGTACATCGAGTAATCATGCTTACACGAAAAATATATATACAATGGTAAATCAGTAGTGTCATCCGTCTGTTTCCAATATTTAAGTGTGGGCAGATGAAGTTTTTTAGCCAGTTTCTTTTAAGTCATCAGGGAGGGTTTGAGAAAAAAGACGTTTGATTTAAATGGATTTTGATGATATTTTAGATTAGCGTAAAATAGGCTGATTTATAGTTTTTAAATCTGAATGTGGCTTTATTAGTTAAAAGTGGCGTATGTAGGAAAGGGATGGATAATAATCAATGATCTAGGTGTTAGAATACACTTGTTCGGCTGTCTTTCAATGTGTTTTATATAATCCACCAAACACAAAAAATCTTGGTATATCAAGATAATAGTAGGCATGAAAATATAAGCAAGTGCTAAAAATATAAATGGAGAACCGTTTAATTTTCGATTTTTTACACATTTATTAACAATATTTTGTATGTAGGTAACCACGTAAAGGGCATAGGGGAAAAACGGTAGTATTGACATATGAAAATGTTTTTTTTCAAATAGTTTTTTTCAATTTATGCTAATAATTTTTTTTTTATTTATGTCAATAGATTGTTTAAATAAATACATTTATTATTAGAGTAGCATTTTATGTGATTTTTTTTGTTCTTATTTAAGAGGTAGAGGAATTCACGAACTTCGTTTTTGCTATACTCTAAAATTTTCATAATGTGACAACTACCGTTTTTCCCCTGTGCCCTTCACATAATATTTTAATTCACGAAAGCTTTAACACATTCATAAAGATATTTTTTATTTCAATTATTGAAAAATAATAAAATATTTTTTTTAAAAAAAGGTTATAATGAAGGTAGGGGTAAAGGCAGATACTCTTTTATTTAATAATTTAAATAAACACTTCGATGTGACTGTGTAGACTCTAGAGACTGTAGATGGTAGAAAATCAGGTATTGATAAAAGCATTGTATTGACAATAATGTGTACAAAATGATATTTTCAATATTAGGGTGGATATGGTAGGGTAGGGATTGCCTGTCTATGATCATTTGTTGCCTATATATTTTAATCACAATATAGTAAAAGAATTTAATGAAACCTGTTAATTGTTGAATCACTCACACGTAGCAACCTAGACATTTACTACGGACTACAGTCTAAGTGTAATTCTCCTTTTTTTTGGGTGGGGGGGAGGGTCCAATTAAGAAAAAAGGTTTTATTTCAGATTTTTGAGAAAATTTAATATTTTACAATCCCACTCGTATCTACCTCCAGTCTAATTTTGAAACATTAAGCCCTACTACACTTTAAAAAGCAAAATAAATAAAAAGTTCCCATCCCTTCTGGAGGAAAGGGCTTTTGGTATTTGTTTTGTTGTTCAACTTAGACAACCTATATTGATAATACTACGTAGTCTAAAAAGTATTCTTTACAAATTTGGAACTAATTTGACTATTTTTTAACAAAGTTATAAAACACCGAAATTTTAGAAATTAGGTTGAAAAGTATGTACATTTTTTGTATGTTTCAACTTTATTGTTTACAATAGAGAGCCTTAGATAGCCAAAATAATTTTTTTTTGCCCATCGATGGTTGTTGATAATTTATATTGACTCTGTTATCTTGAAAATTTGGGTAGGTTTGTCTAGGCGTCAACGGATTCCCTGATTTGCATTTTATTTTGATTTCTGCAATCAAGTTAGCTTTGGTAGCATTATTTACAAAATAAACAATTTTCCCATTTAAAATCTTTTTGATTTTCCTTTGAGCGGTGAACTTTTTTAAAATCCGTTTTATTAAGAGTAATATTTAATTTATTACCTAGACAAACAATCACATCTGCCAGGGATTCGTTTGTAAATTTTGGAACACCTGATATTTCTATATTGTTTGCTAAACTGTTTTGATAAAAAATTTCTTTTAAATGGTTGTACATTTTCTTAAAATTTATCATACTTATCCTCAATACAACTTAATCGTGTATCGACCATGCCGATTATTCTGTTATCTATCTCCTTGACAACAGCTGCAGTTTTCGGCACATTTCTACTGACAATAGCGCATTTGTGGATACAATTGATTATGAAATATACGATTCAGTTTATCGAGTTTCGTGAGTTCAGCAATCACTTTTTCTTTGCGTGCTTGTAACGAGCCTAAGTTTCCCAATCAAACAGCATAGTCCGTCGTCATTAAGAAACGTCAAACGTCTACCAAAACGAGTAGTGCATTAGCCTGATTGCTTAACGTCACGCCTAATGCCCACTCAGTATTGTGCTCGTGGTTTAGCCCGGATTTGACTGTTGTCGAAAAATCCTAGCCTAAGATTTGGTCAATTATTGTTCTTATTCCAAGTAATCCGTTCAGGCTTAAAGCTTTCATAGAAACCTGTCGTTCGCCGTTAAGGAGCATACCCAAATGGCTGTTAATGCATTTCTGTTGACCGAACACCGACTTGACATTCGCAATAAACGCTACAAGGCTTCCCGATTTATTTGTTAGTGTCTCACAATTATAAATATTCCAAAATGTATAATAATAAAAAAAATCACAATAACCATACATAATATGTATGTGATGTACATTTTTTTTAAGGCCAAGCCGAAAAAAAAATTAAAATTAAAATATTCCGGACAACTTATGTTTTATATAAAAAATTGCACTTCAAATGAAAAAAAATTTACATACATTTAAAATAGTATTTGTATTTTCAGTACACTGACGACAAATGTATGTAAAAAATGTGCAATGTTTTGAGAACGGTTGGAGAATCTTTTTTTAAAACTGTTTAAACATTTCGGTTAGTTTTTATTTTTGTTTAATTGGAAATTGTCTATGTTAAATATTAATCAAGTGTAAAAGAAAAAATCATGAGGTATAGTTTATGCCGAATTAATATGTACATATTTATAGTTACTTAGTGAAAATTTAAAATCAATTGTTTTTTATAAATGAGCTTAAATTTGCAAAACAATTCATACATGGTATTTTAAAATGATACATCACAATGAAGTTAACAAATTTACTTTTGGGTAAATATACCGTAAATATTTTTTAATTTATGGTGGGCTTGTGAGTTTAAATACACAGGCACGCAAGTATTTTGTATTTTATGCTCAAAAACGTTGCACAAAAAATTGAATTCATTTTCTCGACTTTTTTTTAAAATATACATAAATTATTGTTCTTTTTTGTTCTATTTCAGTGGGCATAACATAACAGAAATATATCGTATTTTTAAGTTCTGTAGTATCACATTCCCCGCTATATTGTTGTATACATAATAAAGAATGTACGCATGTTGAAAATGTTCGCCTAATGGTTTAAGCTTTATACCGGGTGATTATTTTAACGCCCTACGCCATTTTTTCTCTTAAAATAATTGATATTTTGTAGTTTTTTCTTTTTGAAAACATTTTTGTTTATGCTTTGTTTCAGCTGTTATTTCACGTACTCAATATGAATAACAAAATTAAAAAAAAACATATTATAGTAAAATGTGTAATTTATAGTTAGCGCTGCTTAATCGATAAGCAATTAACGATTTTCCACGTTAAATAATGTAAAACTTTTAGGTACATAACATCATACACCGTACATACCTAGTTATTATATTTAAACATAATATGTTGTATGTAATTCTATCAGATCTCCGCAGTACACCGTATACACCCTATATCTATATTTATATAAGAATATTAGGTTACACATACTTGCTCTTCGGAGTCTTATTCGCCTGACCTTAAATTAACTAGATATATAATAAATAAAGAGCTAAAAATATTTGTATATAATTATCAAATTAGATTAGATGGGGTCCTAATTGTAAAACATTGGAATGAACATGCAATTTTTTTCTTATGGAAATAACCAAAAAATATGTATATTTTAACTAACAATTAAAAATTGAAATTAAAACATTGCTGATAATATTTTTGTACAATAACAAGTGCACCTATACAGTTAAAAAAATTGTTTTTTTATGGCGTATGTACATTGCAAAATTATTTTGTAGTTTACATTCGCAGATGATGCAATACGGTTGCGCTTAGGGAATATAGTTCTAACAGAGTATGTACATCAGTTGTGATGTATTTTAGTTGAAGGAAGTTTTGACACGGGGTCGGGCCGTTCTGATAGACAAGTGGGAAGACAGACGAGCAAAGTTGAAAGGGGAAACTATATGAGAAATTGACCGGTTAAGTAGGTATGACGTACGGCCTATAGAAAAATATTGTTTTTCACCGAAACAATGTGTTATTATCCTATTTTTATTTTTTATGTTTGCTCGAAAAACGTACACTTGACATTTTTATCTTGATATAGTAATATATATTATAGTAGTTGTTTACTTTCTGACTTAGTCAAACACACTACTGCGATACTCACTTAGGCAAACAATTAACCGTTTAAATGCGGTATTCAATTTTAACCGTTTAAAATGGTTTTAAAGTTAATTTAATTGTCGAGTACTAGACATAATAAAATTATTATGCATTCAATAAAGAGACTTGTTCTTTTTTTGTATTGATCCATAAAAAAAGTATAGAATATTAATATGTGGTTTTATATTTGGCATTATCGAAGTCATCCAGTAAGTACCTAATTTTTAACAATTAATAAATCAAATAATGAGGATATTAATGTTATGATAATGGTCTAAAAAAGTGAGGAGAGTTATTGGTTAATTTACGTTTTGCGGTCAGGTAGGCAAGCATAACGTTATTGCTAAAACAAGCCGAGAGTAATTCAATTATACAAAATGTAATCCGCTGCGTGCAACCGACGCTGAATTCATTCCGGAATTATATAATATACTGTTTTAGGTACCTAAAGTTTTGATGGTATTCATGAAAAGTTAATAATAAAATTTGCTGTTTTCCATTGAAAATTATATTTAAACAATAACACTATCAACCATTCACGTTTGAATTTTTACAAACTGTAAAAAAAAGCTTTAATTAATGATGGTGTTAAAATATAATAAATGTGGTGCTGTTTAATGTATATAGCACGGTACTTCTAAAGGGGTTGAAATACATTTTATGTTCAACATATAAGCATAGATAAATCAAAATAAACTCTTTGCTAAATATCTACGTAATTATATACCAACAATATTATTTACGCATATTTCGTGGGTCGTGTCCTTGAAAAATTCTCTTTAAGTACTTCAACGATAAAAAAATAATAAAAATACAAAAAATTATACTTCATTTTTTTTGTCCAAACACATTGCCAACACTTTAATGATTCGGCTAGTCGTAAAAAAAATCTTGACTTTTGTTCAGTCATATAAAAATAAAGTCTGTCATTCCATATAAATATCACTGTTGCATATTTACTACGGTAAATAATAAATAATAAATATAAATATAAAGGAATAAGACCATTAAAATTAAAATTTTCACAAAAACCGTTATTCTAGTTATATTGTTTTCTACATTTTTTTCTAATCTCATTTATTAATGTCATTGCAATTTAATTATACAATTAAGCATACAATCCACCGCAGAATTTTTTTTTTTAAAAGTATTGTGTCTTACCTACTGCCCGGTTCATAGTAGCATTTCATTAGTAGGTTCTTAATAAAATGCCATCAAGTTAGTATCAATGAGTTTTGTATTGTATGTTAAACGGCTGTGAAATTGAATTGAATGACGTAAAACATTATCAAGTGTGTATTAAATGATGTTAAAATATTTATGGACATAAACATTTTAGAAATACGAGTGTCAAAATAAATACAAATGTATAGTAATGTCAATTTTCCAAGAATTTCTATATTTCTGTAAACGACGTATATAGTCATTAATTAAAAAAAAAATCCATTTTGATCATGATTTTTTTTTAATGAGTCGTTATAAGTTGAGTGATTTGTCCAACCATTTCCTTTACATAGATGGTTCATTTTAAGTTCTAAAAAGTAAAGTACAAGTAATTAGAACTGGTTTTCAAATTCCTATGTGAGTAAAAAGATTTGCATAAATGCTATTATGAGCCCACGCGACTTTTCCAATTTTTCCCCTTTAAAATATTTTTGATATTAATAACGACGACATATAGATTTGTTCGTTCAATCTTACTTTTAAAGTTATTTACAAAAACCTTAATTTTTAAAATAATTATTATATAATGGAAAGTGCATAATATCATACCTAATTTTAAATATTTTATCTACCGACATTAAATATTGTTTGGGGGTTATCGTTGTATTCGTGGTTTATGATTATTAACAATACATAAATATTTGTTGCCAGAAATTGATTTGCCAATGACATGGTTCAATGTTAAAAACAGTATTTAGTAATATAATATTACATTATTAAATTATTAATAGATTAATTATTAAAGGACACGAAATGACGCGCTTTTAATTATTACTTTATCCCCATTTCATAATAATAAATAATCATTAAAAAAAAACTTAAGGAGTTAATTAGTATGGTAAAAATGGTAAAAATGTGTTAGGTTACGAAAAGCGTACTCAACTTAAAACGTAACATGAAAATTGAAAATATCGCTTTGGGCATTGCTGATCACTCGTGGGGATCATTAAGAAAAATCTGCAGGTGGTGTTGGAGTGCGTGAGGTGTTTACGGGAATTTGGCCCTATACAAATAACACTGCTGCCGAATTACCTCCCTCGTTCCAACGGCACGCCCGCCCGCCCGTTCGCCGTCACAGGCACGTCCTATTCCGGGGGGTCGTAAAAAATGGCGCACACCCGTCTATTGCGTGCGTGCGCCCGGCCGTCGGGACGGTATAGCGGTTGCCCGTGAACCGCGCGCCGCTGCGTCTACACTAATAACATCATAAGCCGTTAAAGAATATATGCACAGCCTTTTCGCGAAGAACGCATTGGTAGCGGCAGAGGCCCCACAGCGGTTAATGGGATTAAAAAAAAAAAACCAGCGACAATGTAAGCGTCAGCGGCGGCCGCGCGCAGTCGTTAAAATGTTTTACGCTGCCGCCCGGCAACAAAACTTTGTATACATACATTTAGACTCGCTGCATTTCACCACAGCCTCCCCCGGATCCGATCAATATGGACCCGCGCGCCAAACACCGCAGAGTAAAAATGGCGGCGGCGACGGCGGTTCGAACGGTTTTTGAGTGTATACGCACAAAGCTCGTCCGCACCAAACCTCATACACTCATTACACGTTTCCTCCGTCTGGTATGCTCTCCCCCTATCTCCCCAAAAAAAAATCACCTTATTTTTTGGGAAAAGATGTGAAGAGAGTGTCTGATACTTATATGAGTCTAAGGATTTGACGGCTTCCGGGATCATGATCACGCACGCAGCAAGCAAACCGAGTCTTCTCAAATAAACTTTCACATTATTTTCCGGTGACACCGGAAACGAGGAGCACGCGTGATTTTTCACCATCCTTCCCGTTCTTGCCCTCGGCATCGCTCTAAGATATATTTCTTTAGGTTTTTCACCCCTTGTGGTATTAAAAGGTTAACGTATTGTGGTATTCGCGTTACTATAAAAATATATTATGCTCAACTATAAATAATTGTATTATAAATATATATCACGACACGGGAACGGTATATAAACAATGCGGTGACACGAAGAAGGAAATATATTAAGAGAAATTTAAAAGTTGACATAATAAAATACAAATACAAATTCTACATTATTCTATAAATAATATATATTATATGACTGCACTATTTTTTCTGCATATTTTGATATACGACATATATGCAGCACATAAATTTAATAATGTATTATTTTATATTTTTATAAGAAATGTGAAGATTCTTTGGCGCTTTAAATAATCATAAATCGTGTAACATATTATACTATATTTATACGGTCTCCGCAGACAACCGAGTATAATTATTTGCAATATGTAGGTATAAATCATGTTACACGAATAATACAATTTTAAGTCATGTTGAATTTACATGGTTTAAATTAGTAAAAAAAAAGTGCTTAATTATCACAAGATGGATAAAACCAAAAAAACATAAACAATTGAAAACATTTTCTATGAAATGTGTTACAGGTGGTTTGGCGGCATACAAAAGTCTTCCATACACAACCCACGACAGTATTCTCACCGAAAAACGAAAACAGCGAAGAATACGGACTACTTTTACTTCAGCGCAGCTGAAAGAATTGGAAAGAGCTTTTCAGGAGACCCATTACCCCGATATATATACAAGAGAAGAAATAGCGAAACACATAGAGCTTACAGAAGCCAGAGTTCAGGTAAACAAAACATACTAATTGATTCAAGTAACTGTAAAAGACTTTTGAATTGAATTTCGCGCTTAACCTATTTTTGTGTCATAGTTCATTAACTATTGTTTGTATAAGCGATATTAATAATAGAAATAATAATAATAGTATTATTGTTTGTCTCTAATAGTCATTATACGGACAAAACCCTATATTTTTAGAGGAATTGACTTCATGTATTCTCTGAAAATTATGAAATCAAATTTTAGTATAATATACTAATTATGTAATTATATATTTAGTATATTATACTATTATGATTATGTAATTACATTATAGACTATACTGTAACAGATAAAACGTTAATGTTACATCAATATTTAATGTTATTTCGACCTCTTTCCTTGGCCCCTGACCATTTGGTGTGCAAAAAAAAAACGAGCTCATTCTACATTTATTTCGAACGACCGTGACAACATTATTGAAAAATATTCCCACAAGCAATTTTCTCGGCTGTCGCTTTGAATTCCGTATATCAAACGAGGTAATCTGAACCGCGTTCGGGTGTTGGCTGCCTGTTGTTATATTGTTGTTGATGCTCGTCCAAAAGGAAAAACGCGTTTGCCGTTGCTAATCGCGCGTGTACCGCCGCCGCCGCCGCTCAGCCGACGACAGCTCAATTTGCAACTACGCTTGACTCGAGCCACTATACATAATAGGTGGCCCTCTGTTCGATTACATGCCCACTGACCCACCGTGAAACAAGATACTCCTGTAATGTATGTTTTGGCCCGTCCGGCCGAGACAAGCGCACCACTTGACGCGGCACGCGACCCGCCGGATCTCCCCAATTTGTACCGGCGCGGCGACGATGGTGTCCGGTTTGCCCCCGACGAGACGATATTATTGTTAATCATTATCTTTGTGTACACGGTACATTATCGAAATATTATGTCGGCCACCGTATTACTACAATACAATAACAACACTGTTGTCGATGTCGCCGGCGAAATAACCGTGTAACGCCTATATATATATATACACCATACACTGTGCCCATATTATGACTTCATGCCGTGTGAAACGTTTTCGCATACATCGTGTGACCGTTTAGCAGTGGCGTTTCCAAGGGGCAGGGGTGGTTAAGGGGTTGTAATCCCCCTACTCCACCGAAAATGTTTCTAAAAAGTTGCGAAATCATCCAAACGAAAAATGAATTTATATATATTTATGGTTTAAAATAATTACATACTTTAATTTCAACGAAACAATTTAATTTGTTACAATATTTTTAACCCCCCCCCCCCCCCCAAAAACAAAAAAATCTGGATACGCTCTGAAAACGGAATCGCTATTCCACTTTATTATACTGAATAAATGTATGTATTATTACTATTACTATTAGGTATTATTACTACTGTTCGTTCGCTAAGTGATTATTAATCATATCAGGGTACAAAAATGTAGGGTTTCCAAATCTTTGCGCAAACAGCGCAAAGGGTGTTGTTATTGTTCATTTCTATTAACATTACACATGTACTTGTATTATAATGATCTTTCGCAGCAGCCCTGAGTAGTCAAACTGTCATATTGTCAGATATATATTTCATTAGCCGCAGGGGGCTTACACAATGCACAGTGAACATTTAATATATATTAGTAATGCATTCGTTGAATCTATTTTTTTGTTTATATCATAAATCATAATACATATGTGTGTGTATTATTAAAAGCTTAAATTGTATATTAATTGATTATAATATCAAAACATCAATAATATATGATAGCTAAGTTCAACATTTAGTAAAGAAACACACATATGTGATTAACTATTATATAATTCCTAAAACTATAATATTGTATATATATTTATTTTTCGCCAAACATAATTACGTAACTTATTGATTAGTTTATAAAAAAATGTCATAAGAAAATAGTGTAAACCATACTTTAAGGTAATATCTGCTCATTATTCGTAATTATAGTAACTTGCATAATTTTAGTACAGCTCTTTTTTTTTTGTAATTAGTAAAATTCAATTGTAATCAAAGTTTACCATTCGGCTATGCCGTAATATTAAATATACGTACAATTTTTGTACGTATTTACGTAAATACGAATCAGGTTCCTGTTTGTCGATTTTTTTTTGCGGTTTAACATAATAAATACACACAACAAAAAAAATGTAAATCTCTTTTCGACAAACGCGACCAGTTTATCTAATGAAGGGACAATATTGTGCTGATTTATATTAATAAAAAAATAATACATATGTATATATTTATATGAATCGGATGCCCGTAAGCCCCGTCGTGCGTGTATTTATGTACTAGATATTTGTTTTGTATGTAGTATATTTAAACGGCGTCACGGTCCCGGTGACGGACCAAAACCTTTTCTGTTTGCTCAGTTGTGCGAAAAGCGGGTCGGAGGACGGCGAAAAAATATTAACATGTGTTAAATAAGTATTTAGCCTTCTGTCGTCGCCAAAGGCTGCCGGTGTATATTTATTGTTTTCGCGGTGACAACGGCCAACGAAGGCGCGAGGTGAGGATCACCCCTCGCAAACAACAACAAAACACACTGGCTCCCGCTATATGTGTAGTAGTAATAATAATAATATGTGCACACACTGCACAATGTCCGTGTATAACTTTGTACTTGTGAACGCGTCACACTCGGTGCACCGGGGACAGTACAGGCGGTTGTTTGCATTACCGGCTTACATATATAATATAGGCGTGTATATAGGTACCGTCGCGTCATAGGCAACCAGACTGAAGTCGGTGGTGTTGGTGTTGTCGCGACTACGGTACGGACATGATGATAGTACCACCGCCGTCCACATATTAATAAACGCTTACCGGTTTAATGAACTGTACAACGGACAACTGTCTGTGTGTAAAAAGGATTCGACCGGCCCGGCCGGTGCAACCCATTGTCGTCCAACCCTATGTCGATGTAGATTTATATACAATAACGCTACTCGCAGTTTATTTGTTTATTATTATTATTTCTATACGCTGGTTTTTATGTCTACATTAAACTACTGTATTAAACACGCTCGTACATGTACGAAAACAATAATAATACAGGGACTTTTATAATGTACATAAATATAAGTCGTTTCGCAACTGGTCGCGAGGTCATGTGTAGCACTCGGTCGAAACAACACATCGCTTTCAAAGCACTCGCCCACGCGTTTGGACGGCGACCAAGTAATAATATATATGTAACGCGATCTCCATTTATAATTGTTTAGATTGTTTTGAAAATATATTCTCCGGAGTTTAACAGTCGCTAGGAGGTGACTTTTCGGGTGGTTATTTTTTAATATAATATTAACACGTTTTATTGCGGAAGTAAAGCAAAAGCATTCGTTTGCGCAATGTCATCTTGTCTGCGTATTGTCTTAGGGGGTGTCGCATGGTCGCACATACAATAATAATACACGTGATACGATGATGACGGCTGAGGAGAATACAAAACAGGCCTTGGGGATCGGCGTGAGGGGGTCCCCGATGGAAATGTATGAGTGCCGCGGGCCACACTCGCTGATTGAAATAGGCGCGAGCGCCTCGACAGCACGTCCCGCGCGCTGGTCGTGTGGTGACACACATACAAGGGTTCTATTAAATTAATAACGGCCCGCCGAACCAGAAGAACCGCCACCGACGGTGGTGTCAATTCTCTGGTGGTAAAGATGTCATGGCAGTCGCAAAATGTTGTCGCGATAGATACACTAACAATGTATTTTACGTATAAATAAATGTTAAAAACGTATGTATTATGTGTGAACACTATCAGTTATACATTAATACTTAAATTATATAAATATATAAGTATGTATTCACGGTATTTATTGCTAATAATTATTTATTATTTTATTATTAATTATTATTGATCATTTTTTGTGCGTACTTATAAATTATATATAATAATTTATAATTAAGTATGTACCACAAGTTTTCACTGAGATTATAACTGATAACTATAAATATAAATATTTTAGACGTTTAAACAGCTATAATGGAAAACTAAAATTAATCTACTAGGAAACTAAATAATAATGTAAACTCATTTTAAGTTTGACTCCTGAATGTTAAATGTCTTCATCAGTAAATAAACACTCTGTAAGGAGTTTATTAAATTTTTAAAAAAACTTCTAAGTACGTTCCCCTAGTTGTTTTCACAAAACGACCTGTGCATACCAGTTTCTCGATTATACTGAACGCTAAAGATCGATCTGTCCACCTCCCCTCTGTTCTCTCTGGATAATTAACGACCAAGAAGCTGTCTTGGGAAACGACACGAATTGGGCCAATGGAATAAATGTGAGAGCAAAATGAAAAGGGAGGGGGGTTTTGGTAACTCAACGGATTGGCTATCCTGGTCATCATGTCGCGGTCCACCATAATATTTTAAATTAAGTGTAGTAGGAAATTCTAGAAATACTAAAAAGGCCGTGATCACATTAGAAGTAATCAACATTTACATATTAATTTATGCTAAAAAGTAAACTAATATAAATCAACCGTTCTTATAAAAGCCAAACGAATTTTAATAATTTAGAACCATCGCGACTTGATATTGCATTCAAAATTTTATTTGTATCATTATATTATTGTAAAACAATAATACTATATTTTATTATTTTTATTTATAACATTAAAACAAGAGAAGACACGAATCCCTGTTTCATTTTTTCTGCGAAAGTTTAGATTAAAATAAAATGTAATATTTTGTTAATATAACTTATTGTTAATGATAAACCAGGAATATAGATTTTATTAAATAAACATGTTAATGTTGATTATTCTATATGCGACGCTTATACCTCTAATGGTTATGGGCTAAAGGCCAGAAACTCGTGTAATACTTCAGTGCTTATCCGTATAAATAATTGTAAGCACTCCGCGATATCATTGTTTGTAGAAATTTAATGGAACCCAAATAAAAATAGAAAAACAAAACAGTATACACCCATAATTTCTCATCTAGGCCTAGTGCCAATTACTTAAGTATGTAGTATGCAAATTTGGATTATATAATTTACTCTTTTTATTTTTTTTTCACTTTTATTTTCGATGAGAAGCCTAGTATGAGGCAGATAAGGCGAGCCTGAGAAGCTATTTTTACAATGTTTTTTTTTTTTTTTAGTATTTATCAATATACTACCGACGTTACCACTTATTTAAAATTAGTTTAGGTGTGCAAACCACTTGCAACGATACTATTATTTGTCACTTTGGTACACAAGTGCATGGATGATTTAGCGATTATTATACTAAAGCGTAGGGGATGACTTAAGCGTAGTCACAAAATATAATAAAAAAAAACAACATTAACGGCCTACGAAGGCATCATTCTCCTCTATGGCCCCGTCCCGTTTATCGATTACACAATTATAAATGACATGCCATGGATGAAAAAAAAACTTTTTGTTAAACGCGATCCCAATGAACACATCACGGTCCAGACTCATTCGGGCTTACCAGTTGGGCATGAAAATAAATCTATGAATCGCCCAACACAGCCGCTGGCGATGACACACCGCTATATACACTACAAGATAAGTGTATAATATTTATATTAAATTAGCCGGTCGCGCAGGAGTCGACGGGGGGTGAGCCGGGGATGACCCCTTTAACTGTTACGCCGTACAGCCCCAGAAATTGTTTTATGCTGACACGGTCAATTAAATCGCTTACACCGAAAGCTAAGGTCTGTACGGTACATTGCTCACGTATACATACTATAATACAAACAAATATACACCGTACATCTGTTGAGTTTTCTGTTCTAAGCGCAGAACGATCCGGAAATACGTGGCCAAATCCTTTGGTGCTTCATTAATAGGGATAGTAGATATCCCGGATCAATATAGTATTCTATAAAACCGTAATGAGCATTTCCTATTGAAAACATAATAATTTGTTAAGAAAATTTCATTGAGTTTTACAACTACAGCGGAACCTCGATATTATACAGGGTGATCACTTTATTGTGAACCACTCAATATTGCATAGGGTTAATAAGAAATTACATTTTTTTTTTCATAATGTTTTTATACAATGTTGAACTCAATTTTCCAAAAAATTGTATGTGCCTACTCCCCTCTCAAACTAATTATTCGTATACCAAATTTTGAAACTGGTAATGCATACATTTTATCAAACTTTTATATTGAGAAACATTTACTACAAATTTTGACTGGTCGATAACCAGTTTTGGATAACTATTTTTGAAGTCATTCAAGTTTGAAGTTTAGGACAAGAGGGCACCTCACCTATTTATATGCGATACGTTTAAAAATTTTAGTACAAATAATATGTTATATTGTTTCAATAAATTTTAAATCATCAAATTTTCAGCTTTGTTTTATCTTTGCGGGCCCCTGTATAATGGTACTGTGGTGTATTTCATATGTATGTGCAGTGTGGGCAAAACGCTTCTTTATAGTTTTTTTTTGTAAATTATATCAGTCGCCAGTCGTATTCGAATTAAAGTGTCTCTGTTTATTTTACCCGACTGCGGACCGAAGGAGGGTAATATGTTTAATTTTTATGTAAATGTAGAAAAATAATGTTAGCGATTGTCGACGATCAACGAGGTGAAGGATAAAAACAAGAAAAAAAATATACTCGCGTACCTACTTAATTGGCAATACCTTTATAATGATTTTAATTAACTCTCTCGCGGCCAGTAACAACAACAACGGGAGGGTGAGGGGAGGGTGTAATTAAAAAAGTCGACGGCGGAGGAGCAGCAAAACCAACGGACGAGCCTACTTTTTGCACCCTCGCTTATACATTGTTGTTAAAAGGTCACCGTACAGCCGAATCAAAGGTCCCGGTCGCGTATGTACGGTCGGTAAACGGAACAGAACTTTATTGGATTTAAGAGGTACAAGACAAACATCACGTGCTCCCGGTCGTTTTTATGCTCACAACCGACGGCTGAAGGGAAAAAAGAACAAAAAAAAAAAAGAGAGAGAGAAATCCAAAAAGAAAGGGCAGAAAAATTAACTATACACTCGACCTCTCCTTTTACCTTGCTCACTTCTCTTTACACAACCCGAGTACATATACATATACACATACCTACATACACCCGCACAAGTTCAAACAAAAGACCGGTCGTGTCCGACTTTGAACGCGTTGAAGTTTAGCTGCCGCCGCCAAGGGGCTGTACTCGGAGCGCCCTTCTGTATTTGCTTAGGACAAAAAGATAGATAACCTTTTAAAAACAACGGACAGGGTTGATTAACAGGCTGCGGTGTTGTACGGGTCGACGTCGAAGGTCGGGCCATAAGTACAGGATTATATTTAATGTAAAGCTTGTATACGGTCAAGCCAATCCGATCGGATAACATAATAATATGGCGTATGGTTGTGGAAAAAACTGGTTTTCCTAATTCTGAGTTTTTTCGGCTTTTCAACAAATTGTCTAAAATTGGATCTAAATCAATTTTTGTAAATACTCTTTATACTTGTTGTGTACTGTGTACACACCCGATTATATAGTATATAATATTATATACTGTGCAATACTGACGGCGATTTGTTTTTTTTTTTCAGGTGTGGTTTCAAAACCGACGGGCAAAGTTTCGAAAACAAGAAAGGTTAGCCCAACAAAAGTCGTCGTCGCAATCACAAAACAGCAACAGCACGGTGGACGCGACCAGCATAAAGACCGAACCCAAACAGTGCGGTCAACAAATCAAGGATATTAAGCCCGGTACTCCTTCCACCCCCGGCAGCATATCGTCCAACAATGGGTCCACCGACATGAAATCCATTAACGGATCAGGTAAATACAATTAGTTCATCCGAGTAACTTGTAAGATATAAAATAACATATTGTATATTCTGTCCGTTCTCGAGTTCAGTATTAAAGCTATTAAGTATCAAGTTGACAAATTGATAAATTTAATTTAATTTTAATGCCAATAATATATGACGTAATGTTATACATTTTACCTAAGTATAAATTAAAAATTGATATAGTTTTATTATACTGATATAGTTTCTTAGAGAAACGCATACGTAAGAGGTAGTATAGGCGCGGCTTCGATAGTTGAGAGAAAATGGTCTGGGATGGTTTGGGCTTGTTATGAGGTGTGGGGAATGAATCGGAAGCAGTAAGAATGGCTATGGAAATAAACGTAGGAGGAAAGATAGGAAGAAGAAAACCAAAAAAAAAAGAAAGTAGTTGAGTGCGATTGAGAATAATATGAGGAATGCTGTGGTGTATGTGGGAGATCGTGTCGAGTGGAGGTTTAAGACAAGGGTGGCCAACCCCAAAGAGCTGGGACGAAGGTGAAGGAGATGAAAAAGATATAGTTTTACTATCAATTAACATGGTTTTTAATTTTTATACAATTCAATATGCACAAGGAACATACCTACCACATTACACACACACGCACAAATACATACGTCAATTTAGCTTTACATGTGTAGAAGATACTTATTTGTTTTTCATACATGTAATCATTAAAAAAAAACATCTCGGGTGAAAAGTCATTTACTGCGGTCCTCAGCTGTTAATTTTTTTTTCTCACTCGTTAATGCGGAAAAAAGCTTTCTTCTTATTAAGGGCCAGTCGGAACGGTCTAATAGTTGTTGGAAAATCACGGCACAACGTGCCGGACTTGACAGATTGTATCATTTTATTACTATATAAAGTAAATATAGTAAATCGTTTCCGGAAAATGCGTTTTTGAATTGGCTACCGGTTGCTTACAATATATATATATATATAATAATAATAATAATAATAATAATAACAGTACGAGCTGGGGTCACTTGATATAATATACGAGGTAGGGATAAACGAACGCAACAGGCCCTGTATGACAAATGGTCACGCATAGAACAAGATTGGAAACATATATTTGTGCCAGCCATTCGTTTTTAAACTCCAGCCTGTGCGCGGGGGATGGGCAAGTAGGGTTTAGTAAGAAAAAAATCGCTAGAAGGGACGGACCGAGAAATGACTAATGACTTTTGGAGACCGACGGGAAATCTGAAGTTTCTGGGCGAGTATATAACGTATATAATATAATATTTATCGTAAGACGGTAAAGGAGCAGTGTGGGCGAAAGGCTGTGCGTGCACGTGGCTCGGGGGGTGAAAAAAAAGAGGGGAAGGCGAATGGACAAGAAATCCAAAATAAAGAATCCCGTCGAGTGTAAGCAAACTACCCTTACAACAAAGTCGTTTTCCTCCTGTTCGTCCCCCGGCTTGGCCACACCCACGCACCCCGCTATGCCACCGTCCCACGCCGCAGCGGATCTCTGTGTGTACTGTGTATGTATTGGTTTGTATACAGCTGTATATGTCTACATCCGGCGCGCACATTAACCGTAGGAAACACCGTGACGTTTAATCTAGAAAATTGCTGTTGGTTACGTCGTTCGTTTCCATTAGTGTCAGGCGACCCGTAGGACACATATGTAGTACACACCGAAAGCAGAAAGAAAGAAAGGTACAGGGGCTAGGGACGAACAAGAAGAGAAGAAAAAAGACAACGGTGAACGGAAAGTTCGTCCAACCTCTCCTATAGCTCGCAAAAGGATCGTCGATGATCCGCTCTGACAGCGCCGAACAATCCAGCAGCGATTAAAAGTTAACTGAGATAATAGATTTCCAGTTCGATCGTCCCTCCGCATGCTCTGCGTCGAACAAAATCTATTTATAGCCAACTGTCCTGCAATTTCTTTGTCCAAATATGTAGTGCCCAGTGTATTGGGTGCATGGGTCGGAAAGTAATTTATCACTTATGAACGTTAATAAATCAAACTGTGATGCGTTTTTCGATCGGCATTCGCAGGGCTGGTAGCGTTGTCTTATAAGACTTATGAAATATTAAACACCCATTTTTCTAAAAAAAAAAAATTACGATTCTCATTTGTATAAGTACAAAGTTTGAGTTTTAGTACTAAACTCGTGTCACTTACTACGTGTAAGCAATCTAAAATTACAACAAATACAATATTACTAATTATTTTAAAACAATTTGGTATATTCTATGAAAATAGTTTTATCAGTTCTCAACGGAAAAAACTGAAAAGTACATTACTTAACGAAATAATTGCATATGAATTATACAAATTAAAAAAAAAAAATAGAAAGACACTTGTAAGTTAAACCAAATGAATGTACACATTGACACAATGTACACAATATACACAATGAACACTATATTTTAGACACACCCATTGTAAATTAACTGTTTTTACAGTTTGTTTAGGTATCGCACTACGACGGTACCTACCTTTATGTATTAATAATTTAAACTATTTGTATTATTTTTTTTTTAAACGCCGTTTTTATACACAAATAAAGTTACAATACTGCAGAACAAAGTGCACGACCCCTTTAATTAAAAAAAAAAAGTGACGGTATTTTGTCACGAAATGTAAAATTTAAAAATAATCATCATAAACTACCGTTTTTAATGGTAACGCGTGCGCATTTAACCGAAAAATGATAAATTCAACACAAATCCGTATGTAGTTCTACTCTCGCTAATGACTCATATAAATAGTAATTTACTGTTTTACTTATCAGGTCTACTTGTAATAATTATAATTTAATATAGTATTATTTTAATTGTTTTAGGCATTAAAATGTCAGAACAATCGGAAGGGGTGAACAACAACAAATGGCTGCTGGGACAGGGCCAGAGCTACACGCAGCTTCATCATCAGCTTCAACAACAACAACAACAATGCGGCGGCGGTGGTGACGGAGGCGGTGGAAGTGGCGGCGGATCCGGTAACAATTCGCCGACCTCTTCGTCTTCGGCGCACAAAAGCGTCTCTATCGTGATGAACGGAACCCACAACAACAACCACAACAGCCATAACAGCCATAACCATCATCACCATTCTCCGTCGTCACAACACCCTCACCAACAGTTCGCGCACCATCCGTTCAGCCTACTAGGCGCCGGTAACCCGGCCGGTTACCTGCTGGGTTCCGATTCGCTCAAAATGACTGGCGGCGGTGGTGCCAACCATTTGTTTTAGTCGGTTCCTTTCACGGAGCGTACAACGGTCATGTTTCCGGCCAGATCAAACAGCAGTACCGCAGCATTTTCTTATATAGACTAATCTGGATTGGTATATGGTTTAAATTTGAAAATTAGACACCGAATGCGACAAATATTTAATATTACAATCTTTGGCAAAACCCCAATTTCCAAATATGAACAATAAATTTGTTTTTTTTGCATATTATAACGGAAACATGTAAAGTGTTTGAGTATTGAATAACCTACCTTTGTAAACATAGTAATGATTAATATTGTATTGCACATAGATTTTAATTGTGTTGCGAACTTGGATTTCTTTTTTAATTGTTTGAGTATACAAACATTTTACATTTTTTATTTGTCAACATTGTATGTTTTGTTTCTGGTAAATGTAAAAAGTAATTTATATTAGTATTGAATAAAAGATTGACGTATCATTACGATTATTATTTTATTTTAAGATGCGTGTCCTTCGTGTGATGATGATTTAAAGTTGTTATTTTTCGGATGAAATTCGGACTTAACGACCGAAACGTGTTACAGTGGACGGGCGTGTGTCTTGTTCGCGTTCAGGGCGATCTTGGACAGTGCCAGTTGGCCATTAATGATTGTATATACAGCCAGTTGAAAACAAATTGAAAGTAAAAAAATATTTTTCTTATGAGAAGGCTCGCCAACGGTGGGTGACGTGGACAGACGTACATCATATGTATATTTATAGTATACAGTGTGATCTAAAGTCAAGGGTGCCTTGCCTACGGCTAAGCTAAACCGTATAGCCATCATAATATAATATTACAGTCAGTTAATTTATTTAGTCTCCAATTAATTTATTAATAATTTAATTAGAAAAAACTTCGCCTTTTGTGCAAAAATGTACAAAAACCATCTCACACACAGATACACTTTTGTAAAACGTCAAGTTTACCTAGAGTCGTTGAATGTAAAACCGAAGTATGGATGACCAACTCTAAAGTACTGGTAGACATTTTCACCAACCTAACCAAATTTTAGTTTCCGCTAAACGCAAAACAGTATATTGTCACAGGCGACAGTGGCGTGTGATATAATTCATAAATATAATAATAATAAGGGAAAATTTGGATAATGTAAGATCGCTTAATGGTAATTATGAGCTTATAAAAAATATGCTTCAATCAACAATTTTAACTTATATTCGAAACTAGATTGACTTATTGGTTTGGTTTATAATATAAGCGGCAGTCGTCATAATAGGTAGGTATAATTTGTTTGTATTGATTTGATGTATCAATGTGTAATGTATATAATACCCTATATACTTACTTACACATTATGTAACAAAGATGATCATACTATATTTATCAAACGTGTAACGAAATGTACAATAAAACAAACATAATTGTATGTACATATATTAAAAAACATAAAGCCATAAGTGTTATTTTTAAAAAAATATATTTACAGTTTATAATATTTTGAATAAGTCGAATAATAAATTGTAATTCATTTTTATTTTTTACAAAAATAAGTAAATTTATAAGAAAAAAACATGTCAGAAAAAAAATAAGAAGACTAGTATTCTTTTTCTTCGTTTTTTCACTGTTAGCGAATATTGTTTTTCATTTTGTTTGAGTACATTTTCAAATCAAGCACTGCTCTCTTCGTCGTTGGAATCCATGTTTACTGCCAAATCCTTGACACGTTTTGTGAAGAAAAACAATCCACAGGACTTATCCACAAGCCATACTATTTTTGACGGCGATTTGAAACAAAGAGTTTCAAAATAAAATTACAAACGGCGCTAAATTGAAACAGACTTTCGCTTTTGGTAAAATTCGAATTGGGACCGTAGACACAGTTGCATGAAAAATTAAACATGAAAGATAAAAGTATATAGTTGAGTGAGATTTGCGCAGGCACATATAGTGTTATTTGATTAGGATGAGGTGTACATTTTGGTGTTTTTTTTAAGAAGAATAGCAGTTTAATCATTATGCACGGACGTCAGAAATCATTTAAATTAACAGAAAACTGTGTTCTTAATATCGAATGTAAAGTAATTTTTAAGCTATGTGTGCATAATACATTGTTATCCCTAGTAAATGAATCAGTTCCTTGATCCTTGTGCTCTCATTTTTTGGTACGAGTCGCTAGACTTACTTACCAAATCGACAATTTGTATGAATTCTACACCACTATGAATTTATAGCCATACCTATACGAGTAGTGTTTAAAACAACTTATAGCAACAGTAATTATTCTATTATTAATATAATCTAATATTAAAGTGGTTCTTTCTTTATATGTATTTATAGAACAGTCTTGTTAGCCACGATGTTAAACATAAATTTCTAAATTCTATTTGAGTACATTTTGGCAATGATAAATCACACACTTAATGTGTAAATAAGGTTGTATAAAATTACCTACTGACATTCCTCCGATGGTGTACAATAGACCCACTACAACGGTGTTCAGGTTATTCATGTGTGTGTGTAAATAAGTGTAAATGTATATATGGTTGCTCTCTCTGGCGCTGAGCCCGGATCGCAACAAAAGTTATCGTGGGAGTATTCATATTCATATAGGCCACCCGAAATATTATTGCAATGTGTATAAAATATATTTATAGAATATACTCTCACAAACACACATAATATATGTATATTCGTCGTTTTTTATCCCCAAACGGAGCGACCCGTTAATGCGAATAACTATTTACTTTCATGCGTGTCAAATGATTACGGTTTTAACGCACTCTTTGTCCCGGTCAGTTTTGAGTAATCACAAATAACGACTACACTAATATGTATATTTAATATTTATAAATATGACGTACATTGTACAAGGGTCTTATTAAAACAATTTTTTGCCAAGCTTATAGTAAACAATAAAATGCAATAATGAACAGCTTAGGTAGCTTATTAAATTTGAAAATTAGTTTAGAAAACGTTGAAATACATCAATACAAATCGATACAATAACTACAATGTTTTTGTCGACGAGAAAAACACGTCAGTTGTTAACTACCTTTATATTTATTTTTAAAGTTCTCGGTAGGTCGGCACGTATGACACAGGTGCAATGGCGAAACTAGAGAATAGCGCCCTATACTACACTACCTATTAACATGTGTATAGTAAACCGAAGGAAAACGCCCTAAAATAGGATGAGCCCTAGGGTAGTTGCCCCCGCTGCACCTACAGAAGCTACGGCCCTGCACGGGTGTTAAGTTCATTTACTACGTTTTGTATTTTTTTTATAATCACCTATTTTAATGTACGGCCCCTTTTACTAAATTGAATATTTTTTTTTATTTATTAAAAAACCGATTTTATGTATATTGGTATATGAATTACTTATTCATTAATAGGTATATACTAACACCCGCAAGGGATAATAAGTACAGTGAGAAAGTAAGTATAGGAAAAAAAACAATATTTCTATGTACATACTGCTTATAGACTATATTTTTTTAACTCTAGAATATTATCATGAAAAAAATCAAATTCAGAGTATAATACTCATTACAATATTTAGGCAAACGCCATTGTGGACCTATTTTTAATAGGTAATTAGTAAAACTAGCGGGCGAAGGGAAAGCAAGGGTTAGGTTAGCTCGAGAATTAAAAGAGGAGATTAATTACATCTATAAACTTACGTCTCACGTTAAGAGGGGCTAGCTTAAGAATAAATTTATGTATATTTTAAATAGTTAATATCGACTCATTTAGGGCCATTAGTGCCTCTACCGAGTGGGCGAGGTGTCTTCGTGGGACATACACACGTCCATGCGTAAATCGATACCTAGGTAGGTATTTTGTTTATTGAATTACCGTTTTTAATTGTTGTCCTTTTTTGAGAGAACTAAAAACATTTTTGGCTTTTTCCTGCGTGGCTTCTATATTATATACCATACACGTGCATGTACTGCACAAATATAGTACAAAAAGGCAATTACGAATGTTGGCGTCGAGCGGAGAGGAGAAGACATGAATGTTAACGGTGTACGAATTTTTTATCCAAAGTTTCCCTCGCCAGAGTTTACCCAAAGTCCGTTAATTTTGCACGTCAACCAGAAGCGCGATGAGTTATTACCCTCGAATAGGTGCAGACCGCGAGATAATTACTGCACGTGTGCCGCTAGGTTAATAAACCTTACCGTTTATGCGGCTACAATATTTTGTAATAATGAAAACGGGTTACTTCGTATAAAAAAAAAAAAAAATGGGTTGACTAGAAAATATGTAACTGTATATCGCTTGTGTCGACGTTGAACTGCGCCAAAAAAATATATGTCGAGCTGCCAAGAAAAATGTCTTTAATGTGTCCACGTAACGTTATATTATTATGTTGTTATGATTTTCCACACATTCCTAATTAGTAATTACGGTCAAAAATATATACTCTAACACTTACCAACGTATGTCCCAGAAAAAAAACATTGCTATGTTTATACGTATCGAACAATTTTTTTTTTGTCAAATCAATATGAATCATTTTAAATAAAAAGTGTCTTTTTTGTAGTTTTGGATAATATCTACTGTACATAACGAATCCCCGTGATTAAACTTTACCCAATTGAACAATAACTGTGTAAACATATTATTAATATAGTCTTTTTAATTTGACGTGGTTTAACACAAACATATTACATAATATATATAATTATAATATATTAAATATAGGTACAAAAGACAAATAGCAATCAATATGTATAAATTCAAGTCGACACTTCAATAGTAAAATAGTAAGTGTACCTAATTATAATAACGTGTGGATTGACACGATGTCCTGTTGGGATGATAAAATAAATGATAGTATTTATTTTACAAACGGCTTCGGATGAAAATAACGCTGATCTTCAGCATTGTTGACAATGATTTTATTAACGTTTGTTTTTTGGGTTTTTTTTTTTTAATTAAGTACAATTATTGATTTGTAAGGCGAGGATATATTATTTGCCGATGATGATCTTTCTGCTGGCGCCCATGTTCGATCCTGCCTGCGTGGCTCCTTTGTTCTGTCCGGCTTGCAGTCCAATGATATTCTGTCCGGCCTTCAACGTTTCCTCGCTGAAATCGCGTTTAGCCTCGTCGGAGGGTTTTGGTCCCAAGTAAGGTCCCTTCCATTCGGGGTGTCTGTAAGTCTAAGAAAATAAAAATACAACGACCATTAGTGTAAACAGACAACGATCATAACAAACTAACTAGAGTCTAATAATATTTAAAAAATAAAAATTGTATACCTCACGACCCAAAGCGAACAAGGCGGCGATCACCTGAGCGATGTCCTTTCCTTCCCACAAGTCGACGGTCTGGAACACGTCCGTGTCCGAAACTCCGTACGCCTTGATGGCTTTCTGAAACCTTTACACCGACAAGTTATACATTTTTTACAACGAGTTAACTTAATATATATTTATATACACTTTGACTAGAGTGGTTTTCATAGAAGACCGGTGGAAAAATGTCTGCGAGGTTTTAACACTTGGCGCATGTTAACTTTACGTTGTTGCGAGATTAATCGGTTTCTTGTTTGACGGATAAAGGCAGCTTTATTTTATGATTATTGTTATTATGTTGTATTTTTTGTTCCTACAAACTTCATCCGTTAAGCTTATTCGGCCCGTCAAGCTATTTAGGAAACCCGCTTGCCCCCCCCCCTCGTATGTATGCCGTGTAAAAGCTGCTATTCTTGATTTATGGACTGGAAAACTTTTATAATGTGCCATCGATGCGTTTCGAAAGTTTATATATACCCACTCGACAACAACATATTGTGCTCGAGACGAAGCATGAAAGTTTGCCCACGACCACGTTAAAAGATCTTCCAAAGCCGAGCAAAGGAAACTCTATCCGATTATCGCAAACTGTGTCCGGCTATAGAAATTGGTGTCGTTTTTGTGAATTATCGATTCCCGAACAAAGACATAAACTTTTAAAGCAACGGTAGTAGCAAAAGGAAAAAAACATTACTAGTACCAAAAAGGTAGTGTAATAATCTATATATGATAAGAAATAGAAAAAAACAATTAAAATGGGTTAATATAAACATTATTATTATGTAACATCACTTTTTAAGATTTTTTTACTCTTATTTTTAATCTTCTTATCCCTCTGTAAATTGTTAGTTAATTACAAGCGTGTTGTGCTTTTAAAAATTACCGTTGTAGCGTTTAAATATATAAATATCTATAAACTTGTTTATATATTATATTGTAAATTTTAAATGTGTCATACATATTTATATAAAAAGAGTGAGTAATTTTCTTTTTTCTTGTAATCGACGCATGATAAGTATTTGAATCTTTATTTCATTAACTACTATCCTATTTTACTTAGTATTCTAAATCGTATTAAAAGTGATATGGAAATTGGTCGAATTCATGTAGCTGTAACTAATTTATTATTATTTAGTTATAAATACCTAATTAATTTATCATGTATTATTCTTAATGAAAAAAATCCATAGTTTATTATTATTAAAAATAGGAAGATTATTAGAAAATTTCAATCTTTTTTATTGTATATTTTATAATAAGTAAATTCGTAGTATAATTTGTTTTCTAGCAAATATCTGTTTGAAACACTGTCAATTCATCAGCTGTCTCCTATTATTTCAATAAATCAAACTCACAGGTTAATGTTTTCCATCATTTTGAATTGTCCACCGGATGTGTTGAACTTGGGTACGGATCCGGGTTTGATGGCATTGATAAGTTCGCACAAGACTTGTCCGTCCTTAAGGTATTCTTCAAAGGAAACGCTCTTCGGGAACTTTCTCTTCAGTATGGCTTCGATCCATTCTTGTGCTTCTTGTTCTTGCTGTGGGTCGCGCTTGGAAGCGATCTGCACAAATAATTAACATAAATTTGTTAGTTTCATGTGAAATGAAAAACCCTTATTTTGTGATACTCGTATTGAATCCACTAGGTATTATATAACTCACTTTAGCGCGGACTGCCCGTTCCAGAGACATGAGTACTACGAGGATACACACGGTTTAAAGACAAAAAAATATTACAATATTGTCGGAACGGTGGTGAAACCGCTGTGATCGTCGAGCAAAAAATGTAACTTGGCCATGTCCCTGGGGCACTTTATATATAGGCGACTGGAATATTCTCGAAAATAGATCCAAATAATATTATGTGTTAAGTTTATGGCGTATGACACACGTCTAAAAATAGCGGTCATAGCCATTTTCACTCTCCATTCCAACGGGCTGGTAAAGCTTTACACGTCCCACTCGGAATGACCTGTTTTTTTAAATTTATCTTACTAGTTACTACGAAAAAATGTGCTCCTATTCGGTAGAAAATCGTGCTCGTGTAGAAAAATTAATAACAAAAACAAATTTCGAGTTTATCTCCTGCGAATGACAATCGCCAAACATATACAAATCTGATTCATTTCGACACTGACCTAACGTCTCTAATGTGTGATGAGTGGGTTGGACTATGAACACATCGTCGAAACTACATATAAAACCGAATAGTACACGGAAAACGAATACATGTATACTATAGTTTACATTTTAAAAGGACCTACATAAAATAAGCGGCATAACCTTAGCATTAACTTAACTTATCCGACAAATTTGTTGGATATTGTTGGAGAACTATACGTTTAAGTAATCTGTTCAAGGATAATAGTTCCATAAAATCAAATTTTTTCTGGATCAATCCAAAGTTATTTATTTATCAACATTGTTTTAGAACTACACACAGCTACTATTTTGTGTTGTTTAAGTAATCCGTCTAAGGGTAATAGCACTTCATTTTAATAATTTCTTTAACTGTGGTCAACATTTTTTAGTTTTTTATTTTAATCTAGGTTTTTTAATTACAGTGTAATAAAATGGACATTGCCATGGGAGCTCAAAATATAGTTGATTGTATTTGCGTATAATTTATAAAATATTAATAACAATATAAGGCCTAAAAATTACAATATAACGTGACATATCATGACTTGTATATTGTAAGTAGGAAATATTGGTTGGGTGGGCTTACACTGCGTTATAGTTTGGATAGCCGATTGTAAACTATTATGACGTACCGGTATTTAGAATATATTGTATGTATGCTCATTATTAATGAAGCACAAAAAACAAATTATTTTAGCTTGGATGTATTTTAAATTCTAATAAAATTGGTATATTTCTACCCACATTATTCAATTAGTTATGAGAACTGAGATGGGCCGTGTGACGTCATTGGGCCGTGCTCGTCGTATTGCCTATCTTGCACGTGTAGAAATTGCTCAGTTCACACGATAATTTACCTACCTTTAATATACCATATTTTTGAATTTTTGTTCAAAACTTTCAAACAGTATTTTTTAAAATTTTAATAACTCATTGAATAATAATTTTTTAAACTTAGGTTTTTCATTGTTTTTTTATGATATTAAATATTTAACTTAAATTTTCAAAAAAATGTTTAACGTTGTGATTTCCTTCGACCCTATATACAAGGTCAATAATTAGTAGGCATTTTTTTAGAAAAACCTAAAATCTTGATAAATTTTTTTATCGTCATCGTTATAATTATTGCAATTTGGAACTGTTATTTTTCAAACGATTAATACTTGGAAACAAATTTACAGATAAGTAGAAAAAAACGACCTCAGTATTCAAAATAGTTGAAATAATTATGTGTAAAAATAAGACAATTTTCCGTTTTTCAACGGAATATTATTATGGATTATGGATTATTATTTTTAAATGCATCCAGATTATTAGCATTTAAGTACAGTGGACTTAAATTAGACCCTTTTTACAAAAGTCAATAATTTTCTTAGTAATTTCCGGTAATGGTACTAAATTTTTTTTAACATGAATCGATGCGTTTAAATAGAGTGATAACAAATCTGTTATAATCACGTTTTTGATAAAATGGTGACTTAGACCCTTTTTGCATGAAGCGATTCATATTTAATACGTTTCACAATAGTTTTCATAATTTAGTTATCACGAAGTACCTGTGCATTTTGAAATTTTACAAACAAACGACTGACCGAAAAAAAAAAGTAAAATATTTAACCCGGTCCGGGCTAGTGATAAAATTACCGTGTCGAGTCCCAAAAGTGTGTATAGGTATAATTAAAAAAAAAAAAACGTAGCTCGTATTATTTTCTACTTTAGCCGACGGGAAACAAATTAAAAACTATACATTATTCAACACCGCGTAAAGCATGGCACAATGCACATAATATTCGGTGGATGTTTAATTGGTACAACATTTTCTCTGGGAATAATGTCCGAACGTATATCCAATCCCAGCGGACTAAGCGCAACAAAAGGGCCAATCGTGTACATTCGGAGGGTGAAAAAAACAACAAAATTGAATACCGAACAAAATATATACTAAGTTCGCACACATGTTTTCAAATGAATATTTATTGTTTTCGAACGACACCATACTGAGTTACATAGTACCACTTGACGCTATAGACTATGTTTATGTACCGTATATTAACGACTCTATTACTATATAGGTATGCCTTTGTACATGATATGAAAACCGTAGCTGATATTATAAATTCTAACGTCAAGGGGAACGGAAAGCTCTATTTACCAAGGGGCAAAATATAGGCAATATTTGACAAAAATGTATCCAGTAACCATTTTAAAAGTATACCGACTAATTTTAATGTAAAAAAATATTAAGTTTTTCTAGTTATAAAACTTTTAAAGTTATTTTTCTTCGGGTTATGGTGGAAGTTTGATAACAAATGACTTTCGTAGAATTCATTTTCCGGCGTATCGCTATTGGATGGAATTGCATTTTTTTTATGTGAAGCTTACTAAAAAATCGGCAGACACTTCAAAAAGTGATTTTTGTTTAGTCTTTATTTGTATAAAATTTGTATGGATTTTCCCGACTTTCACATTTTTTTCCTCTGGAATTTAACTTGCTAGTACAATTTTAAAGACAGATTTGTTTTAATCGTGAAAAAATCTATCAGGCCAGGTTGGTTTTATCCTTTGGAAAAAACCCAACCTAAAATTTGTCGAACTGTGTTATATATCTTATATACATATGCAAGTGAATAATGTTATACTATTATAACATTATAACAATTACAAATAATACCTAATAAGTTAAGGTTATTGGGGTTTCACTATATTCATTATTTTGTACATTATATTTCCTATTTGTCTTCTAAGTCCTATGCAATAACATCTTTACTTGTATATCTTGAAATGTATAACCTTTAAACTGATACTTATACTAGAATTCCTTATTGCTTTGTTATTCTCCTTTTTGTACGCGTGTAAGCACCTTACAGCCTACAGGTAAATTAGCATTTTAGTATTTAAGCAGTATGGAAATTATGCATTTTCGTCTGTCAGTCAACGTTATTGTTTTATCAGTTAAGAAAAATACTTTTACTTTTTAAACACTTTACAACAATTTATTCAATTAACTAATAAAAACAATAGATAACATTGGCATTTTAACGTATTGCATATTGATAGCAGACAACTAACTAACTATACAAAGTACTGGTAGTGACTGACTGACGAATTGCCATTATGCTTGAATGCTTGTATGCTAATTAGCCTGTAAGGTATTAAAGCGAACAAAAGTGAGAATAATAAAACAACAAAGAATTAGGAAATCGAGTATAAGTACTAGTTTATAGGTTACACATTTCAAGATAAACAAGTATTGATGTTAACTCGTAGAAGATGAATAGGAAATGTAATATAGGTAAAAAATAATAGCCTATAAATATAATAAAGCCTCAATAACCTTAGATTATTACAATATTATCCCAATTCTAGTAAATGTATGGGCTGCATAAGCTGTTTCCCACCCGATCACGGTTCTAATATCGACAAAAAACAAGTTTTTAATCCGGTTTTTTGAATTCCATTTTAAAGTAATAAAATAATTTTTATAAATAAACGATACATTTTAGATAACTACACGTTGTATAAAAAAAAAATATATTTATAATTTATCTTGGATTACAAATTTAATCCGATTGGATTCAGGGTCAGACCAGACTCACTTAATTTATGACTGTTAAAAAAAATATACCATTTAATTTACAATTTAGGCATATAATTTCTAAATAATTAGCAATTAATAAATGTGAATTTTCTAAACACTGAGTAGTTCGCTCAATATAAAACAGTGTTCTTATAAAAAAATCTTCAACTTTTCCGAGTGCTACTGTGTGTATAAATATATATGCTTAGTATATATCTATTTTTAATAAAACCTGGCGATGTTGTTATTCGGCAACAGATGATGTTGCACAACACATGTAGATTAACGTTGGACATAGTGCACATGTATTTGAATATTGCTCTTGTACGCCAAAAAAGAATAATAAAATACACATTTTAGTTTGTAATAATAATAGTTACCTGTAAAAAGGCGTTCGATGTATGCAAAATAAGTACATGTGTGTAAGTTTTTTTAAACCTACACTTCAAAATGTTAATACAAAAAGTATTTCCATATTTTGTCAATACTCTATAGCACGATTTTTTTTTACAAACAATTTTAGAGGATGTATATTTGTAGGAGAGATAGCCTGAAGGCCTTCAAAAGGTAAAATAAAATCTTGTCATATAGCTTTAGCGTACGATTTTCATACTAATTAATCGACTATGTCTAAGTACTGTCCTAATGACAAATTGCAATTATAATTTATGACGAATACCCCACATACGAATATCAAGTTTAATAAATGTTTGATTAAAGAAATCCAACACATTTTTATTAAAAATTAAAAAAATAATTTATTATTATTGAAAAATTTAAGTAAAAATGTATTTTAAATAAAAAGTAATTTGATGCACTAAATAAATACAGATTTTAACTAATTATTTTCAAATAAACATTTGTTATTTAAATAAAAACGTTCAAGTTTGCTTTAATAACTCCTACTATAACACAAAAAATTAAAATGTGTTTAAGAAGTTCTTTTTTTTTCTTCAATGTTGCTCCCATAAAATATGTGTGTTCCTTGCAAAACATTTTCCTTTTTTTAAGTATTGGTTCAGAACAATATCATTTAAACAAACCACTTGAATATGTTGTAAAAATTAAATTTTGATCACATAAAACTATAGATTCAAAAAGAGAATATACTGCACAGGAACTGTAACGTGTTACTACTGTTTCGCTGTACGAACAAACAATTGTATGTAAAACCACTAACCACGTATCACGTAATCTAATACCAATAGTTTAAGTTGTATTGTAATATCATGTTACAAATATGAATGTGTTGTATTAATACAAGCAGCTATTTTTTTCACTCAAATCTAACTATTAATGTAATCTAACACTGTATGTTATATGGAAAAAAAGTATGTAATAAAATACATCTAACAATTTATATCTCACTAAAATATAAGTATATTGTTTTTCAATAATATATAAATATTTAATGTATATAAGTACTTAAAATTATAAAAAAAACTATAAGTCATAGGCGCCAAAAATATTATGCAGAGAACATTATATAACATGTTACAAATATACATAAACAAAAATTGTAATCTCAAAAAAAAAAATGTATATATACAATATACATAAACTTATATTATATATTGTTATATACTATAATTAAAAATGAATAAATCTATACAAAACACAATATTTCTTATTTAATGGAAGACTAAAACACTGGTAAAGTGTTGATATTAAGTACTAAAGAATGGGATTAAGCCATTATTTTAATTTAATAAGTCACATTGATTGTAACTAATTTCGATTGGATTTTAAGCACATTCACAAATTATTTATTTTGATAGGCTTTAATATTTCAAGCCTTTATAAAATACTCCACTACAATTATTTTAATAGTATACATTTATTAAGTCCCAGAAGAGTTATCTATTATCCTTAACATAAGTATTATTTTAATACAACTAGAATATAAAGATTTTTTTATGCTGGTCATGACTGTATTCAAATAGATACAGCTTTCTCATCAAAATTATAGTTCCAGGTTAACAATTCATCGAGTATTTTCAACATGAGAGGGTTTCCACCAAGATTCTCGACTTCTTTCCGTGCATCATTGTCCAGTTGTGATAGAACCTTTCTAGTGTGCTCAAATGAGCCAAAATTGTTCAGCAATTTCACACAGTACTTTTTAACCTCAATATTTTTTGTCCTTTGTCTCAAAATATCTGTTAATTTTATACGGATAAAGAAATTATTTTACATCATAAACTAATAATTTATATAAACTGAAATAATAAAAAACTAATAATAATAATAAATAATAAAAAAAAATTGAATTGTTTAGTGTTGATACGTAGTTTTATAATTGTCACAAAAAAAGGATACTGATTACTTGTCTATCCTCGGGATGATTGTGAATAGCATGAATAATAGGAAAACTAAATTTTCCTTCGGTAAGGTCTTCACAATAACTTTTATTTTCAGAGTACTGAAATAAAAAATCAACTTATAAGATTTTTATAAATAATTTGTAAGTACAATAGTTTTGGTAATAAGTAGGTAGATAATACCATAGATTGTACATAATAGTATGTATAATCAATGATAATACTAGAACTCGAAATATACATTTAATATAACTTTTTGCAATCCTTTAGATAAAAATTAGTAGAAAGTAAATAAAGCTAATATTTAGTTGATATCTTTAGCCTGCCAACACAAGAAAATTTGTTGAAATCTGATGTTTGGCAGGTAAAGTCTGTGAAGAATTCCAATTCTGTGTGTGGACATCCACCGAAAATCTGTTGAATTTTATCCTTCGGATTTAATTCATTACTCGTTACTAATTGACCAAGGACTAAATCTATAGATTTTTTGAAATAGTCTAAAAGACCTGATCAGACAGATCAGACTCTCAGAAAAATGACTCATTAGCAGGCAGGTTTAGGCCATAGAAAATTGTTCCTTGATAGTGAAGGGATTTTTAATTTTACATCAATAGATAAAACGAAGAACTTATTCACTACAAACCAAAGCTAAAAGGGACTCAAAAATTTTATCCGTCGAAACAAATGTGTTCAAAGCTTCACTTATGTTTGACAGGCTATTTATTATATTGAAACCTTTAGGTTGCAACAAAAAAAATTATTTACAAAAAACTTAACATTTATAAATCAGCTTACCTCTTGCAAGCATAGATTACAGTAGTCGTCTCTGATTTGGAAGTATAAGCCTAAAATGCCTGTAAGTTTCGTAAAATCATTTTTACTGTCACTAAACAGTTGCATAAGTCGAATAGCAAGCATGAATAGGCCACCAGTCTCTAAAAATAATATTTGAATATAACTAAATTGTTAAATATTATATTGTAAATTAATTTGTACATAGTTACAATCATAAATAAACAATACATGAAAATTACTTCTACGAGTAATATTTTTGTTTATCTTTAGAAAACTTAGAACCCGCAGAGTAAGTACCCGATTTTTGTTATTAGTGCATGCAAAAAAAGAAAATTGGGGTTGGGAATACAAAGTATATACTCTTTCTACTACACTCTGTTTCACACCACAATACTACCGAAACAGCATATAATATGCATTTAATTACTTCTAATTGTCATTTTCTTATATTCTTCTTCGGTAGGACATGTATAATTATCTCGCCAATATATTTCCATTCCTTGTCCACGATGCAGTTCTAAAACTTGCTCAGTATAAACGGTTGTTGCCTATAAAATAATAATTTTTCGATCAATACATTTTATAGGATTTAATAGTTTTGCGATTTAGTAATAATGGCAATGTCAAACATTACCATTGGATGACCTAAACTTAATGTTCTTTCTAGGGCAACAAACGACATGTAATTGGCTGCATTTATCGTACTAGCTATACCATAAATGGAATGTGCTACGGGTATTCCTCGCCTTAAGACAGAGTCGTCTTGAATATCGTCAGTCCTTAAAAATGTACACATTACAATAACAAATATTAGTAATTGTTCAAGTCAAATTATTTTAGTTTTAAATTATACTAGCTGAGTAACTCTGCTTCACTTGTATAGAAATAGGTAGAAAGCGTGTTAATAATAATAATATATACAAATTATGATTTAAAAATTATATGGGGGGGGGGGGGTAGTGATTGCAAACACTATGTGAACAGTTTTTGAAATTATTCAAATGTCTCTATGAAAAACTGAAACATTAAAATACAATGTATGCCAAAAATTAAAAAGGGGTGACACTATGATATCTAATATTTGCAACAACTCTGGGAAAAATTATTATTATTATATATATATATATATGAGGAAAAAGATTTACATAAAATTAATTAATTCACTTAACTTTGAATCGTATAATATTACATAAAAGTTTAAACTACACTATTATTTTCCTTAATCTCTATATTATTATATTACATAACAGAAATATTTTTATAATAAAAATATCAGTTAAAATATTAGTTATGTAATATAATACCTATTATAGAGATTAAGGAAAATAATAGTATCATTACACACATATACATATTTATCAATATGTATGGATATCATTATTACATCAACAAATGAGATAATACCCATAAACTATAACAGTTGGTGTTATACTATTTAGCATACTAGACAGATAACTACTGTATAATGTAAAACTGAAACAGTAGTAATTAAGATTTTAAATATGTATGAACTTTGATCTATCATACAATTGGTAGACTTTTGTAATTCAGGAGCCTGCCATACATTAATTGGGATCAGTTATTTAACATATAGCTATTTAAAGATAAACCCATCGGATTTAAATTATTAATGAACAAAGCTTAAAATATATAACCAAAAGTAAAATTACACTTACGTTTATAAATTATACAGAAAAAAATGTATTACAATAGAGTGCAATACTTTCAAAGTAGTTAGTTTAAATATTTTAGTTTTTAATTTTGTATACTTTCTAATAATCAAATTTTTCCAGTAAAAAATTGTATTGTATTTATTAATTATAGCAAAGGTCACTTACAGCAGACTAGAGTTATGCAACATCTGTACTATATCCCCAATAACAGCCAACTTGTCATGGGGAATTTTCAGCCAATAATTAAATGCTAATGCCAGTTTTGCTCTGATCTGTTTTCCAGGCACTTGCATAATATATGTAAAAGGTAGCAACAGTATCTAAAAATATTCATTGTTAAGTTGTCAGTTAAAATATTGCAAAACATACTAAAAATGTTTAAAACTTTCTATACCAAATTTAATACAACCAAAATTAATTTGTTTGGGATTTAATTTTACATATTTTTAAAATTATTTTTAAAAATTATTAACAATTAGTGATTCTAATAAAATATTATAAAAATTGCTATTTACAGAAAAACACCTAGGTACGTTTTTTAAAATTATTAATAAGCCACAATTGTAAAACTAACTCAAATATCAAAGAAATGAAATGCTGCATAGTACATTAGTATCAACAAATATTTAATAATAAATTAAAACAAAATATTTTCATCTTTATACTGCTTACAAAAAATATTAATATTTTTGTTTTTATATATATTTTTGGTTCTTTCTAGTTTTTAACTACAAAATTAATTATTAAATGCGTTATTCTGTAATTTTACTAATATTTGTTCTTTCCATAAAAATTCTTATAAACATTTAAAATTGTTTTCTATAATTGTATTGTTATTTATTTCATTGCTTCATGGTTTTGCAATAAGTACTATATTAATTAATAAATCTATTGAGGTAGACATATTTTAAGTTTCAGAAATTTGTAGCAATACACAACAATTTGTAAAGTTAAGAATTATAATAATAATTACCTAATACAATAAATTAATATGATTAATATACATTTAAATAATGTAATTGTAGAATAATAAATTTTGGTAAACCATATATGAACTATAAAATGCAAAGTATACCAAAAGTTCAAACCAGAATTAGAAAACATTGTGGGATCAATTATTATGGAAAACAAAATTAAATAAAAAAACACTCACCATATTAAAATCAATATCTATTGAGCTTAACATTATAATTAACAAGCTTTATTTATTAGAAAAAATTGGATAAAACTAGTATATAATATGTTATTTTAAAATTTGCAGTAATCCCTTTGCAGAAAATAAAGTACTTTTAAAATTCTATTGAGAACTCGAAATTTTGCAAAACTTATATTAAATTACAAAACTCCATACGAAAAGTAGTAAAAAAAAAGTATCAGCCATATCATAGTATAATGCATATTTTATTAATACAACTTCCAAATAATAAACTAAAGAAACTCACTTCATCAGTCTCTTTTTCCCCGGACGTACTATACATATTATCCATTTTGTAGACGACTTCTAAGTTCAAATACTAAGGTAAAACTAAACGCTTTAACGTTTAAAAGAAGAGTTGAATCTTGAACATAATCCTACCCTCCAACCGATCGATTACAGTAAATGTTATCACAAAAAACATTTTTCATGGAATAATCAATACAAATTGATAACGAACACGTGAGTCTATTGTTTACTCAATAGACTGACCGATCTTATCACAGCTGATAAGAGACCCACGTTAACTCCATAATCTTCGTAATATCTTATGAGTTATGTTGTGAGGAATAAGATGTACATTTTTGAATTCTGTGATTACTACTTAGGTAAACCTACTTAATAATTATTAACAAACTTGTAATCATAATTGGTAGGCGTTAATGATATTACTCAAATAATTAATATTAAACATTAATGGTTTTTTTGTTTTAGGCAGAAAGTTTTAAACTCCAGTTCACGAAAACAAAATATATTCATATTGATCGATAGTTGACTGCAATTTACACAGTAGGACTAAAACTATGAGTGTTGAAATACCAAATCATCTGTTGGTCGTTATGATCCGTTCGTTGGTGTTGGACGGTGATCCTGAATTAAAGAAAGAAGTTCTAGAACATTTGCTCAGTATGTATTTGAAATCAATTGTAAATGAGTATTTATATAATTTAATTTTTTCAGGGTTGACTGCCAACAAAAACGAAAACAACAAAATGTTATTGGACAATATGAACGACCTGCTGGAAGGATTATTTAAAGTTTTAGAAACTGATGTTATGAATGCTAAGACTGCATGCTTGTGTTTGGTTAATATTTCGGCTAGACAAAAAGGCTTGAATAACATATTATCATACATACAAAACAATAGTACGGTAAAAAGTTCCGACTGCTCCCTAAATTTTCTTTTTCTTTTTTAAATATTTAACATTATTAACATTCGTTTTTTGTTTAGGTTATATCCAAAATGATTAAATTCATAAGTTCTGAAACACCAGAAATTGCAAATGCAGTATTAATGTTTTTGTGTAACATTACTCGTGAAAAAGCCCATGCCACCCAGGTATATGAAAAATTCATTGATCCTGTTACAACATTGGAATCTTTAATGAAAATATTTAATACACGAGATGTAAAAAAAGAAAACAATTATGACTACATATCTTATCTTTTATCTAATTTATGCCAATTGCATGAAGTTCGAATGTAATATTTTCTTTGAATATTATTTTAACTAAACCAATAAGGTCTAAGAATGTGTCTTAATTAATCTTTTTTCATTTATTATAGCTGGTTAATGGATAGCGATAATTTGCAAAAGTTGTTATCATTTTTAAGTCACAGTAGTTTAATTCGTAAAGCAGGAGTTATAATGACAATAAAAAATTGTTGTTTCGAGTTAGGTAACAGCTGTCATTATTTATTTAAATAATATATAATAATACTGTTATGTTAATTTAGATAAGCATGAATGGTTATTAAATGAAGATTTGGACTTGTTACCACGTATTCTTCTTCCTTTAGCTGGTCCTGAACAGTTTGATGATGAAGACAATGAAAAACTACCTTTAGACTTACAATATTTACCTGAAGATAAAGAACGAGAATCTAATCCAAAATTAAGATTGGCGCTTTTGCAAGCACTGACTCAGGTTAATTATTTTTAATAATAAAACATTATTCAAATATTACTATTTATTTATTTATTCAATTTTTTTTTTTAATAATTCTGTAAATATTAAATATATTATTATTATTGTCTATTTTTGGTGATGCAATATCTTTATACTTAGTTGTGTGCTAAAAGAGACTGTAGAGAAAAAATTAGAGATCAAGGAACATACCTTATATTACGAGAATTACATAAATGGGAACCAAATATGGAATTGAAATTGGCTTGTGAAAACATAGTGGATATATTAATCAAGTAAATACTTATGTTACAAGTTTATTTTTGCCATAAAATGCAGTTTACTTAATGGTCGTCTCTTTCAACAATTGTTTTTTGAATATATGCATACATTTATTATGTTTAAGGAATGATAATAACAGTAATTATATATCAAACTAACTTTTCATATTATAGCAAAACTTTATTTTCGTCATTTATTTAGGATAAAAAAATGTTTACATTTTTAAAGTGTTTATCGAGATTTTGTTGGAAAAGGGATAGGTTTTAAACTACAAATGCATTATAAAATCAAAAGCTAAAAAATGTAAACAGTTAATTCAAGATAGAAGATATTTCAATGTTACACATCTATAATTTCTTATAGGAGAAATTGGACATAGATTTGTGAAGAAAGAGAAAAAAAAAATCCCTTTAATACATAATTTTATTTTGTCTTTTATCTGTACTTTCGTTAGTGTTGTTGTAATGTTGTATTGTTATGCTTGTCATACGACTAAATAAATAAATAATTTCTTATGTTTGTACTTCAATGTACAGTGCTTCAATTAAAAAAACTTAAAATTTAGTTATTAAAATTGTATGTTTGAAAACTGTCAATATTTACTTTACAGAACTGAAGATGAAATTGGTGCTGATAATTTCCATGATTTGAACGTACCAGAAGAATTGTTAGACAAATTTGCAAAAATGGATGAAGCTTATTTAAGTTGATATTGTATCAGTGAAATGTGTTATTCCATTTAATTGTAAATATAAATAATAAACATATTTTTATGTTACATACTTATCATCATGTTATGATATATTATCATTATGTTACATATAACATTGCGTATTATATTTTATGGTTTAATGTTTTTAAGCAGTGGTATATATCATAATTTGTTTTAGAAGAATCTGGTTTGATTTATCCAACACGGTGAAATAGACGTCTGTCTTCAACTTATCCAAACTACTTATTTGGGAGGCTTGCCACCTTAGAAAATTAAAATAAATCTACAAAAATTAATAAATAAATCTAGAATTTAGACTAATAATATAAGTTTTGGTATTCATATTATGATAAACATTTGTAAAAAATCATTTACAATTTCACAATATTTTTAAGAATACAAAAACAGTAATTTGGTTTTTAAGTGTTACGATATAATATGAAAAAAAAAAGTTACGATACAGAAAAGAAAATCACGCTGTAATAATAAATATAAAATGATTACATAACTTCTTGAGTAATGAAAACATTTTTGTAAGCATAAAAGATAAAGAACTGTACACACTCTTATCAAAAAAAAAAAAATGTATAAACTAATTTTGAATTTTTTAATTGTTGATGAAAACAAAATATTTACATTATATTCTAGAAGTAAGAAATAATTGGTTGAGACAAAACTGTTTTAAGTAATACTAAATATTGGTACTTATAATACACCATGACAAAGTGATAATTTTATAACTATTGTGACAATACACAATATATGTTAATACTTAATATTTTGTATTATTAAATCAATGGTGTTATTATATAGGTAACACTTTTATTATTATAATGTTATATTTTACATTAATATACATATATAATTTAACATTACATTGCGCTTATTCGAATAAATATGAAATACTAAAATAACAATCACAACATTTACCTATTTCAATAATAAACATTTATAAAATGTATTAATAGTAATAGGTATTTGTTTTATTCGAGATACTAACATTAAAAATCTGTATCAATATATACATTTTTATAGTTATACAAATTTAGTGTACTACTAATTAAATGGTGTATTTTAAATGTATATGAGGCTGTAGGTTGTAAGCGTTAAAATTAAAATTTATGTCTTGGGCAGTAATTACTGTGTACAGTGTAAATGGTATTCTGTAACACAAACAACGAAATAAAACTATTTTTTTGTAAACCTCTACAGTTATAGAGGAAAACGTATTACCCGTGTTTGATATATAAAATGATAATATAATTGTTAAATTAAAGGCGGTCGTTTTACTTATTAGGTGGATAAGCGAGCACATTGTTTAGATGAAACGATTTCCAAATAAATTTACATACAAGTACAATATAAAAAAAACAGAGATTAATTTATCCATTCGTCGATAGTAGATTTCTATTTTTTGACGACTAAAGATTCGATAGAAGTGCGGTGTAAAAAAATTTGATTAGCATATTTAACTAAATTGAAACGTCTGCCGACTGATTCTAATCATAATAAAAAGATAAAATAAACTCAACAACAGTTGTACTGCTTACAACCGTATTGTAGTGTTATTATTGTAATTTTTAGGTTTCCACATTAATTAAATATGTAAATAAAAATAGCCCATATAGGAGTACCTCTAATATGCTAAACCGGTCTTAAGCTCTTTCGCACATTAGGTACGCATCCGTGTAAAAATAATAGGCGAACGAGCTCAAGATGAACCGGACGGGTTATAATAAGTATCTAATCGTACCTACTAGTGTAAACAGATTATAGATAATACATATTTTGTTTACGCATGAAGGTATATATTATTATATTCAATAGTGAATAGTGGTTTTAATTCACTGTAACTAACATGTAAATTAATTGCTCATACGGTTTTGCTGGTATATTAAAAAAAAAAACATGCATACCGCAAATAAGTATACGCTGATTATTCACCAATAATACTGTGTCATATTTGTTATTAACATCGACCGTACAAATTTGTATACACATGAATGGAATAATAATTTGGTTTAGGGATAATAACCCAACGAATTTTCCAAGTCTGTGCGGAAAGTCGCCGATAGATCATTGTCGTGAATCGAATGACGTCGTTTGCTTAAATACACTTGACAGTTAGTGTGCATCATTTCGGAACTTAGAGACCTGTTCATTGGTTTTATTGGTGCAAGGCCAGCGCCGGGATAGTATTCGGAGGGACGGGCCATCATAGCGGCCGCCGGCCAAGACGTTCTGGCCGGGAAGGCGGGTGGCCCGCGTTTGTGTTTTACGTAACCGCCCTGGGCCCACGCCGCCCGAACGCTCGTGGCCGATAAGGCGGATTGAGGTTTCCTGGCCCCGGCGAATAGCGCGTAGTCAATGGTTTGCAGGTTGTCCGAACTGCTGGATCCAGCCGTGCGCCGTCCTAGTACGCTAGATCCGGAACGGCTACTGGAATAGGCGGCCACGGAAGAACCACTAGATCGCGAGTCCAGTGCGGGATGAATGTTGTACACTTTCATCCGGTCGGCCCCTTTGAGTACTTTCGAGTACTGCTGCAACGGGTCGTCGGTTTTCACCTGAAGATACTCCAAGCTCTTAGACGCCTCGATACCACATTTGGCCGGGCCCTGTTGCACGAGCAACTGTTCGTTCTTCTTCCACGCGGTACCCGGAGAGTCGGCTCGAACCGACAGACTAGACTCGGATGCGGCGAATCCGCGACTCTTGAGTTCTTCGAATATGTTCGGCCGGCGGCCGCAATAACACTTATCGCTGTCCGCGCAACTGTCTGAGTCACAACTGCACGATATCCACGACGGCGGTTGTCCGCTGCAGTAGCACTTGCCTAGCGAGTTGCAACGACACGTGGTGGTAGTGAGGCTACACTCTGAACAGCTGAAGTAGCCGCTGGACGCCTGGTGCAAACATCCGTCGGACGGGACGCGGCCTCCTTTTCGAGTTTTCGGTCGTTGAACGGCCACAGCCACAAAATCGCTGTCGTCCGAGGTGCTGTTGGTCGACGATAACCGTTGACATTTCATCGCCGACGTTCGCTTTAAAACCCTCTTGTTCTTCCGGTGCTCGGATTTCCGTGCTATTCCCGAAGAGACGGTGGCGGATAAGGAAGTAGTGGTGGTAGTCGTAGCTATTTTGGCGGCTGAGGCTAATGAACACGAACACTTACGCTTCTGGTGACCGTTTCCGAAACGTTTACAGAAATTCGGCAAAAGCGCGGCACTAATTTTAGATTTGGCTCGATTGTAGTTGAACGCGTTCCGTAACCGTTTGTTCAACTGCCGTCCGGTTTTGGAACGTCTCCGTTTTTGCTCCAACATGATCACCTTGGTCCGCTGGTACAGTTCGTCTTTGGTGAGCGTCAACGCTAGTTTCATAAGGAATTCCCTGTAAATGGGTTTCAAATCGTTGAATGACATGCCTTCCACGTTAATAATGGCGTTCAGTATGTCGTCCATGTTGTTTAGGCCTTCTTGGACGCGCAGCTCGTTGAACATGTCCGAAAAGCCCATGATGCTACCGTTGCTCCGGCGCCGCCTCTCCGTAGCCAGCTCAATACCACCGCAACCGGCCGTCCGCCTCGAGTACTTGGAGCCCAGCGCGTTTGTTTTTAAAAAACTCCTACTCCTCGGTATGGCCACTTTGGTCAGGATGTCACCACCACCACCGCCGCCGCCGCCGTTATCCGGTTGTTCCGAAGAGACGCGCCGTATCACCGGTGACTTCTGCGCCGACCCGTCCGTGTAACTGTTGCACACGCCTCGTTTCAACGACGGAGGCTGTTGAACGCTCATCCGAAACGTTCTGGTTTCGCTACAGACCTCGGAGAGTGGTGCCGGTGCGCCGTCAGACGACGAAGCTGTGGATTTCTTATTCCTGCGGGGCGGCCTGGGCGGCGGAAGGGCGGGACTCGTTGTGTTGCAGCCACCACCATTGACGCTCGATCCAGCCGTGCTGCTCATGCTGGTGAACCCGTTGCGCTGTTTGATGCGTCTAGGCGCCGGCACGGACTCGGTGGCAACGGACATGGCCGCTACCAACGCGCCGTACAAATTGGCCGCCATGAGCAATGCGTCGTTCTCGGACTCGCACACAAATCCGTGACACTCGAGCCGCTTGCCCGATTTGCGCATGACCACGGCGAATATAGGCGCGTGCTCGCCCGGTGCGTCTACTCGAGCCCTGTCGTCCGGGTCCACGTCCCGGAACAGCGGCGCCTTGTCCGAACCTTCCGGGTCCGATATCAGCGGTAGGAACGCGTACTCGTAACCGTTCTGACGCCGACGACACACGAACTTCAGCGCGGCCCAAACGGCGATAGAAGGAAACTCATTGGTTCGGTTCACTCCATCACCGTTCGCGTTCTTGTATCGTATTGTCAGTCCGGCGGTCGATATTTCCAGTACACCTGAAAAATCGTTTTGCCCGTGTCCGTAGTTTTTCCGGTATGCAAAGTACATGTCCCGAACCGGATCTTGGAGGCCTTCCAACGATGATATCTTGGCCGACAAGCCTGCGCATCCGATGTACTGGACGTGGTACGTGTTGCCGCCCGCAACCGCCGCCACAGAGTCCATAGAAACGTCAGTATCCAGTTCGGATGAACTCACTTCGGCAAACATTTTTTCGATCTTCTCTTGGACAGTGTTCTTACCGGCCGTATCACCGTCGCCATAACCGTAATCGAATCCGCCGTCGACTACAGACTTGGTTCGTCGGCCGCCGCCGTCCGCCGATTTGTTGAACATGCTGTCGATGCGTTTTTTCGACGCTATCGAGCTGCTCGTGTCGTTGTCGTCGTTGAGCAAGTCGACAGTCGCACCGGACGTCGTCAAGTCGTTGTCAGCCGTTTGCAACCGAAAGCCTTCCAGTCCGTTCTTGATGCTTTCGTAGAAATGGTGACCTCCGCCATTTTGCAGGACACAGTCGGCGTAATCACCGTCGAGACGGCAATCGCCATAATCACTAACAGGCCGCAACACCATTATACGTGGGGCGTCTTGACACAAACTTGCGCTTTTCCACTTATTTCTTGTTACTTTGTTTATCTGCAAAATATTAACAAAACATTGAAAACCCAATCGATTAATGACAAGGGTAACGGCACCAGTGATTGACACTATAATCCAGTCTTTGGAAATGAAGTGTTTTTTATAATATCAGATAATTTTTTTTTAATGAATTTTCTATAAAAAATGTATTCTAACGGTATGAAATATCTTTTACCTAAAAAAAAACTGATCTATCTGTTATGAAAAAACACTATATTGCCAAAAATTGAGGTAGTGCCAATCATTTGGCACTAAAATATATCCAACTATATATTTCACATATTTTCAACCGCATAAGCGTTAATTTCGTGTACTTGACTTGGACGTATAAATAAAACTCATTAACGGTACTGATGGTGTGTGGTTACTAAAGGATGAAAAGAATTTAAAAGTGAAAGAAAATTATCCGCACTGTTATTGTGGTTCAGAGTTTTTACGTTGACAGTGTCTATAATACTAGCCTATAAAACTAGTCTGTATAGCATAATATATAACTTATAGGCTGGCTATTCGTGCAATTGCTCACGTTAAATGAATCTAGATCATAATCGTAAATAGTATTATATTACCGACTATAGTTGTCACATAATATAAGATGTATAATAACGTACACGGTACTACATAAGTGTTAGTTGCTCAAGACTAGAATTACCTTATCCCGCTCGAGTAATTAGAAAAATTGTTATATTATTTTTATTTACACTTGCGTTAGTATAGAAATGGCGTGGAATTTCTTGAGGTAAATAAACGCTATTTAATGCATTTAAAAATCGTTTAAGTGTTGAATATTTTTAAAATATAAACCTGTGTACCTAAGTAAAATATTTTCAATGAAAATGTAAAAATAAAACACCAAAAAGATAAACTCCTTTTGGTTTTCAGATTTGTTGAAATCCGAAATCAATTTAAAGTCAAAGTTAAGCGTTTTATTTTTTTAATTTTCATCAAAACATTTTACTTAGGTAGACAGATTTATATTGTAATAATATTTATATGAACTTTAAGTGGCTCAAATAGCGTTTTTTTCCCGAAAAATACGGATTTTTGGATTCTTATCAATAAATATATTTTTTAATTTTTTAGTTTTCCTTGATAAAAAAAGTGTAACTACCGATTTTTTTATAATAGATAAATGGCAACGCATATAGGTAATAACAAGGTATTTTGACTGATCGATTGGGAAGTTTATATTCTATAAAAAACTAACAAAAATATTTAAAAAAAACAGTAATTACAAAATTACTATAACAAAATTTATCTGCGTTAGTCAATTGTCGATAAATAATAATAAATTATAACTCTGTAGTGATGCAATTATTAATTATATATTACATGTTATGGAAGACGACATACAACTTACAGATATTGATATTTTAATAATACAGGAACGGCATTAGGAGGTATAGATTTCATAGTAATATCGACTGACATATAGCCAGTACATATTATAGTGTACACATAATATGTGTTATAATTAAAAATAAAAATATTACACTATTATTTTGGTGTTTTACGTTAAACCGATCATCCGTATAGGGTAATATAAAAAAAAAATCATTGTTAAGACAATATCATTGTGTTTAATAAAAAAATTGTACTTATTTATATTATGATAAAATGTGGAAACGAATAGGGTTTTTCGACAATCAGTGTAATGTTGTTTACAATTATTACAAACAATAGTCAACTTCTGTTTTTGCCAGAAACGATTTTTCACCTTGAACATAGCAATTAATGTTTTTTTTTACATAGTACTCTGTAAAATTGGTTTATTTTCACTTATTTGGTGCGTTGATCCATTAAAAATAATAACAACGTTGCAAATATAGGCCGAGAATCCCGTTACGACTATTGTAATTATAGCTGTTGATTACATTACATTTTCAAGTTAAACTGCACAAGTAGTAGCACAAACACTTTGTAGTATCTCAAAACACACATTTAGCTTCGTGATATAATCATCTATTAACATAATATTATCCACACTAATGTTGAATATTAAAATGAAAAAGAGTTCGATTAAAATCAAGTACAATATAATGTATGGGATGTACCACGTGTCTATATAATATTATTTTAATTTCCTCCCAAAATGATCCAAAAAGCTAAGACGTGTATTATCAAACCGGAAGCAAATGAAAGACTATTATTATGTATATTTCTTCGGACAAGTGTCACGCACACGCCATACACACACACACACACATACGTTCGACTTAATCTCAAGTTGAAAAATCATTTCAATATAAGTTGTTTATTATAAGTGTTATAACCAGTCGGAAGAGACGACCTTGCCGCCCCAGACTAGTGTCCCAGAAACGATGAAGACGCGCTGCCGGATCCTAGTGAATGAACACTATTATAGTGGTCCAAATCACAAATCCGTAACTATGTTATTAGACGGATAAAAATATTCGAGCCGGATGACCCAAGGCATTTTAATTATTATAAATCTCTCGAGTGTAATGTATATCTCACGAATTAGCTGATATTATTATCTCAACTTACAACACACCTCTCACCTATAATTACCTCTCAAGTATACTATAAATACTAAAATATACAAAAAGGGTAACATTAATAGGTGGTGTCAAAACAGTTTAACATTGGATTTATATGAACTATACCGCTATACGTACAGTATATGTACCTAGCCGTGCAGAGTAGGTACATGACATGTCGACTTAGGGTCTTTAACTTTTAAAGAACTTATATATTAAGTAACACTCAAATCTCAATAGAACAGCCCACACAAACTGAAGCATAGGCGTTAATTCCTATCAGCAACGACTATTACACTTTATTTTATTTTTACAATTCATATTTTAACTACGATAAGATAGCTAGAACTTAGAAGCTATATTGGTTTTATAATGATGTTTTTCTTTTTTATGTCTGTAAACACGATATCTTTTTTTCTTATGGACCGATTTACTCTAATAATTTCTTACTGTGTTGGTTTGAACTATGTTGGTTTAGACTGTGCTGGGTTCTTACTATTTCCAGAATCGCGTTGAAGCGATTGTGATAAAATCACATTCAGATGTAATAATTTATATGAACCATCTTTGATAACTTCTTCTGTACTGTTTTATACTGTGTTGGTTTGGACTGTACTTGGCTGAGCGTGTTGACGTGCACCAGCAGCTTGGATTTGGTGCTGGCCGCGTACAGCAGCGTGTCGACCATGGCCCGCCGGTTGACGAAATTCGTGTCGTCCACGTTGACAGACTTGCTTCCTGAGCACGTTGAACTAGGCGTCGTGATGAGCATGTATCAGAACGACAGCAGCACCATGGAGTTCTCGAAGGAGTCGACGGCGTTCAACGACCGGCTGGGCGGCAAGCTGGAGACTTTGGTGACGGCCACCGGCGTGAGACAGGGTAACGCGGTGCTGGACAAGGACTACCCGAACGTGGCTGTGGCCAACATGGGCCCCACCAAGGCGGGCCTAGACGAAAACGAGGCAATGGACTTGAGCAAGGAGAACGACCGGGAGCAAAGCCGTCGTTCTGTTGCCCGACGAGGGCAGCAACAAAGTGGTGTTCGACGACCTGCTCAAGAGCACGGCGTTCGCCAACGAGTTCATGGCCGACCTGGACTTTTTGCATCTCGAACTAGCCAGCGTCACCAAAAACGCCGACGAGGTGACTTACCCTTACCTGAGGCGGGAGTTCGTCACCGGTTGCATGACCAGAACCCTGATGTAAACTATCTACCAAATGGGCTGTCCCCATGACTCGGCGGCAATCAAGCAGACACCGCTCAGAAAATTATTTGAAATTAAAGTGGTATTAAAGTGTGTGAAACAACTTGTAAAAATCGCCTTCGCTTTTAAATTTGTCGTTTTAAAATTGTCATATATGAGATGTGGTAACTAAACAACGAGAATTTCTCATCATAATTAAAGTATACAAATCAAATGTATTATACGTTCGGACTTTTTTAAATCATTTTAAAAGTTATAGAATTAAAAAAAAGGCTTAGGAATGAAAATTATCCAAGAAATACAAAAAATGTATACAATAAAAAACTGAAGTGGTAAATATTAAAAGACACGAGTATATAAATCTACTAATAATAAATAAACTATAAAGGTTTATAGGTAATGGACAAACAAATAATAATCCAAAAACATATTTGTATACCATTGTCGAAGTCAATAAGAAAACAAGAAATGCTAACAAAAAGTAAAACCAATAACCACATTTTTTTTTTAGCTTCAATATATGTATACATATATATAAATACCTAAAATATGTATTATACCTATATATGTGTCAAACAAAATTAATATTTTCAAATTCCGGTTTCCGTAAAAGCGGAACAGGACTGGCGATTATTATGTTTATTTATACTTAAAATGGAAGTAAATGGAAGTAAAAACTCCGGCGAAAAATTATGCCCGAGAGAGAGAGAGAGAGAGAGAGACATTCAAAATAATAGGTATAATAAATTGTCGTTACTCGTTAGAATTGTACGAGCATGACTTTAATTGCCGGTGTCTTCTTTCGGGCTGGTTGAACGTCAACAAACTAGTTGACCTAAATAATATTCGCAAATTATTTCCATATGGAAATCCGAAACGCGCCTTAATAAACTTATTACATATATCTACATTTTTCTCATATACTTATAACTTTATAATTATAATCGCATTTATCATCATCTTTCCAATGAGCTCCATCCGAACATTGTAGCTTTAAAATAGAAAAAAATATAGACAAAACAAAACAAAACATAATCTTCATACGTTTTAAATAACTTTGAGTCACCTCTAATTTATTTTTTCCGGTCAAGTTCAAGTTTTGACATTGTTTTTTAATGGCAGATAGAAAAAAACATAGTAAGATTGGCCTGAACACGATGTAAGTTGCTGTACACAATAATTATGGTCGGAAAATCGCGATTTTACGGTTTTACGTGTCGTCTGTGTGCATATTCACTATCCTATCAATAGTACCATATACCATTGTATAACAGCCCACGACTGATCT